ACGACCCCGAGGCCGACTTGCCATCGATGCACACGACCCACGGTTCCAGTTCCTCGTCCTCGGTAACGCTCGCGTTGCTCTTTAACCGTATGCGCACTTGCTCACGAGCAAGAGCGACCTTCTTACTCGCCCCACCGCTTGCATACGCGCTTCTGCCACTGCTATCACTCGCGCCTTCTCGCTCTCTCTCGCGCTTTCGGACTTGAGTGACGTCGTGATGATGCTTTGACGACTATTCCACCTTGGCGTGTCGCCCCCCGGGCCGCTGGCTGTTTTGCTTTGCCCAAGCGTTGTCGTCGATAAAGGGTTGACGTGGGGAGGTGCTCGTCTTGCTGATCTCCGGCAGGCCTAGCCTATGATATCACGAAGGAAGAGCTACAGCGCGAGGGTCCTCGGTCTCACGCGTCGCCCCTATCTGTGGGTAATTTACGCATGTGGCGCACTCTCGATCGTGTACTCGCCAAGACATGTGACGAAATGCGATCGTGCGCGGGGCCCTTTCTCTTAGAGGATGGGCGTGTCGTATTGCCGCTGCGAGTGGGCGTATTTCCTTTTCTTCTTTATGTGCTACTAGCCTCGCGCGCAATAACATATTGCTACTTCTCCGACTCGGGCTCGGACTCACTCGCTGCTTCTTGGTTCTCTGATAGTCTCAAGGCCCAGGGATCATGTTTGAACATTCCGCGCCAGTTCTTCCCATTGGCCGCACATACCTTGTTACCCTGACTTCCTTCCCTTCTTGTTCGTTCCGTGATCGTCTCAGCAGTGATTCTTAGGGATAATCGGCCGACGCCCACCCGCCAAATAATCTCAGTAATTATGCATTCGCGCTGTTAATCCTTCCAACTTAACACTCTGCTGGATTGGCAATTGGCATTGACTGTGAGGTAACACAACACATGTATACGTTGATAGTGATCATGCTTCATCCATCGGACCTTTCTATGAATTAATATCAGTATACTGAATGACTCACGGAAATTCCTTCTGACCATGAGCGCAGAAGAAAATAAATGGTCATGAAAGCCTTTGTCGTGATTTTACTAGTCTCGAGCTGCGGGAATGTCTCTATGAATTGTTTGTGCAGAAAAGGAGAACAAACCACCTGATAATCCTTTGTACCACCTTGAAACCGGGAGGCTTATCATAGTAAATGAACCGCAGACGTATTTATGTAATTGAGCAAACATGCGCCTTGTCTTGATTATCGTTCAGCAGCCCTAGACACGAGTGTGCGAAGCGTGGCTATTCAAGTTGGAAATCGATAATCACATACCGTTCACCACATGTTCTCGCGAGTTCCTTTCCTAGTGTACACATCACACCCGGCTACTCACCCGCACCACCGGGACGAGATGAAGGATCCTCTAAGTCCGAAGGGCGGAAATGACGACGTTTTCCTTTTTCCTTACACTGTTCTGAAACTATGTTCCCTGACAGTGCGGTGTTAACGTCGGAGAATTCCCCCCCCCCCCCCCGTCTTGATCATGATCAGAGTCGGGAAACAAACGGACACGCGCTAAGCGTGCGTCGTTCTTCTTGGACCTGAGTATGACGATGGGAGGGATGTTCGATGTGTTATCTACGCGGGTATTTCAGCTGGGCGTTATCTGCTGGTTGACGCGCTATGGCTTCGTGCGCGGCCTCCGAGTCGATGATGAGATAGGCCGAGGAACACCACCTCCTCAATCTAATCCTCGTCGACGTCCTTGACGTAGTGTATATCAATAAGCTTTCAATATCCCTCGGTATCTGCAGCCACAAGGGACAGCTACCCTAATTGGCTGTAGTACAAGATTTCTGGTTCGTCAATAGCTGGAGCTTGCTGGAGCGGCCCAGTACTAAACCGCGCGATCCTTGGATTTTTACCGGTGGGCACCAGAGAGGGAATTATCTAACCAATCGTACGATAGCGGCGAAAGGGTTTACGGATTCAAAATTATATAACACCCATTCCTCGAGACGCAAATACGCCTTCTGCCGCCGTGATGCGTTCATTTCACAGCTGATGCATGATGCATCCGCGATCTGCGTAGGTTTCTCGACCGTTTCCCTGGAATGCTCCGTTCGAGCATCAGCTCCGGCTGATTGAGGTGCAGTTGTAGGTGCAGGGAGCCCCCGTTTTTGCTGTTTTACGTCACGAAGAGTATGGGGCGTGGCTTCAGGGTACACAAGTGGTTTTCGATTGGTCCCCTGAGCAGTGTGGCGCGCGGTGTTCCGGCCCGGTTCTTGCTTGATAATTAGCGCTCGTGATGAAGACATCACACCTCGTTCCCGAACATCCATTACTCAGAGCATCTTCTGGTAGTTCCTTCTCTCAGTCGATTATTACATCCTCGGCTTTGTCACCGCCGCTGCTTTTCTCGTTCTTCTGACTGGACGAAGCGCCCTTCCGCTTATTCGAGCCGGCTCTTGTAGGAACCATCCTTTTTTTCTCCAGAAGTACTGAAATTTATTTGCCCCCATTAACACATACCTTCTTGTTGCTCAAGACACTCTGGTAACATGCAGCAGCCAGTCATCTCTTTTTCATTCTCCTCGTCCGGGGCTTTTGTTGTCAATGATCAGCGGTCAGCAAGCAAGCGAAGAACGCGCCTTCGCACATTTCCATTGTTTGTCCTGCCTTTCGCTGTCCTATCGCGTGAGATCGGGCTGTCAGCATTATCCGCGGTGGAAAATCCAGCCCTTCGCGAATTCTCTCCCCGCCTCCGCCGTGTAGCCGGAGTAACAAACGCTGCTCGCCAACCCTTTCCCTCCTATTTCGAGTCCTGTGTACCTTTCTACCCCGCGAATTCCTTCCCCGCAGCTCGTTTGACTCATATTGCTTACTTACTTCGAGATTGTGAGAACCGGTCTGGCTTCTTTCGCCTTCAGACCGTCGATACGGACTTCCCTGCTCCTGAGCATCATGAAATGGGTTACAGAGAGACCCATCTTAGGGCCGAGAGACCGTTCTCGTCCTCGGCGCGATTGTCTTGTCGTCATAATCGCTGTGGTCGGGTTCTCTCCGGCGGCTCATGCCGCTGTAAATTCAATCCTCCTTAGATAACTCAGGGCTATGAGCCCGCAAGGGTAGTGGACAATCGCTCTCAGTGGCGCACCTTGGCTCTGGCGCTCACTCGGAGGGTCTTCCTGAGCCGCCGACGTTCCCACCTACTGGTAATCTCGGGATGTGGAGACATGAAGACATACCCGGTACTTTAGAAGAAGAGGAAAATGTGTTAGTAACTGCTCCTTCGCTGAATGCTGATACCAACTCACACTCCTACTTTGAAATAACCAGCGTCTTGTCGTCGTTGATCGGAATGGGGTTTTGCATCCATCGCCACGTTTTCCGTCACCACGTTTTCTGGAGTTCGGCTATTGCCAGAGCTAACAGCCCCTAAGCTCCTCAATTGAATCTACGACACTCACCATCTCCAACCTCGGATGAACCCAATGCTTGTGGTTTTTTTGCATTCAGTAGGGACTGCTCATGGGGAATACAGATCGTTGCAGTAAGCGACCTTGACTGTGGATAAGCACCCGAGTCGGTTTACGGAGGAAGGTGGAGACTCCGTCTCACGATGGCCACGTATCTCGTTTAGACACCATCCAAAAAAAAAGTCGCAGGTAGGCTGTATACGGTATTTTGCCTTCTAGAAGAGAGTCCTGATTCGCTGAATTCCCTATTTTATCCTTGCTGCTTGACGAACGGTTATAGGTGTAAGGAGATACAGCGTGTATTTCTTGTTATGTCGCTGATAAACATCGCACGTAATTCCAGACGCCACACTTCAGCCACAGGGATAGTCGAAGGACAGGAAAGGGAGGGGCGCAACCGTCGGAATTCCCACCATCTAACTCAAGATGAGCAATGATCCCAACAGACGATGCTGGGTTATTGACAACAAATATATTCGGTCTTCCAGTATGTACGGCACAGTTCCCAGCTCATAGTTCTCAGTGCTCGAGGATGTGCAACACGCCGAATTTGACCAAACTCCGACCCGTTGAGATAGGATGATGGCTTATTATGTGTACGGATAAGCCCCCTTCTGCAACTGGACTTCCCTCTCATGAAACGGATAGCCCAGACGGAAATGGTCGGCCAGAGGAAGAGAGGGCGTGTAGGCCATTGAAAAAGCAAGATAACAGGTCATTTGAGCAGATAACGAGATAGTAGTATGACATTAAGCAGCACTGTCAGGATCGAAAGGAGCGCCACAAGGGACTCGAGCATGAGCACACGTACGGCGCGACATTACCGACCACCAAGAGAGGACCCGAGCGAAGTCGCCTATGTATAGGCCCTGTGCAACTCGTAGGGACATGGTCGCCAATTAATCGGGGACGATGGTCGCATCCATGAGACAAGAATCCACGATAACATTTTCTCGCCGCTGACAACTGGCGGGAATGTCCTTGTAGAGAATGGATGCCCAAAAAGAGAAGAGACGCCCAAATTGCTGAATTGCCCCGATATTTTTGGCAGTCAAAAAAGAAATCCTTCAAGAAATCCTGTCTCCAAGTAGGATACCAGCAGCGCAGCAGGTTGAGAAAGTGCATAATCCATCATCCGGTTAATAGATGAAGAAAGGAGATCCAAAACTCCAGGGAAAAGATCCCCAATTTCTGGTGAGACGCGAGTCGGACGACCTTGGGAGAACGCCGTCGGAGCAGTGGGTCATCAGAAGTGGGGAAAATTAAGAGATATGAGCTGATCGATTCAAAAATAAGACAACGAGGCTTGCCTGTAGGGACAAAATCGTGGAGAAAGTCCCGATAAAGGTACGAAGAGGAACAAAGATGAGATTGAGTGACGCAAGACGCGTCACTGTGTGCCCGTCGGCGGTCACGTGACAGATCGCGCACCTCTTTCTGCCGATAACAAGCCGCCGTTTGCATTCTTCCACTTCCTTGTTGTGCTCGGATTGCGTACATCTGCCTTTCCCATATACCTTACAAAGTAACCGACGCGGTCTTCTCCTCATATACTCCGAGAAATCCCAAAAACTCTAATGGCAATCCCCCGAGACGTGCAAGAATTTCTCGACGCGTATCCTGACGTCGAGGATGACCCCGCGGCCACGGCGAACCTCGAATTTTATTCGAACAAGCACCGCTGTCGGCCGGATAATTGCACAATTGAGGAGATCCACGAAACGTGCGCCTACTGCTTTCTGTCTCTCCGATCGTAACGCTGATGCCGATGCTGCTTCCTCAGATGGCTCGGCGATTATGACAAACTAGAGTTCAAGCATGGCTACATACAGTGGCTGTATGTCGACCTTTCTCTTCAGAATAGGCTCCTGAATCTCCGTGATTAGAAAACGATCTCACTCACCGTCCATGCCATCATCAGGTTTCCGATACGAGAGTATGGAATGAATTACGAATCCCAGCCTCTTCAGACACACGAAATCCAGAAGATGAAGGCTGATCCTGCCGTCGTCGAACGCGTCTTTGAGTCCTACAGGCTGATGCTTGATTTCTATGGTATGCGTCTCGTGTCGACGGAAACTGGGCTTGTCGATCGCGCTCTCCCGCCTCGGAACTTTGAGGCTCGTTATCGCAACCTCGCTCGTGAGTCTCCGCCTTTCAGGTCAAAAATAGATCCGACTATTCACCGCCCGCCACCTTCCCAAGGCGCGTCCCATAATAATCTTCGCATCTCTCGCATCTTGAAGTGCCTTTCGGAAATGGGACTGGAAAGGCTCAACGCCGGATTCCTGCTACACGTCCTAGCTGAACAGAGTGAGTTCAGTGAACTAAATTCATGGGGAATACGCAGCAGCATGGACAGATGGTGGGCAAATTGCTTAAGAAACGAAGAAGAACGAGCGTGGATTAGGGATCTCATACGAAGAGTCCGTTTGGCCGAGGATGGATACGTTTTTACAAGAGACAACTATGAGAAAATCTTGAAAAATAGAGCAGAGACAGGAGAACTCGGGCTTCCGCAGAATCCCCTGGGAGAGCAGCCTCAGACCGACGAGGAGAGCATACGTAAAACAGACTGATTCCATTTGATGTACATGTGTTCGTGTCGCAGTAATCCTACGTCTATAGATCTATGCATAGAAGCCTCTATTCTCTGTGTTTTTAACACCGTCGACGGCGAGCGGGTTCAGTTTCATGAGATTCTGATAATAAGAATATTTCACAGACCTGTGCCGTTATGTCGTTCAAGAAAGCTTCGCTAATGCGGCCATAAGTGTCTCCTGACGCTTTTTGACGTACATCGGACTTGATAGTTGAAGGAGGTCATCGACCGTCTCGTATACTCTAACTCCAGTGCTAGCTGAGGACGAGTTGGTAACCTAGGAGTATAGTTAGCGGTAGAAAAATTCCAAAGATGGCATAAGACATACCATATAACCTTGTGTTGTCAACTGAATCACGAGATGGTGGCCTTCGAGGAGGACTACGGAAGCCGTGGCTTGCTGAGAAGACGTGGAGCCCATAGTGAAGGCCTTGATGCCAAAAGCCTGCTCTTTGAGGGCCCTCTGCAGCTCTCCAGCGTAGAACGATGTAGGTGAGGACGCTGAGCCTGGCATAGGATCCTGAAAGTCGAACAGGGGCCTCGATTTTTTGGGTCCATGCGTAGAGAGACGACAAAAGTTATATAGGTCGGCTAGTGTCATCATGATCGAGACAGCTGGGATTAGCGTTTAGGGTCACACTGCGCCACTGGTGCCTCCCAGGCTGTATGGAGCAGGATGTCGTCGAAGCGAGAATTGGATTTGGTGTGATAATGCAGGTTTGAGGGAACAAGATGATGAAATGGATCATCATTTAACACAGCAAAGTGTTGTTTTTGGATAACGCGGCGCACGAATAGTGAAATCCTCAAGATCAGGAGTGCGATCGGGATCTACCGCTCCCCGGTGTTAGCAATTACAAGCTTGAGCACGGCAAGATGCATGATGGAAGATGAGGCGCGAGGAGATTCCGAGGGAGGCGCTCAATTTTATTACGCCGAAGTCAGGGTCGAGTGCGTCTTCTCAATTACCTTGGATTAACCGGCCGGATTCCTTCTATAGATTTGTTACTCAGGCTTTGCTTGGGCTTAAAAATGGAAATTCCGACGCTAAAAATTCCGTGAACCAAGGAGATAGCGGGGAGAGAATACGGTGCCGCGCAAAAAGTGAGAAAGGGCGAGCTTGTCCACGTCAAACAACATGACCGTTGTCTGGAATATAATATATATTGGTGGGGAGGTCATGGATTCGTTCACGAATTCTCTTTGGATATGAGGCGCAACCAGGAGGGGAATAGCAGTTACAATATTCATCCACAAATACAGCTGCGTATTGAAAAATTCGAATGGAACTTCTGTTGGCTGAAAGCGGTCTAGATATTTGGGGGGCTATACCATGAGAGACGGTAGTCGCACGTCAGCTGTAAATCGACCAGTTAATATCGGGTGCACTGTCGATGATGGTGGCGTAGTAGGGTTCGGAGGAGAGTCCGTAGCGAGATGGTAGTCCAAGGACTGACCTTTAAATTGATAGAAGGAATGCAAGTTGTATTCATAACCCAGCGCTGAGGACGAGGGGAATTAAGAACTTCGGGCCTTGACGTAATTCCCTTTATCTTCATCTCACGCCGTGAAGGAGAAATCCGAACGAGTATGAGAAGTGTTCTGGTTGGGAGACAGCGGACAAACCGGAAGGCGGCAAGGTGTGGCCCGGAATCGGCACCGTCGGGAATGGGTGTGTTTGGTCGTGTTAGGCGCGGTTGGATTTGTCGCTGCGCCTCCCAGTGGTTGGTGCAGCTCCCGTCGCGACCACCGCGCAGCCTCTTCCACGGTCTTCCTTTCTCTTTCTTTTACGCGCTTATACCATCGCTGTATTCTCTTGTAATTTTCGGTTCTTATCAGTCCTCGACTTCCGGATTTCAGCAAGCAAGGCGAAACGAATCTCTCTAATCTTCGTCGTATTTTCGTCATAATTCTCCTCGACCATTCGCTTCGCCCGCCCAGCTGCTTCAAGCGCCCTTGCTCTGCGCCTTCTTTCAGTCTCCTCGATATTGCCGGATTCCCTTCTGTTGTTGTATTGCAACGTCGTGGCATTACGCTCAACGCGAAAACCCCGCGTGCCGATCGCCGTTCTTCGCGCTTTTGCCTATCTCCCAAACTTTCTGCGAAGGATAACTGGATGGTGTGGGCTATCTGAAACTACTTGGTACGTAGATCTGAACTACGTCTCTATCGTGCACTGCTCCCCCTGTTCCGTTCGTTCCTCGATTCGGTCTTCTTACCAACCGGTATCCATCTAGATTTCCTCGGTATTCAACGCTGCCCTTATCTACAACCTATTCAATGCACTCCCGTCTAGCCATAGACACTACTGCTGGTGTGAACGCTGGTCCTTCATCCGCCAATTCATGGCCCCGAAACCGAAGCGGCTCGCCAACCCCTGGCTGGCCTGGTCCAAGTTATGTAACACAGCGGGGACGCAGCGTCTCTAACGCATCTACAACTTCCTCCCTTTCCATTGTCTCTCCTACATCCTCCTCCACCAATGCCTCAACCACATCTCTCCTAATACCGTCCTCTCGCCACAGATCGCGATCTCGTTCACGGTCTCGCTCCTCTAGTCCGGCTATCGACGAGACTGTGCGGCTCGGTCCAGAATATGTCCTCGCGATGCATGATTATTCCCCACCAGATCAAAGCACAACGTGCCTCTCATTTCGCGCCGGTCAAGTCATTCATGTGTTAAACCGGGATGCAAGCGGTTGGTGGGACGGCGAACTGGACGGGCGTCGAGGGTGGTTTCCAAGCAATTATGTCAACGCGGAAATCACCTCGTTAACAGAAGAGGAACCTGTTGGGATGTCTTCAGTGCGTGCTTTCATTAGGTCAACCAACGAGCGGCGTCTTTAACTAAATTTATCGAAGTCTAAACGCGGACACGGCTATAGTCAATCAACTGCTTCTGCGACATCGTGGACGACCGTTTCTTCGAAGAGTCATTCGTCTGACCGTGGCCATAAACATAAGCCCCCATCGCTATCAGGTTCTTTCGACGACGATATGGATCCTTATTGTCCACCTCTCATGGTACCCCTACTCCATGGCCTTTCTCTCCTTCAAAACGCCGTTCGTACAAAGCGAGTCAGTCATTTCCAACCATCCACAGCGTGCATTATTTCGTGTGTTCGCTCCATACTAGCCTCAACAGGCACCTTGCAGCGCGATGCCCCAGTCCTTCAAACATTTTCTGTCCTTTCAGAGGAGCGCAGACGAATACTGAATGTTCTAGCGTCTCTTGTGGCACAGGCTAAGAAAGCCTCGGACGGAGGTGTGGAAGGCCGTGCGCATGAGCTGGAAGTGGAAAACATGCTGCGGCTAGGAGGTCAAGTATTCTCGCACGTTCGGTCATTTCTAGCTGTGGCCGTTAAATGTGATATCGAGCTTCCGGAGGAACAAGACCTGCCCGGAACAGCTACACCTGCCTCAGTAGGTTTTCAGTCGTCCGCTGGCCAGGATCAAGATTACCAAGAAGACTCGCCTACGAAAACCCCAACGCAACATCGTGGGCGGAGCAACCATGTCACAGTGCCTCGGCCAGGTACACGCATTGCAGGACCTCGGTCAAGGTCGCGTCCACCTGACCCAGAAAGCCCTGCCTTAATCAAATCGTTGGCTCGTGCAAGGCAAGAGCAGTACCTCCTGCGAGACCGAACACAGACCCGACACCGGCCAGGACCTTCTGTCAGTAGCATATCCTCTTCCTCCTCCTTCTCGTCCCAAGAATCAACCCCTTCCTCCCCTCCGCCTTTTCCTTGCGGTCCTTCAAGCGCCGCACAAGTTATGGAAGCCCTTCGATATACACATGACCACTACTTATCCACTATCGCCGCATTCATCGGTCATGCACATTCTCATTCGCGGACGTCTCATGCTTCCAGTACCGCTGTGTTGTATGACCTTGTGAAGGAGATCGTCGAAATGGTCTGCAAGCTTCTTACCATCGTCGAAGCGGTCATGCAGCACCCGGACATCCCTCTAGGTCGTGTTGGTAACTTGAGGGAGGCTAAGGAGGGTCTATACAATGTGACAAGCTCATTAGCGGAGTCTGTTCGTCTCCTGACCGTCTCGCTACCGGCTACGATGTCTGAAGAGGCTGAGAAACAAGTCCTCCTTCGTTCAGCGACAGGCGCACTAAAGGCCGGAGCAGACTGTGTCGCAGCAGTGAAAGTTTGTCTTGGTCGGCCAATCGGCGACAAACCCTTCATCGTCAAATTACCAGATGTCGATAATGTGATAACTCAGCCATTCACGCCCGCTAGACTTTCTGCCTCTTTGCCCTTAAAGGCCGCGGCGACAAACGGTTACCAACTAAATGGTATGGAGGATGAGGACATGACTATTCAGGCTCAGACCCCGTCACCTGCTCAGAGAGCACGAGAGTTCTCGTCCGGTTCAGATAACAGTAACTTATCGAAAGGCTCATGGGTGCGGTCCGACGGGACCCGCTCTACCTCCCCAGAGGAAGGCAAGAGCGTCTCCTCTATCACTGTGTCGTCTAGCACCCCAGTTGAGCCGGACCTGCCTTCCCCGACATCCTTTGCTCCCACCGAGGAAGGTACAACATGGGAGGGAAGCATCCGGAGTCAACCCCACCGAGATAGACACCTGGAAGAGAAGATTGTTCATGGAGAACTTCCTAGCGTCCCTATGGAGCGAATTCTTGAACAGGGCCAGGACCCTTCCATGTGGATGTTTGGGCATGATTACTTGCCTCAGGACGTGGCTTATAACACAGATGGCCATCTCGTGGGTGCAACCATGGATGCTCTCGTTGAGAAGATGACCCCCCACGATAGCATCGTGGATCCTGCCTTCTCTGCCGTCTTCTTTCTTACTTTCCGCCTTTTTTCATCCCCCTCAGAACTCGTGGACGCCCTCATATCGAGATACAATCTCATGCCGCCTCTAGGACTCTCTGACGAGGACCAGCAGCTTTGGCAACAGCGCAAGGGCGTTCCCGTACGGCTGCGAGTGTCAAACCTCATCAAGAATTGGGTGGAGTTGCACTGGCGATCTGGCGTTGACGACGTTGCGCTGGGTCTGTTGACGAGCTTCACGCGTGAAGGACTCGCTAGCATCTTCCCTGGTCCTGCGCAGCGGATATTGGATCTATTGAACATGCGCCGACAATCGTCGGATCAGGCTATCAGCCCAAAGGCGGACAGGTCGCGCGATCCTGGCATGTCCATCAACCCACCAACGCCCATCACGCCTGCGAGCGAAATACCGCGGCCGACAATGACGAAGACGCTCCTCGTCGCGCTGAGGAAGAAGGACTTCGCCAGTATCTCGATTACGGACTTCGACGCCCTGGAACTAGCGCGCCAGATGACCATTATGGAAAGCCACTTGTACTGTGCTATAGAGCCTCAGGAGATCCTCGAGAGCGGACAGGAAGGCGCGAAGCCTCCTGTGAACGTTAGGGCTGTTAGCTCGCTTAGCACCATCATCACTGGCTGGGTTGCAGAGTGTATTCTTGACGAGCCCGATATCAAGAAGCGGACAAATCTCGTCAAGTTTTTCGTTAAGGTCGTCGACGTCAGTGCTTTCATGTTTATTTCTGCGACAACTGTTAACAATGATCGATTTTTTCAGCGCTGCACTGGGCTCAACAATTTCAGCACGTCACGTTCGATACTGGCAGCACTCGATTCATCGGTTATCTCTCGGCTGCGTCAAACGTGGTCTGTAAGTACTCCCCATATCTCGATACCAAGCCTCTGCCCTTGACTGATCATCCGTGATCACCAGGGCCTGCCGCAGAAGTACAAAGTCCAGCTGGAATCGCTCAGAAGGCTGGCTGATCACAGTCGGAATTACCACGAGTATCGTACCAAGCTACGTAACACGGCCCCTCCTGCAGTGCCTTTTTTGGGTAAGTGTTCTCCTTCAAAATGGTCGTCTTATAGCTCATGCTGAATGGCTCTGCACCCTCGTTTTTTTAGGTCTTTATCTCACCGATGTTACGTTCTGCCGCGAAGGCAATCCTTCGCACCGTGCCTCGCCAGTGAACCCCAACCTCAAGCTTCTTAACTTCAATAAATACCATAAATTGGCAAGGATCGTGCAAGGTAAGAGCGCGGTGTCATTGGATCGCATTCTGGTTCTAACTTGATGGCGGATAGATATGCAACGCTTCCAAGGGCCGTATAACCTCAAAGCTATTCCAGAGGTACAGGAGTACCTGAACGTCGCGTTTGAGAAGTCCAAGCACCATGGAGACCTAAATGATCTCTACAGGAGAAGGTCGGTCGTTTATGAGTCATTGAAACTATATCGTTTGCTTATCTTCCTTCCTAGTCTTCTCGTAGAGCCCAAGCAGCCTGCTGACCAGCCTCCAGTGAGCGACATGCGTCAGCTGTTCAGTTGGGCCACAAGATCACATTCTCAACCCGCGTCTTACTCATAATCGTGGATGCGGATTACCAGCGGACTATTAAGTATCATATATCATATTTATATCCCCATATCCCCTTCATTTTTTCGGTTTCACGATCATGGCTGTGTTTATAGCCCTCCTCACTCCATTTGTCCCGATTTTTCTCGTCATACCACCTGTGTTCAAGTTCATACCCCGTGTCTGTTCGAATCTTCGGGTTGTCTTCTCTGTTCTTCTACCTTGCTTTGTCGCCTCTTCGATGTTCCATTAACTGCATCATCGTCTAGTACAACTACCCTTGCTCCCGTTTCCTGTCTCGCCTACTACCTTGTCCCTGTCCCTCCCTCTTCCTCTTCGTCTCTCCTCTTTTGCAGACGAAATGTAACTATTAGCGCTGAACACTAACATACATCTATAATGAATGTAGAAAGGAGGCTTTCCAAGTCATTCAATATATGAATAAGACTAGTTCTACAAAAGCAAAGTGAATGGATGGACTGAAATGAGATGAAAGTAGCTCTTCTAGTGCTCTAGTGATCATTGCAGAGCCCTGAGCCGTTGTGTGCGTAGCGCAGTACGTGATAGGTGGCTCGATGGGAGCCTTTCTTCTGCTTGAGGCCATCAATTCCTCGGACCTGGGGGATCGTCGGGTATGTGTCGAGGGAGACGCCTGGGCCCTGCGAACAACGAACGAACGAACAAGAAAAGTCAGTACGGTCGAATCGCCTCTCAGCTTGGCAGGTGGACTTACGAAATCATAAACGAATGGACGGCTCTGTGTCGCCCCAAAGAAACGCGAGCTCTCGAGGATGACGGAGTAGACGGGCGAGGGGTCGTTCCCTGGTGCGCGTACACTCCAGCCCGTTGTGGGCGAGCGCACGTCCCAGAACGAGACGACGCTGTGCCTCGCAGTGCCCGCGGCAATGTGTGCCGCCGACCCACCACCACACGCGACGGAATAGATCGGCTCGTACGACCACCGGTCAGCCAGCGAGAGCACGGGCCGGAGAGGGTTCGGGCTCGTAGAAGTGCCCGTCCCGGACTCGTTGTTGGTTAGGGATGGTCTTGCCGGAAGACGAGAATCGGACGCACGCAGGTCGTAGCACCGAACTTGCCCGTCGTACCATCCTGAGACGAGGATCTGCGGAGAGGCTCCCCATGGAGAGTTGAGCGGACCCCGGGCGAGGCCGTATACGGCCGAGGACGGAAGCTTGTCAAGAGTTGCTTTCTGGGTGTGTAGGATGGCAGTGGGTTGTTCGCTGAGGATACCACCGTCGGTCAGGGAGTGGACGTTGAGTGGGGTGGTTGAGGAGGTGCCGAAGGCGGCATAGGGTGTTGACGATTGAAGGCAAAGGTATGAAACCCAGCTACGTGCCTGGAGGTTGAGGATGGAGTTCCGATGTTGGTGTGGGTTGGACGGGCCGGAGAGTAAAAGATTGGTGGCAGCACAAAGCCGTGCGTGACCATTCGAGGATAATGCTAGGACGATGTTTGACTCCGACGAAATGCTTTCAACAAAATCACCGTCGGGCATGGGGGTGACGTTATTCCGCGTAAAGAATAATTGTGGTGTTCCTCCATCTGGGACATCGGCAACGGAATGAAGAAAGACGCGTTCAATACCTCCGTCTTGAAATGCGACGTCCAGAGTACGGTCGAGGCCGCGGTCCTCGACAAAGGCGAGTGCGGTGATGTTGCGAGGACGTTCGGGCTGGTGCCCAAGTAAGAGGGAGACCGACCCTTCGAAGGATATGGGAGGCGATGCGGCGGAACCGTCATCGCTTTTACCGAAGGAATATGAGTAGAGGTTGCTCCCAGCTGCCACGAGCAGTCGGCTGGGACTGATGGCAAGGATGGGCTGAAGTCTTCCATTCCAGATCCGCGAGAGAGGGCGAGCGATGAAGTCCATGTTGCCCCAGGAAGCGTCTGTCATGACATCATATCGAGCGCGGGTGCGAGGAAGCCAGAGGTTCCTTGCTTGCGACAGGCTGCATGACGGACGCGGATTCGATCGCAAATAGCTGGCCCAGCCGTACTCTGCTACCTACCGTCAACGTCAGCAACGAAGAGGTTCTGAAGAAGACTCTTGGGCGCCAAAACTCACGATCGAGTTCATGAGATGGCATGTCATTGAGAGTGCTAGGAGCTCTGGGATGCCGAGTGACTCGAGCACAATGATGAGGATGTCAGCGGGCAGAGAGGAGAGTGTGAGCATGGTGGATGGGGTAGGGTTATTCTGGCGGAAGGTGAGCTTCTTATAGCGGGGAAGGATCAGAAGGTGCTTGCGGACGTTTCACGATGGTTTTTCGGTCGGATAGAAGCCTGATAGCGTGATTGGACGGATATTGCAGTCAAATACAGCTGTTCGCCCGAATCACCAGGAGTCGGAGAGGGTGCTGGGTGACGGGTCGCCGAATACACATCACGTGCTTCCGTATTTCGTAGCCCAGCGGCCAATTCAGTACTTCCTACTCGCTACTTTCTCTCTTTACCTTTCCACCTTCTTTTTATCTCCTGGCAGCTAATAGAGCACCACGCAGGGGCGATGCGAAGGGATGTCCGCATACTACTGGTGGGAGACGGTGCGTGTCATATCTATTCTGTCTCGGCGCAGCTCATGAGGCAACATTTCAGAGGGTGTGGGGAAGAGCACGATCGTCACCTCTCTAATCAAAGAATCTTTCGTCGCACACGTACGCACTCGCTGTAGCACCGACACGGTTTGTTTACCTCCACGCCTCTGCTGTAGGTTCAACATATCGTTCCGGAAGTCACAATCCCACCAGAAGTTACTCCGGAAAATGTCACAACCTATATCGTCGACTCTGGAGGTCCGTTTGGCTGCACATAACGCGTCGTTGGCTTCGCACTGACTCCCAGCGCCGACGACAGCTGGCCCGCAGGACCGTCCCCACCTGGAATCCGAAATCCGGAAAGCTCATGTCATCTGCGTGGTCTATTCCATCGACAACCCAGGCTCGTTCGATCGGATACCTACATATTGGCTACCACACTTCCGCCAATTAGGTGTAAATGTACGTGGATTTGTGTCTCGGCTTGGTGCGACTCAGTCGGGAGGTGCTGAATATTTGTCGTGTTTCGTCACGCTAGGTTCCCGTGATTCTTGTGGGCAACAAGATCGACCTCCGCGGCGGGGAGGTAACCAACGAGGCTTTGGAGGATGAAATTGTGCCTATCATGAACGAGTTCAAGGTATGCTTGAATATGATACCCGCAGGATTCCCCAATTCACCGAACATCGGATTTTCCTTCTTCAGGAAGTCGAAACATGCGTAGAATGCTCAGCCAGACTCCCATTGAACGTGTCGGAGGTGTTTTACTTTGCACAGAAGGCGGTTCTGCACCCAACGGCGCCACTATACGATTCTCGTGATCATGTACCGCAAACTTGCTGATCTTCGTCTTCATTTATTTTTTTACTGACACTTTGTTTTGTAAAGGTGTTGAAGTCCGCGTGTATCGCTGCCCTACGGAGAATATTTAAACTATGTGACGCTAATAAAGACGGCATTCTAGATGCCTCAGAATTGAACGAATTTCAAGTATGCCGAATACTGTATCGCATTTCGTTCTCTAATTAATATTCGCTCTTTGTTCCCCAGAGAAAGTGCTTCGATGCACCACTTCAACTGCAAGAGCTAGAAGGCATCAAAGACATGGTGCAAGAACACGCTGAGGGTGGTGTCCGGGATGATGGCCTAACGGAGGCTGGATTCTTATATCTGCACACTATTTTCATTCAGCGTGGAAGATTGGAAACAACATGGACGGTGCTGAGAAAATTCGGCTATGCAGAAGACCTGAGACTAACAGAATCATTCTTGCTGCCAAAGTATGTTCTTGAAATGTACTTCTGTTACGGAGGCCTAACCTCCCCTCGCCAGATTCGACGTCCCGCCAGATTGCTCCGTCGAGTTGAGTCCATTAGGATATCAGTTCTTCACCGACATATTTGAAATCTTTGACAAGGTAGGTAACATCATAAGCCTATTCTTGTTGCTGGTCCGTTCTTACCATTTGGAACACTGACAGGACCAGGATGGAGCTTTGAAGACGTCGGAGCTTGAAGAACTGTTTAGTACATCTCCTGGCAATCCGTGGGCAGCGCAGAAGTTTCCTGACACGACCCTGTCAGACGACACTGGGGCTGTTACCCTCCAAGGTTGGCTGGCGCAATGGAGGTCAGTTGACAAAGACCTGGTTTATTTTCAGAGGTTCTGGAAGACTGACTGAGCTCGCTGGCAGTATGACCACGTTGCTCGATCATAAGACAACTCTGGCCTATCTTGCGTACCTCGGGTACCCAGATGAGCCAAGGACGTCGGCGCTACAAGTGACGCGCGCACGCAAAATTGACCGGCGGAAAGGCAAAGTGACACGAAACGTGTTCTTGTGTTATGTATGCGGCGCTGCTGGATCAGGGAAGACGTCTTTACTTCGGGCATTTGCCGGCAAGCCTTTCAATGCGTCGTATGAGCCTACGAACAAGATGATCAGTGTGGTTAACGCGGTGGACATCGACGGGTCGGAAAAGTACCTTGTTGTACGTATGACGGAGGGTTGGCTTACCTTTTGGCCTTGCTGATTGACTCGCCTTCGCCGCTTCGCAGCTGCAGGAGTTTGGATCACGTTATGAGGCAGAGACGCTACGGAACCCCAAAAAGACGGATATTGCGGATGTCATCGTCTACGTGCATGATTCCAGCGACACCAACTCGTTCTCTTACATCAGTAACTTAAGAGTAAGTCTTCCTCGCCGGCAGTGTTTATGCAATGCGCACCTCACAACTCTCTACCTAGCAACAATACAGCCTAGACCACATCCCTACACTATTTGTCGCCACAAAATCCGACCTTGATCTGGCTTTACAGGTAAGATTTTTGACGTGTTTGATTATCTCGAAGAGATACCTCATGGCAAATTTTGCGTGTTGCAGAGACACGAGGTGCAACCAGACGTTTACTGCCGACGACTTGGCCTGCAGGTGCCTGTCGCTGTCAGTGTGAAGACAGGGCAGACGGCGGACGTCTTCCACGCGATATGCAGCATTGCGATGAAGCCGTGCGTTCTTTTGGTTCTTTTATCAGACACGTTTTTTGATGTGATGGTTTTGCGGTTGCTCTCTGTAGTTTGTCGGCGATTCCGGGTGGACACGATAGGGCGATGACGGCGGCGAGGAGGCTGAGGATGTATTTCACGGTGACGGCGATCGTGAGCGGATGTGCGGCGGGGCTGGCGATTCTGGTGCGGACGTTACTACGACCTGGGGGTGCAGGGCTACCTGCGTGGACGACGCCATGGGCGACATGGCTAATTGGATCGAAGAAGTAGAGTGCTATTAGAGCTGTATAATGCGATATTCTGGTAGGACAATGGCAAGAATGGGTGGGAGGTCGTTCAGAAAGGAAGGCTCCGAAAGCCGAAGCATAAGATCCGAATCTGGGAACGCGGCAGGCAAGTCACGAATTGAGTCGACAATTGCATTGGGGCGACTGTTGGTGCTGCCCACTGCGCGTGTCATCGATCTTCTTCTCTTATACCTCAGTTCTACGCGCACCCGTACCATTCGTATTCCCTGTCTTTCTTGTTGAGCGTCAACCGCAACACCTATGGATGAGGACATGAACATGGACGCCCCCCAGGCCTTCGGCCTCCAGCCAGCCTTCGAGGAGCAGCCGCGCCTGCCAGTGAACACAGGCGATCCAAATCGAAAACAACTGCAAGTCTCCTTCCTTTGGCCCTCCTCTACCTCGTCGTCGTCATTGCCGTCGTGACGAACACACTAATTCTAATCTAACCCTCGCTCCATGCGTCATCGATTTGGATTACTGATGCTTGTTTGCTGCTTTCCAGAGACCTCGTGTTCGTGCAAGACTGCACAGGTAGCCAGGGCACATACATCTCTTCTGCCACGAAGAACATCGAGTCCATCTGTGCCCACATCTTCGAGTCCGGCAAACTTCAGAACCAGGAGGACCTCCGCGTCGGCCTCGTCGCCTTTCGTGATCACCCACCGCAAGACCACACTTACATTACCAAGAACTTTGGCTTCTCGTCCGATATCAGCCAAGTGCATAAGCATTTGTCAACGTTGTATGCGTCCGGCGGTGGGGATGGACCGGAGGCAGTAACGGCGGCGTTGGCGGAGGCGTTAAATATGGACTGGAGAGAGTATGCGAGCAAGATGGTCGTTCTTATCGCCGATGCACCTCCTCATGGGATTGGAGAGTATGGAGACGGTGAGTCCTTCGTTTACTTTACTTCAGAGCTGATTTCGAACATTTCGAATATTGTATTTCGCTCTCAGGGTTCGACGATGGTTCGCCTGATGGGAATGACCCACTCCAGCTTGCGCGACTCATGGCCAGTCGTGGAATCACATTGGTATGCTTGTTAGGCTTCAACCTCGGTTTCTCGTCTCTCACACTGCTCTCCTAGTTCTTTGTTGCCTGCGAACCAGCACTGAGCGGATACTCAGTGAGCTTTCTCGTGTCTAGTCATTCTATGTGACATTTGTCTCATTCGACATTCTCGCAGTACGCTACGGACTTCTACCAAGCCATCACATCGATCACTTCTGGGCTCATGTTACCATTGCTCACAGCAGACCTCCTAACACACGCGATTGTAGGAAGTGTGCTCGAGAACCTGGACATGGAGCGCCTCGTACGTGAAGTGGGCCATGCTGTTGCGCAGCGTATTCTCGGAAACAACGAGAGTGTTGACGACGTTGCACGCGAACTGCACGAGAAGCTGCTTCTGCGGAACGAGAGCACGAAGAAGGTTGTCATCGAGAGCATATACAAGGACTCAGAGGAGGCCAAACACAACGTTGCAGTCTTCTCACAAGCACCATCACTCGCAGAAGCCAGGCCATTGCTGAAGAGAGTAGGTGAAACTGTCATTTTTGAATGTGCCTTTCCTGAGTCGTGATTTCTAGGTACACGGCACACGTTTCACAGATAAATACCTCCAAGCACGTCACGCCCTTTCACGATCATCTTACGCGTCTTACGGCTCCTATTCAACACCGCATTCTCCTGTTCGAGCGCCTGCTTCGCCCAAAGCTCCGCCTGCGTCTCCACCACGAAAAGTTGTCACCGATTTCGCTGCATTTGGGGCCCCGAAGACTTCCAGCGTCTTCGGCACAGCTGTGGCATCATCACCCTTCTCTCTTGCTGGTGGCAAGGCTGCGTTCGGTGGTATGCGTGTGGGTGCAGCTAAAATCCCATTTGATGAGGACGACGAGGATGAGGATGACTCCAGACAGAAGGTTGAGTTGAGGGAAGATTCTATTTCCCTCGACCAGGTATGTGTATAATCTATTTGATCGTTCACCATTCGTGCTGATGTATCTTTTTTTCCCTTCTCTAGGCCAGACGAATTGCTATGCAAAGTGCCTGGAGAAGCGCGCGGGCGTGAGGGCCCTCTTCGTATCCTCTCCTCTTTTGTGTTCAACTTTAGGCGTCACTGGCTTGTAGTGCAGGTTTGAAATGATAACACCCGTCTGTAGACTTTCTGCCAATTAATTCGTTGCCGACTACCCTAACGACCCATTGCTATCTCTACAGAATGCAAAACCCTCCTTGCGCACGTAGCTACACCCCATCTCACGACCAGTTTTCTCAATCCGTTCTTGTTTGTTTGAAAGTACATACCTTCGTTTTTTGATTCTTTCTCTCTACTCCTCCTGGACGGCTGTCTTTGCCCCGTGTTGTATAATAGCTATCTGATCAAGCAAACCCTAATGAAAGCCATATGGAGGAGGATGATCATGCTATGACGACGATTGTCAGTTAAGCTACGCAGATAACGTTTTGCTGTGTTCAATTCAACAGTGATACACGGTAAGAATACAATTTGTGATATTTCAATCTTATAATAAATAGGCTTCCTCAGTAAGATAAGGCAGCTCAAGCAACAGCTATCGGCCTCGATCCACTAAGCCCATTTGCATACTGGAATTCACCCGAATTTTCGTACTGGGTGCGACGGTGTAAGCTTTGGATGAAACGCAGCTCGTGGTCTACATACCTCCCACATATCCATGGCCACTTGGCAGCTTTCGCGCACAACGCGGGGCGCGTCCTCTCTGTTCATCCATTCGCGAAGGTAGGGCAGCACTTCTGGAGTGGCAATCCCACCCAGGGCTTCAGCAGCCTCATGACGAACCATCTCTGATTCCTGCGAGTCCTGCAGCACCTTGAGTAGGCAAGGAACGGAATGAGGTGAGAGCATTTGTCCAAAGATGAAAGCGATTTCGTGCCTAGAAACAAGATCGGTTGGCTAGATGAAACCAAAGAGACGAAGAGGACACACTTGAACAAAGCACTGTCATCGCAGAAACCAGAAGCGAGGGCATCGACAGCAGCGGCAGTACCAATATCCCGTAACGCAAACATGGCGCGATAACGTTGGAAGAGGGAAAGGTTGGTGTCGACGAGCTCCTTCTTCAGCTTCTCGACGGTGTCCTCTGAGATTTCTTCGGACTTGGGGGCACCACGCAACAACCCAGATGTGGCCGGTGCAGGATCAATAGAGGTGTAGGCGCTAGACATGAGGAATCAGTTTGTAGCACGTTTGAAACTGAACTGGAGAATATCGCATACGGCACATCGTCGTTCTTGCTGCTACGATGCCTTTTGCCCTCCTCGGAGTTATCCCATTCGACTTTGGCAATGGCGATCTCGCATGTTTCGCGTACACTGCGTTCAGGGTCGGCCAAAAATTCCTTAAGGATGGGAACGGAGGAAGGGTGTGAGATGGCACCCATCGCCTCTGCTGCCTGGTTCTGTTAAACTACATCTGATAAGATAATGAAGTCAAAAATTTACCTCGTGCCTAACCATAGGGTCCTCCGATGTGTCCCTCAGGACGGCTTCGAGGATGGGCAGAGCAGAGGTCTTGTTTATCTGACCGAGACAGTACGCGAGTTCATGCTTGAGCAGAGCGGAGGGGTCACTGAAGCCTTTAACAAAATGATCAGACAAAATTTGGTGGTAGATCTAAGCGAGCAACCTTTGGAAATTATCTTCACTGCATCTTCCGACTTGAGTCCCTTGAGCGTGAAGAGAGCACGGAAGCGAGTGTGCAGCGGTACGTCGCCGGAAGTGTTGAGAAGGCAGTCCTCGAGCTTCCTGAGCTCAGACAGGGAGACAGTGAGAGCCATGATGCGATCGAGAAAGTGCAGAGATGATTTTCTGGCGGACTTCGAATCTCCGCTCTGATCTTTCCGTCCACCATGCCCAAGTCAAAACGCTCAAAATTGGGTCAGTCGTCCGTACATGAAATTTACCCCGCTGTCTTGTCTGAACGCTGTTCTTTTCAGTTTCCTTGACCAAGGTCTCCAAGAAGACCAGAGAACATAAAAGTGCCTTGATGATCGAGGTTTGCGGTCGCCTCACAAACCTGCGTACACCGTCTCAAGTCTTCGTTCCTCTGTTTAGATCCAAAACAGTGCTGAAAAGTGGAGATCTTGCTGGCTATTTGAAGTCGGATCTATGCGCAATGCGCACTTAAAAACTGTGAGGAAACTATGGAAAGAGTACGTCTGCGTATCCCATTTCTTCGTGTTCTCTGCTCACCTCGCAATGTAGTTCAGCTAGAATATTCTTTGGAAAGGGGGCGGTCATGGCAAAAGCATTGGGCACAACACCGGAAGAGGAACACCGGTTAGGTCTAGCAAAACTCGCCACAGTGCGTCGCCAAATTCTATGCAAGAAAACTTAAACTAATTCTTGCAAATCTGTAGCAAATAAAAGGCCAAGTCGGCCTCCTGTTCACCAATACTGAACCACAAGAAGTGCTAGAGTGGTTCGCCGACTTCCAACAGCCAGATTTTGCCCGAGCAGGCAACACCGCAACGCGGACAGTGATACTCCCCGCGGGACCTGTAATGCGACACCATTCAGACCCACCAGAACCCTTCCCTCACAATGAAGACCCTCAACTACGGAAGCTCGGCCTTTCGACGTCGATGGTCAAAGGTGTCCCGACATTAAATGCACCCCATAAGCTCTGCGACAAGGGCAAAACCTTGACCAGTGAACAAGCTCAGCTGCTGAAGCTGACGGGAGTCAAAATGGTGACATTCCGCGTCGGCTTGCTATCACGGTGGGATACTGCAACTGGAGAAGTGCTTCAGATCGAGGGCGGTGGATTGCCAGCGGGGGATAAAGGTCAGGACGACGAGATTGATGCTGAGGATCCGGACGCGGAGATGAGTGAGTAGATGCATTCTTTGTTGCATATATGATCCTGCTTCCTGTATGATCCTGTATACCTACACCGCTATATTTTTTCTTGCGTGTACTGTATGCCTTGTGAGCCTGAGACTAAGTATAGATTGCCTGCTGGTTTGTAATTCGGCTTGCGCATTGATTGTGCCATATTGTGTTCTCAACGCCTCACCAACTTCCCCACGTCTCCTCTTCTTCCCGTTGGCATAAGGCTTGGTTTCCAACACTCTCATCTCGCCCCGGGACCGACGCGGACAACAGTCAGCCATTGAGCAGTTGAATATTGGTTGAATACTTGTGGCAGTACACACGCCGAGGAACCGTTCTCGGTGACTTGATGAGGTTTTCTTTGGTCTCTCGGCCCAAATTCCCATCCAGGCCCATTCCCCATCTCCGACTATCAGTAAGATGGCGCCCCAGAATACGGATTTCAAGTTCAGGGAGGGTGGCAACATCTTCTCGCCTAAAGATCTGGTATGTGGCCTTGTCCTTATCCCTTCGACGCGTCCTTATCCTCCAACCACGCCCAGATTCAACTCGGACGGCCAGGTGCTGCCATCGCCAATCCTACTGGCGATCTTGCCCTGGTCCTCTTCAGCAAATATTCGATCAAAGAAAAGAAGTTCGTGTCTTGCCCGCCGCAGACCTTGTAGCTCTAATCCATGCTGTTCGATCCAGGAACTCCAAGTCGGTGTATGTCGTGTCTCTCGACACGGCTGGCAAGTTTATCAACATCCCAGTACGCAGCATCCATCTATCCATATATGGTTCTCATCTGCGCGCGTCTAGCTCGATAAAGGAGGCGATACCTTTTGGGTCGCCCCTCGTACCTTCGCCCAAGTCATTGAAGGAGACGAGGACTTGGAAATCTACGCGTACGACGTGTCTCTCGAAGCCACCGTAGACGGATCGAACGATGGCAGCAAATCATACACCGAACCTGTCCTCCTGGGTACCATCCCAGGCAAGACGGCGTCGAACTTCCGCTTCAACCCGCAAACCGGCAACCTCGTCTTCTCGGCGTATGTCTACCCGGACGGAAACCTTACCACTGTCAAAGAGCAAGACAAAGAGTGGGAGGAACGAGGTAACACCGCGTTGGTGTACGATACGACCTACGTGCGCCACTGGGATACCTGGCAGAGCAAGAAAGGGCCCCAATTGTTCAGCGTTAAGCTTGTCCAAGAAGGTGGCAAGTGGAATCTGGTCGACGACTTTAAGAGTCCGTTGAGAGGGACGAAGCACGTGAGTGTTTATTTCGAACACGACAAACTCTTCCTTTCTAATCCCTTCTGGCTCTGTATAACCAGTATTCGCCGGTTGAACCATTCGGTGGAACTGATGACTTCGACGTATCGGACACCCATATTGTATACACTTCGAAAGACCCCGATCTTCCGGAGGCATGGCATACGAAGCAGAATGTGTGTCATTTTGTCCTCGAGGTATTAAATCACATCATGAGCGTCTCTCGCAGGTCTATGTTGTGCCTATTGGCGCTGACGAAAAGCCGGTCGAATTGACTTCTGGAAAGCAAGGAGCAATCCACAGCCCAGTTTTCAGCAACAAAGGCGACAAGGTCGCGTGGCTTGAACTGGATAAGGACGGTTATGAAAGTGATCGGTATGTGTCGGACTAGTGAGGTTTGCTAGTGGTGCTCTCACACTCGAGACAGCGCGAAGATTGTCATCTATGACCTCGAAAAGCAGGTTCGCTTTACTGTCACCCAACCGTGGGATCGTTCGCCGGACTCGCTGGCTGTGCGTATTCTTTTCAAGAGTGTCTTGATCCCGATCTGATAAAAGCTTCTATTCAGTTCTCTAAAGATGACACCGTCATCTACCTTACCGCCGGCGACGAGGCGAAGGTCAAAGTGCATGCCCTTCCAGTTGCGCCGACTCCATCCCATTCGTCTACCCATCCAAAACTCGACTCGAGATTCTCTATCCCAATTGCGCTCACACATGAGAAGGCCGCCTCTGGCCTCCAAGTTTTGCCGGGAGGCAAGATCCTTTTCAGTCAATCGTCTTTCACATCACCAAATGACGCCTTCGTCGCTATTGGCCTCGATGCTCTTGAGGCTGCTCTCGTATCCGGCGACAAAAACGCAGCTGCTAGCGTCGAGATCACCAGGATTACCCATTTTTCAGAGGAGGATTTGAAAGACAAGAGTCTAAGCGAAGGAGAGAACTTCTGGTTCAAGGGTGCACACCATAAGAATGTCCAAGGATGGGCACTGAAACCGAAAGGATGGAAAGCTGGCGAGAAGAAGAAATGGCCAGTTGTCCTGCTTATTCATGGAGGTTCGATAGATTTCTTGCTTTATAAGAGGAATGCTGATTTTTTATGCCTTCTTCAGGCCCTCAGGGTGCTTGGGAGGATCAATGGTCGAACCGCTGGAATCCCAATGGTGTGTCTTCCACTTCTTATACTTAGCCTTCGACGACATATCTCACGACCCAACAGTATTTGCTCAGCAAGGCTATTTCGTGACCATGATCAACCCCACTGGAAGCACGACATTTGGCCAAGGTGTGTTTCTGAGTCAATATCAATGAGGGACCAGAGCTCACTAATTTGTAGAGTTCACTGACGCAATTAAGGAGGATTGGGGTGGCAAACCTTTCGTCGATATGATCAGTGGGTGGAAGCATGCTCTGAAAGAGTATCCTGAGGTATGGAAACCTTAATATCTAGATGAAGGTTACTAACCTTCGCCCTTCTGAAGATCGACCCGGACCGTGCTGTCGCTGCTGGTGCTAGCTGGGGTGGCTATGCCATAAAGTTAGTTCATCGGTGTTCTTCACCGCTGCCTATGCTTACAATGACTTCCAGTTGGATTCAAGGCCACCCCGAGTTCGGGTTCAACTTCAAGGTCTGTAGACACCCCTTCCCTCCCCTCTCTGCATCCATCATCATTCTAATTGTTCTCACTCAGGCTCTTGTTTGCCATGATGGAGTAGGTTGCTTTAAGAGCTGTCGTTGAACAACTCTCAAGGTGATGACAGGTTTTCGATTCAACTTATAATGGTTACAGCACCGATGAACTATTCTTCGTGAGTTTCACTTGATGTGTGTATTCTCTTGCTCCCACTAACTGGGGTCAGTTCAACCATGAATGGGGCGGCAGACCTTGGGAGCATAAGAGCAAGGCACTTTCCACATTGTAAACTACTACATTATTTTATTTTCGTCTGACTGCTGATTGGTCCATGTGTTTCTAGGTATAGCCCAGCAAACTTTGTTCACAAATGGTCCACGCCTCAACTCCTTATTCACGGCAGTAAGGACTACCGCCTTCCTGAGACCGAGAGTATTGGTGCCTTCCATGCACTGCAGGAGTAGGTTTCAATATCCAGTCCTTTTCCAGTCTCTTATGGCTCTTTAGGTTGGGCATCCCAAGTCGACTTGTGATCTTCCCTGACGAGAATCATTGGGTGTTAAATCATGGGAATAGGTCTGTTACCCTTTTCTCTTATTTCCTTGCCATGCCCCATTAATTGGTTACAATTATAAAACAGCCTCAAATGGCACTACGAAGTCTTCAGATGGTTCGATCAGTTTGTTGGCGAAACGAACTGAAGATAGTCAGATTCTTCATTTATCTGTGGTATCAAAACAAGGAGATGTCGGGATTGGCATCAAGGAAATGTATCGTTCGTCCATCTGATAGTGTCTATGTCAAGCAAAATCTGGAGAAGCATCCGGGGCAGAACAGCACGGCGATATCCTGAGTCCGACTCAATGAGTGATGTTGTAGCGGATGTGGTTGTAGACAAGGCTAATACGGTAGCCGACAGATGAAGTAAGCCAAGTTTCTCGGATTCGAGAAGTAAAAGATGCATACAGCACCAGTTCCATACTCTTCGAGGACGGTCAGGAAGAACGTAGCGTTATGGGTATTGGATCCGGTCCCAGAGCCCCTTCCGAGCATTGCAAAGTTTGGCATTGTCAATTGTTTTGGAGGAAGATTATTTGGGTTGGGATTGCCTCGTTACATAAAAATTGTTCATGTTATTGAATTGAAAAGCCTTTGAGGACAACTGCGAACCAGCGTAATTGGGTTCGGCGTAACGACCGAAGTAATGTCTAGCTGCATAGTTGCTGAAGGGCACGAATGCTGCTGGAGGCGAGGTAAATAGCCAGACGGTGTAATTATAACTTGAGGTTCCGTAGTCTACAATGTATTGGTAGGAGAAGTTGAAGGTTGTTCCTGGGTTGACGATTGCGCCATTTTTCAGGTTCTCGAATAGACGGCGTCGTTGCGAGGGCTGCGAGGGCGAGGGTCAGGAAAGTGGCTATATTGCTAAGCTGCATGTTCGCCACTGAAGCATGAGGAGTTAAATAGGCCCCAGAAGAGCGGGCAGTGAAGGCCTGCGTGAATAAGTTGGATGTTCGGAGACTCGTCGCGCCAGTCGGAAGACGAAGAAGTGTCTTCGCAGAGGCCCAGAATGACGGGGAAGAGGCGCATACACGATGAGGCGTTCGTATGGGTGGAGCTTGCTGTAAAAAGACAGGAGATTGCCTGACGAGATGGAAGTCGACTACTGACAACATCTAGCCATGCGGCCCAGCCCTTGCGAGTTTGAGAAGCAAGCAGAAAAATAACAATGCTCGCAAGGTCGCACGTTGCGACAAATTCAATTTGCAATGAAATTGTGATTTTAAGGAGAGTACGGTTTCAAGCAGACAAATTACCACGTGTTGAGCTGTCATTCAATCTTCAGAGCTCCAAGATTTACATGAAGCTTCGAGTAGTGTGAAGTTTGGACTGTGACCCCCAATCATCGAACAGCCTCAACCTCCGAAAAATGCTTCAAGAAACGTCCGTGGATGATATGCCCTTTCTCTCCTTGTGCAACAGGCCATAGCACTCTTACGGCACCATCCTCCCATCCGATCGGACAGGGATCACCTGCCCTTCTAACCTTCTCCATGAAGACTGGATCAGCACTCATGTAGCCTGGATCGACAGTGTTCATCGCGACGCGGCCGTTCTTCCATGCGGGCCCTGCCTCAGTCTCGGTAAGCATGTTCAGTGCTGCCTTTGACATATTTGTATGGACGTGGTATCCATCCTTCGCCCTGTGGTCCGGGCTGTCTTCGAATAGACCTTCGCGCGAGGAAACGTTAATGATATATCCAAAAGGCTTCGATGGCGCGGCATCATCACGCTGCGAGTGTGAATCGGAGGGAGATGTCAGTGCTGGAGCGGACATGAAGGGCAGCAACTCTCGGACGAGGATGAAAGGGACGAATGTATTGACGCTGTGAGCGGAGATGACATCTTCGTAGGGGATGTCCGATATGCGCTGAGTCCACGATGATAACGTATCCTGGGAGATGATAGAAATGGCCTTAAACTCGTCGTTGACCTTGATCTTGAATCTGGCGACTCGGAGGGCGCTGTGACTTGATAGTGGCTGTAGACGCCAGCACGAACTCGAGGTGAATATGAGCCTCCTAGAATTAGGCCCGCCAACGCACTGCTTTGGAGGCTGATCTCTCTCTGTATGCTCGCCTGTTCCTTCTCCGTGGAATCGGTCAGCGTCTGAGCGGCGTTGTTGAACAGGATGTCCAATTTTGGAGGCTTATTACCATCTTTCAGACATTCCAGCACTGTATTGACAAGAGCAAAAACATCTTTGCGCTTCGAAAATATGCTCCGACTATCTTGAGGCAGGATTGCCATTCACTGGCATCCGTTTCACTGAGATGCCGGGACTGCGTATCGAGAGGATAGCGAGATGAGACTATAACCCGTGCACCACACCGCAACAAACGCAGAGCCGTGTGATATCCTAGATTAATCCTTCCTCCTGTAACGGGCGCGGTTTTGCCAGTGAGGGCGAGGTTGGACGGAAGAGAAAGTGAGGCCGATGAGATGTTGAACTCCCCACAAGGATTACACAAAGCTGGGTAGAGGTGATGAGGAGCATTGATGACGTATCGGTATATGTAGCAAGGTCTTCTTTCTTGTTTGCTGCACCACGGGCACCAGCAGAGATAACTGGCCAGTGGCTTTCGATGTGTGCAACAACAGATTCGATAGGGGTGGCCGGATCAGAAGACAAAGCGATTTGAGGAAGCTGTAGATATCGCAGGACCTTCAGGGCAGCAAGAAAGTCGGCATCGGAGGGAACCATATGTGCCGGGATAGCATCAGTCGGTTGAGAAGGAGATTCAAGAGTGGCGAGATGAGTCTTGATAACAGAGACTATGCTGACCAACCGCATACGCGCAACGGATATTGGAATATCGGCACTTCCATGGATTGCACGGGCGATGTGATCGGTGTGTTGTGGGAGGCAAAAGAGACAGGATTTTACGCTCTCTACAGAGTTGCTGATCCTGGATAATGCGAGCCGCGATGGCTGTAGGGGAGTTGCCGGCTACAAATGTGTGGCATTCTTCAAGAGTTTTGAGCGATGACATCTTCAAGACTCTGCAGTCGTGAAATGTTCAGCGTCTTGGCTACCAGTGGGATGCACATCAAAATCGGGTGGGTGGCGGAGACATGAGTCAATGTACGCACCTACTACATAAGTCTGTAAACCCAAAATCTCCGCTCATCTGCCATGGCCCAACCCGCTCCTCGGTACAACAACGTCGCCCAACACCTGCAGAAACTGCCTCCTGAGGTGGTCCATGAGATACTCGGAGACCTGTCGATCATGAAACTTCTCGAGATTATCGGTGGTCATGATATACCCTACATAGACCAGCACCCTTTCGCACAAGGAGCTCGGAAAGGTATTCTTGCAGGAAACACTCGCAGAGGCCAAAACATATTTTATCGTCTACCTGCGGCTCTGTAGTCTGGACTACAGGTCGCCTCATCCAGAATTGACCAAGCTTAACTTCGACGCCGTCCGACTGCGTGCTGACCACCCGAACAACCGAGCCGACTACAATTCGCGGCGCTGTCTTGGAGAAGCTGAAGCGTTATGGACCATACCCTCCAGCAAGTTTTTGAAATTATTGATGCAGCAGAAGCGAAGATAAACGCCAAGAAGGTCGAACAGCTGGAACGGATGGCAAGGCTCATTCAGGAGTTCCCGATCTACCTGAAGCGGACCCATGACCACTCGCAGGAGCCACGGAGGAATGAGCAACATATAGTTGACGCTTTGTTGGACATGGCGCGGAGAATGCGCCGGAGGCAGCTCTTGTCGGGGCTCATTGTTGGAAAATCAGTCTTCACGTCTCGAGGGTTGCATCTAGTTCCTTACAACCGGTCAGATGCAAACGTAGAGCTGCGAGAGCTACTGACTCACTTTCAATACAGGTACTTGCGGCTTGCCTTAAAAAACTGAAGAAATACCCTCCTTGAAGAGAATGCTGGGGAAACTCCCGATGGCAAATCCGGCACAGTTCATCATGCATACCCTGCGGAACTGGAAATCGTTGCAAAGGGTCGTCATCTATCCTCGCATTGGGTCCTCAAGGGATGAAAACGAACCACAGATGCGAACCGTCTATACTCCGTATGCTGACAAGAGCCACCGACAACGAGGTGGATTCCAACAGCCTACGTTCTGGAGAGATCCTGACGCCCTTCGAACCAGAATGTTACCGTCGGAGGATACGATCATTCCTGCGGCTCATGAAGAGCTGGAGTGGTTGGAAGCATTCCTTAAAGTATGCGTCCACATGAGCGCAATCCAGGAGGAATGGAAGAAAGGGCAGACGATAGCAGAGTACTTGCACCTCCACTCATAAGGAGACAGGTGTGCGGCCCGGGTTTTGTCGGATGCCGTGCCATAAATAGCTTGCTTTGATTATCAAAGAGTCACGTGGGAGATAACATGTCCGAAAGATTTACGACAGCAAGTGGGCAGTGCTTTTACTCCCTTTATTCTGACCACCACGACATTGTTCTCCGCGTCACAGAAGCCCTTCAAAAAAACCCATCCATTCACCTCAACGACTGCATGCGACATGCCTCCGAAACTCAAAGTTCTTGAAAACAATGCCCGAATTGAGCAACGCTTCAAGAGCGAGATTTCCAGTTCCTTGGCAGCAGTTTTGAAGACGAATCCGCGTATGACACCAAAAGAAGCGATGTGGTCCATTGAACAGAAGATGCTCGCCAATAACCCGTACCAGCCCTTAGAGAACGGAAAAAGTCCCATCGGCGACCTACCGGACGAGATACTTACCCATATATTTTCCTTGGGCGTTCGCATGCAAGAGGAAGAGGATATGGACGGTTATGACGATGATGATGCATGGGAGGATGTGAGCACGGATGAAGAAGAGGACGAAGAAGAGGACGAAGAAGAGGACGAGGAGATGGAGACAGCAGATGATGCCGAAGTCACCTTGCCCGGGAAGGCACACGACTCAGACAGCGACATGGACTCGCTCCTTGACTCGGAGTACGATGGTTCGGATGAAGACGACGAACTACGCATCCCGTTCCAGGTTCTCGTCTCTCATGTGTGCCGTCGATGGCGCGAAGTTGTCCTGGAAGCACACGTTCTTTGGACCACCCTCCAGTTCAGCAACCGCCCGCGATTGGAGAAGGCCCAAATGTACATATCGCGCAGAGGTGATCTCCCGTTGGACATCTACATTGACTGTACATTCCCACCCGATGTGGATGAAGAAGACCACCCCGACCATTCCCTTTATCTCGAAAACAAGGCACGAAAAGGATCTAGTGAAGAACCCACATCCCCTCCCTCCGGTCTGGACAACGAAGACGATGATAGTCGCTTTCTCTCTCAAAGAGAGGTTTCTCGAATTCTGGATCTCATTGAGCCAGAAGCGGCGCACTGGCGCACCCTTGACTTCCGTGCAAGCACGTACAGTTATGTCCACCTCCTTCTTTCGCGACTGCATAAGTTGCCACCTGCTCCAGCTCTCGAATCATTCCAGGTTTATCATTTTGAAGATTGCGAGGATTACGAATTCTTCTCTGGAGACGATAAGACACCATTTTTGCCTTTCCAAGGAGAAGCACCCAATTTGAAGGAGGCCATTTTCTGGGGTGTGCACATCGATTGGGAGGATTCCTTGCGAGCATTCCTCCGTGATTTGCGGGAGTTAGAACTCTCGTATCACGCAAAGGATGTCCGCCCAACCTACCCCGTTTTCCGCCAGATTATCCAAAATTCACCCCACCTGCAGACTCTGACATTATCGCTGTCTGGACCAATGCTAGCTGACGGAGTTGCTTTTGATGACGAAGAGGCTTGGGGCCCTGAACCTCTTACAATCCCTTCAGTCAAGGATCTTGCGTTGCAGTTTCACACCCCAAGCTACGCCTCGGTTCTCGTTCAACATCTTGATCTGCCAGGGGTGCAAAATCTTGTGCTCAACTTTGACCAGGAAGACTATAGCGAGTTCGTGCGCGTACTTCTCAAGCCAGTCAAAGGGCGCACAGAATCCTTGCTGCAGCACGTCGAGCAGCTGAAGATTTCAGGGTTGCCTTGCAACGTCGCAAACGCCGAGGGCCTCCTTGGCCAACTAAAAGCATTGAAGTCGTTCAACTTGAAGGTTGTCGGCCAAGAAGAGCATGTCATTTTCCAGAAGCTCATGGATCCAGCCGCAGGCCGCCCACCCAATGCAACATCAGAGAGTGGTTCGGGCAGATTCGGAGAGCTTCCCAAGCTCTTCTGCCCTCTTCTCGAGTCCATCACGACGACCGAAGTTCCTGGCGAGGAAATCAAGCGCCTTGTTGCGGCGCGGCGCACCCTCGGAGTGCCCTTGAAGAAGATCCTCATGAGCGAAACAGATCATATCTCGAAGAAGGATGAAAAATGGATCAGAGCGCACGTCGATGAGCTCGACTTTTTCGAGCCTTCTGACTCAGAGGATGAGGAGCTAGAACTAGAGGTGTTGGATGACGACGATGATGATTCAGGTGACGAGAACGGCGACGACGGAGGAGAGGAGCCTTTCCCCAGTCCTTTTGCTCAGCACTTGGGACGGGGAAGACGAAGTGGTGGGCCGGATCTAGATTAACTTGCGAGACGAGCTTTATTTACTGCTAGAAATCACTTACATGTGTGTGTAAACCTGCATTTGCAGGATCCAGTTGAATGAAGTGTGTGGGTGCAGCCTGGGTCCTTCGGCCTTCCGGGCCGGTACCCCACTGCTGGAGGCAGCGCCTATACAGGTTTGCTCAGCAATGCCACAAGAGTATTTCCAACTCGGTGGCTACAGACCACAGATCCAATGGTACGCAGCCAAATTCTCTCCAGATCGTATACTAAATATCATCTGCGTAGGTTTCAGTCGACATACGACGATAAGCAGCTCGCAGAAGCCATTGCTAACCCATCCTCACCAATTCGATCGCGAAATGGCCTCAACACCGGCGCCGTCGAGCTCGTCCTCGGTAAATGCCCAGCCCTCTAAGCTGCTGCGCTATTTACACCTACAAATGCTGAAGATTAACCAACCGTCTTCCCAATTTTCGTTCCTTGGCAGGTATCAAACCCAGCGGAGCGTCCCACCTGCTTCTCACCAGCGACCAGACACGCGAGTTCGCCGCAGTAATGCGTCTCCCCCTGCCCCGATCTCCGCCTTTTCGTGCGAGTGACTTTGAATCGCTGTCGCCTATCTTGTTCTGGAACGTGGATGAGCTGACGAAGAAGTTGGTGACATTGAAGCCAAAGGCTGGCAAGGGAAGGGGAGGTGACAACAGCCAGGCTAACCGTGGATATACGGACGACATGGTTGAATTGTATCGTGGAACGTTTGAGCATTGCAGGTACGTGTATGATTCTACTTCTTCAGAACCCTCATGGTTAAATGCGGTTACAGGTTGCTCTATAGTGTTCTGAACGAGATAGCTCAACCAACAAAATTCGGAGTCGACGATCTCTCGTGGACTCAGACCCTTCGCGTCGCATCTCTGGTTTTTAACACGAGGGGAATAGACGACCGACATTCTTCGGAGAAGATGCGCAACCCCTCTGTGCTCGACATCGGGCTTTGCGACGCCCACATGCCCACTCTAAGACCGAACCACGGTACCGCGAAACATATCATCGACAAGACAAACGCGATGCTAGGAAGAAGGCAACCCAAAAAGGTGGGTACGTGTCAATTGCTTTCGTTTTCGTCTTGCGTATTGAAGGCATATTTCTTTAGCCTTTTAGGCACGGAGACAGCGAGGCGCTCCCTCATGATGCGGCCAGAGCCCGGTTGCAGATCGTGTTTCAGGATCGACAAGGTCCTAGTGCGCCTACGCCTATGATCTTACTTGTCTACCACGCGGAGCAGACGCTAAACTATCTCAAAAACATGGGTGTCGACACTTCCTGTTGGCGTTCAGGAATGAAGGATCTTCTCATGTCGGAAAACTCAAGAGCTGTAAGCATTCGTTTTTCGTTAACATAACTTTTTCAATGTGATAACCCGTTCAGAAACGAGACAGCTCCCCACCGCGTTATGGCAGCCGAGATCCGCGAAAATACTCCAGTCCTCCTTATGGACGCGAGACCTCATACACAACCTTGGACTGCGGCTCGCGTTCGCGATCAAGGTCACCTTCACGCCGGTCGAGCTACGAACAAACGCGGTACACTCCGTCGTCGTCCTCTCCAGGCTCTAGATACCCCTCCAGCTCGACGGCCTCCAGCTACACTGCGACAAGCTCAAGCTACAACTCTGGTACAACAAGCATCTCGAACACCCCAGCCCCGGCTCGTCGGTCGTACCCGCCGGTATACGTCCTCGACGTGCGCGAGCTCTTCGCGAAGCTCATGATCTCGCAGTTTGAGTGGGGCGTCGTCGAGATGGCACGCACGTTTAAGATGACGGATGAGGATGGGTGGTGTGCAGGGAATGAAGCTGTGTAAGTTTCTTTGTCCTCTCTTGTTTTTCTCTTTTACGATCTGTTTCTGATCCTCGTCTATTTTTTTCCATTTCCTGTCTCTTAGGATGATCATCGACGTATGGCGCGAAATGATCTCCTCGCTACCCATCGACGACCAGCGTATCCTCCGTTCGAACGCACTCGACCCGCGGTTCGCCTCTGCCTCTGCCTCAACCACCTCAACAGCAAGTGCAGAGCCTGTGGACACGAAATCGAAGAACCTGTACGACGAGGACTCGGACGAAGATCCGAACGATTTCGTCCTCCGCCCGGCGGTTGGTAGTGGAGGGGTGCTACCCCAGACATCGAGTGCCCAGGCAAACGACGACCCGTATAACTTTGACGAGTCAGACTACGGGGGCTCTGATGACGATGATGATTAATCGTGGACTGATGCACGAGGGTTGGACTCGGACTTTTGGACATTGGACTGTGTCATTGTACTGTACCTCGTACGTGTGCTGCATCTGTATCTCTTGGTGATCTTTTATGTGTTTCTACTGCTAGATCTTGTACCCTGTGATATCATCCATCTGCCCAGGCCCTTCATTTACTCATTCGACCTCGCTTTGACCGAGCTCATCATTAAACTTCATCATACACAAAAGCAGATGAATCAGTATCTTGATCATGTCAAACAAGTGTTCAAACTCTCTGCGAAGTTTCATTGGAAGGAGTGTCAGACCAATGGAAGTTATAGGTAGTATCACGAATCAATCTGTCAGATGAATAAGGCCATCATCGCCGCAGAGTTCGCGTGCCCTCGCCTGTTCCTCTTTCTTGGACCTTCCTTCTATGCATCCGTACCTCTCAGGTCCTCGTCCCTATGTGCTCCAGCGGGTATCTCGGGGTGATGATCCGTTGGGTGTAGATGGTTTATCTCTAGCGTTGCGGTCTTTAAGGAATTAGTCCGTGAATGTTCTCGACTTCTCGGGGGAGACATGAAATCTGAAGGGGATGGCGCTTCGTCCGAATGTCAGACGGAGAGATAAAGGAAGAGTGCCGTGTTGGCAGCAGTCAATCAATTGCAAATCGAAAGTGATTCTAGCTCGCATGTTAGGAAAATACTATCAAGCTGAAATGTGGAAGTCGCAAGAAGGGACGTTCATTTTTTCTAATACCACGGCATCGACATATTCGAAGGCCTCGGCGCCTACCTTAGACTTCTTCTAATGCAATTTATGTCCTCAATATTCAAACACACTGGCAGGGCTTCTGCATTCGTTTGTCTTTCCACGTCCATCTGCACCATACAAAGTCCAGGAATCCAGCCCAAGCAGACCTGGAGCATTTCGCATTACAACGTCCAAAAATTCCCAAAAACGAAAAGGACTAATAATATACAGCAAAGAGAGTAAGCACTGAGGACCATCGAAAGCGACCAATTAATTACGACTTGAAGCAACGAAATGGGGGGAAAGTATGTGCACTGCCCGTTTTACGCCAGTTGATGGGTAGGTAGGATGGGTACGGAGAAGCTGGCTGGCTCAGAGAGCCATTGCAATAGTTGGTACCGTAGCTAGGAAGATGTGTATGCCCAGGAATGACAATGGTATGTAGCAGCCCTGTTAATAGCCCTCATTACATGGGCAAAGGGCGGCTATGGAAGTGAAAAGCGACGTATCGCGTCCTTTCCGGAACGACGGGGCCGTCCGACTCTTTCAGGAATCAGGATCTATCTTTATCACTGAGGTTGATGAGACATGACCTCCACCTGGCACCAATACTTCCATGGAACAAACCCGCCCGATGGAGAAATGCCAAACAGCCTTCCTGGAGTTTGGAGGTCCTTCCCCAGTTCCAGATGGCCATAACTCATCGGACAGTTGGTCGGTGTTCGGTAGGGCCCGGCTTGGGGGTGCAATTATAGAGGGAAGGAGTGCAGAGGAGTGCACGCCCCACTGTGGTACTGGTACAGTGCAATGTACACATACGTGTACATTGAGGATGCCGTACTGTCCCCTCGAAGTATAACGGGCGCGATGTCAGATATGACCGGCAGGCAGTGCGTAGAGGGGTCCTCTGATCAAATGGGGTGAATTTGTTGAATGTGGGGAGGAGATTATAAGATGGTTGTCTGTTGTCGATGGTAATTGGAGACAGAGTTGTGTACTCGAGTACAGTGCGGATAAGTACAGTTGGGTTTGTGAATTGTGTGTGGTATTGTCGTGCATGGTATGCGTATAGTTGCTTGCGTAGCGGTAGCAATGTGTCGTGCGCGTGCGTGATGGATGGCGGTTGGTTGATTCAGGATCGATTGGCTGGTTGTGGGTGGATGGGGAGACATAGAGTCCTTTTGAGTCTTGACAAAAAAAGCAGCGAAGCATTGAGCAAGGCAGAGAGCAACGAATCTGGGAAGTAAATGAAGCAGCTAGTTGGAGGCTGAGATAAATTAGCAGTAGCGCGACAGAAGATTTATGGACGACCGTCCAGAGGGGGAAGGGCGAGTGCGTTAACTCTCGTGCGGCTGGGCTGGCACTGCTGATGTCGGGGCAGGCGCAGGTGTGCTCGTCCTCGTAGGCGCTGCTGACACCGACACCGCGCCTGAAGCTGGCAGTGCGGGCGATGGTGGAATTGCAGGACACTGTGACTTGGGCTGCCGATGGTTTATGCGCGTGACGCCGATCACAACCTCTGGCAACTTCCCCTCGTCGTCCTCTTCTTCCTCCTCGAGATCGTGCCCATCCAACGACTTGCGCGCGTCGAGCCGGGCGTTCTTCTGCGCTGTGCGCGACGGCGAGGGCATCGCGATGAGCACGGAGACCTGCAGCATCTCGACGCGAACTTTGTACGTTGTCGACTGGGGCGTCGTCGCCGCGCTGGTGCTTGCACCTGCGCCTGGTGATGCGAGGGTGGGAGGGACCAGCTCGAGGTCGCCGGCGTTCAGGTTGAGCGCGGGTGGGGTGGGAGGGGTAGAATCCGCGTGCAGACGGGAGGGTCGTCGGAAGAGGTGGCGCATGCGGGACTGAAGGCTCGGTGCTGATGCATCGTGGCTGGATGATGGGTCCGCGGGGTTGGCGGGGAAGTAGATGGCGTTGGGGTCCTCTAGGGCGGACTTGGGGATGCCTGACCAGTCTCTATATTTGCGCTTGACGAACACTGGCTGTGCAGCGAGGGGCTGGGACAAACGGGGCACAGAGATGAGTAAAGATTTTTTTTTGGAAGGTTCGATAGATGGAGGTGCGGGAGATGGTGTGTGGTGATGAAAAACGAGATGAAGATGATGGAGGTACTGACCATCATCTGGTCCCATTTTTCGCCCCCGTCAGCGAGCCAGGTGTCGATGAGCTTGGGTTTTGTGCCGAAGCGTTTCCGCTTTGAGCCCTGTGCGCGCGGCGCGAGTAGCATGCCTGCGGCCATGGCTTCCTCGAGCCTGCGCTGATACCTGCGCCTGAGGATGTAGGATCTGAGGACGATGGCACATGAGACGAAGAGGAGGAGGAAAAGAGTCGCGAGGAATGTAACGCTGGGTCTGTTTAGCTGTGAGAATGGGGCAAGCGAAGGAAGGGACACACAGATAGAGGTTGCTGGATGGGCCGGAGTTGTTGAAGCGTTCGGTGGGGGCGGCTGAGGACGGCGTCGAAGAGATGGTAGGGGCGGCGTCGGAGGGCTGAGGGGGAGCAGTTATTGTTGTGGAGGCCATGGATGCTGGAGGAAGGCAAGGGGCTGATTTCACAGAAACGGCAGGGGCTTGATGGGGGCATCAGGGCTACATAAGGAGCTGATCAATTTGTAACCATCCGCCCACCCCTTCCTTTCCCCCCAACCATGGCCGCCCCCGTCCTCCAGCTCCCAAACTCCCTCAACCTCCCGCCCCATCTCTCCGCCCACAAGTACTTCCTCGTATGTACTCTCACCGTCGCTGCTTGGGACACCCTCGTCCTCTCCCCTCGCACCTGGCGTCTCTGGAAATCCCCGGGCTGGCCCGCCCTTAAGATAATCTTCCACTTCCTCCGCATCTGGATGCCTGCAGAGTTCATTATAGTCGGTGAGCAGCTTCCCGGCCCCGCGCCCAATGTGATCGGCGTGCTCAACTTTTTTTCGCAGCGGTTGCCTTCTTTGACACAAAATGGTCCCAGTCGGTCAGTCTCCATTCCAACAGGCGCTCAGCCCAACTCTCATCTCCTCTATCTCCAGCGCTGCGAGAGCTTCTATCTTTTCGAGCCCATTGCCACCGCTATTCTCCTCGCTGCTACCTCTGGTGAGCCCCTCCGAGCTTCCCGGCATCAAACCCCCTCTCACCTCTATCTAGCCGTCCATGTTATCCGTATCCACGCCATCTATGACAAGAATCGTACCGTTCTCGCCGTCATGTCCGCTCTCTTCGCTATCCAGGTAGTCGTCACTGGTATCTGCTGTGGTTTCTATCGCTGTCCGTATTTCTTCCATTCATATTGCCACGGACCCTGTCTGACATCGAGCCCCTTTTTCCCCCCAGCGGTCCCTCTTCTCGAAGGTCAGGGATGCATTGCGGGCCCCAAGCACAACTGGGTCGGCATCTACTGGGTCGCCCCAACCCTCCTCTACAGCGTCTCGGTACGTTTTGTTACCCATCTTCCTCGTATTTTTTCCATCAAATTTATCTTGCCGTCGATCGCAGCTTGGCCTCGCCCTCATGCGCTCCATCCAGTCGCTCCAATCGCGCCCCCTAAGCCCTTGGAAGCTCATGCTCCGTGATGGACTCAACCTTTACGGCGTAAGTCTCCTTTCCTCGTGTTCCGTGAGGAGCTCTCCCTAATCAGTGTTGCGAACAGGCTATCTGGATCGTCAACATGGCCAACATGCTCTTCTGGTTCATCATCACCCCAACCGGCGAGAGCGACCCCATCAAGACCATCGTCACCTCCATGGCCGCCGTCCTGACCACCTCCATGACCCTCCGCATCATCCTCTCCGTGCGTGGCACCCTCGAGCACGGCGGCTCATTCGCCCTCTCTGCCAGTACCGGCGGAACGTCCTCGCGCACGACCCACGTCATCTCTGGTGCGCGCTCGGGCAACCACCCGACGAACATCTCGACGCACACGCCGCACACGTACACGCTCGACGACCTCCGCTCCAAGCCCGAGGGCGAGTGGGGCACCACCGACGCCGACAACAAGAGCAGCGTCCACGACGAAGCCATCAAGACCGGCTTCGTCCAGCCTCGCAGCGATAGCGATGTCAACGTCGGCGTCAAGATTACCATCGATAGGGAGATCGGCTATGACGATGAGAGCAACGGATACAGGAAGTAGGCGCTCTGCGCTAGTGTGTTGGGTCCCCTGCATCCTGTGTTCTGGGGCAAGTCAAGGGTATCTTCATTCAATCCACGGCTCGGGGGAAACGGGTCGGTGTGTGCCTGGGTGTGGCGGAGGCTGGACCGACAAGACAGGCATTTCGGACAATTGGATACCAGAGGAAAGGAGAAGGCCGTTTTCCGATCTATTCTTCCAAAACCACACATTTCTCTCCTCGTTCTCTCGCTTCTTTCCTTCTCGCTGACCCCCTCTTATCCATCCGTGCTGCTTCATGTGCCACTAGCTACACCATCTTATATCGTGTTGTGTGTGTTTCATGTACTTGCTTACCTCGGTGCGGTGCTTTATTTACTCCATTGTCGTTTCACATTCTACCATTTCGACGGCTGCCTACTGCTTATCTATATCTATTGCTACAATATCCTGGATAGATCTTCCTTTTTCCATGTACTCTAACTAACTGAAGCTATCTCAGTGTACTTGAACTTGAGCGCCGCCCTCCTGACATCCTCAATCTCGACTCGAGCTTTGGCAGCTCTGCTCCCCTTTGTATGGGTTGTGTGATATACTCCCGCTCCGCGTTTCGTCGGGAGAACACACGGTCGAGACCGCGCGGATGTCCCGCTTGCGTCGATCGACGATCATGGCGACCGATCGTATGCGCGTGGCTTCAATTTGCAATTTCCCTTTTGTTTATGCCCATCTTTCCTTTCTTCCACCCTCCATCCCTCCAAAGAAACCACAAAAGAACTCTACTCAAACAAGGCATCGAGGACCATTGAAGAGTTTGAAGGGTGGCTTGAAACTCGTTTGATAAAGACACGCACAGCTTCCTGATCACTGGCTGAATTCAGAGCGATCAGGAGCGATCTCGGATCACGAGTCACCGTGCGGCCGTCCAGAAGAGGAAGAAATTGCCCTTTTCGCGCTACTGTCGGGGCCTGGCGGGAGTGGCGAGATCATGACTCGGCTGGAGGGAAATTTGTCCCAAACTCGCCCCGAAATCAACCTATGCGAGCGGACAAAAATCGAAAACCGAAGTAAAATAAAATAACAAAATGTGACGGTACTTACTCTATGTTCACAGGTTACGAGTCCTACTTTAGTAGGAAACTCGTTTCTATACCCAGGATGCGGTCACAGAAATTCGCTCGTGGGATTGTAGCGATCTACCCACGGCCGCTGATTGGCTTGCCTCGTCACATCACGGCATGAACTCGATAAGATAAGATTGGTTTCACCGAGATCCCCATGCTATTGCCGTTCGTTGTTCGCTACCTCGCCTTGCCTTCGCTGCTACCACACCGCTCAGCTTGCCTTGAAGACAGCGCCGTACATACACCGCTCGCTACCGCAGGAAGAAGGGCAATATGCAAGGGGAGACTTAGCAAGGGGAGACCCACGGAAGAGAAGAGCAGCGAACGAACTGGACTCGGACAACCCGAGATGTGTTCTTTGCCGTGTCCCTCTCGCGCTCCCTCTCATCAGACCTAGCAATAGTTCAGTATACCAGTACTGAAGTACAATGAAACAGGATTATTATAATGATGTAGCATGAGACCAGTGATGTTTTTTTCTCCCTGCCATAAAAATAGAACTGAAGGGCAACTGCCATGGTGTCACTAGAAGGGCCGCGACGAGCGACCGAAGGTCGGCGACGAGCGGCCCCAAAAGATTTTCTATCAAATACTACATTATACATATGCCCTAACAGGCTTTCTGGTGTGCAGTGAATAATTTATTTGTTGCAGTTGGATAAAACCCGAGGCCTGGACAAAAAAGGACTCGTATTGCCACGCCCCGCGATGGCCCACACCGCACAAGTTACTTACTGGTGACAGCCTAGACTCACTGTCACTATGTCCGGCCGAAACCCTCTTTCAGTCGGTCTTTAGAGTTGGTGTCGTTGGTCACTATTTCTCCTTCAGTATTAAGCGCTGGTTGTTGGTCCACACCAAATAGTCGCTTAATGGCTAAATGGTTCAACAAAGCAAAATACAGCCAAGCACCATGTTTCTCGTATCAATCTTGCTCCTCAACCACCTTCATTGTCGCCTTTGTGGCCTAGTCGAACTGTAATTTCTCACAGCATGGTCAACGTCGCTCTTCGTAGGCCGCCCAATCCGCCCGTTGGGTTCTATGAAGAACCATCATACAGATCAGCCTATGATGGGCACGGCTACTGCACAGACTCGGACGCCATTTTAGGGGCACAATTTAGAGACCTCGAATTGGTTAGAAAGGCTAGTTACTTATCGCATATGCCGCTGCTCACAAGTTCGCTCTGACGAATCTCGATGCAGCTCGCTCTTCCACGGTCTGGCTTTGCTAGTGAGTGTTTCAGCTAAGAAATGTCTTTGATCGTGCGCTGAAGTCGTATTATCATCGCCAGCGACCATTGAGTCTACGTGCGTTGCTATTAAAGTATTGACAGCATATGCGTCTACAGCCATAGCAGTGAATGCCTATGCCGAATGTGCGGTTTTCAAGAAAATCAACGCCGCAGTCGCGGAAAGCTCCCATCAGGGCTTCCAGCACCTTCTCCACATGTGCCATTTTTTACGCATGAACAAGCATCTATCCTTTGTGTTCGATGTGTTGGGTTCCAGTCTCTGGACTCTCTGTCTGGAACAAGAGGGCGAGAGGCTCCCTTTGCCTGCTGTAAAGACCGTGGTCAAGCAATGCCTCCTTGCCTTGGACTGTCTTCACAGCGTATGCGGGTACATCCATGGAGGTCAGTGTCTTGTTCTGATGCTCATTTTCGAGCTTATTGCCTTATTCGCCCTTCCTCACGAAAGACCTCAAAGCAGATAATATCTTGGTTAATTTGGGCGACCTGAAAGCAACTGAATTGCAAGATTATATGAAAGTGGTCAAGCCTGCCATCTATGATCCACCGGGTTATCTATAAGATTCCGACGAGCCCATTTTTACCACCGTGTCACAACCACTACCGAATCTAGGGTTGGATCCTTCTCTGAACAATCTTAATGTCCGTATCATTGATTACAGCGAAGGTAACGTTATCCGTATCTCTCTGAGTACATCGACGCGTTTTGTTCTGACCTTAAATGGGCACAGCCTTTCTCATCGGAGAAATTTCAGAGAGCAGAGATTACGACGGCTGTTAAGCCACCATGTACCGTGCGCCAGAATTATTCTCGGTTATCCTCCCTCAGCTGCGATAGACATTTGGTCATTGGGTTGTAAGTATTGTGGGTTGCAATATCAACAATGTGCCACTTTCTGACCATGTATGAGCAGTTGTTTGAGCTCCTAACTGGATATCACCTTTTCGAAAACTCGGCGGAAACGCCCGACCTTACAACCTATTCACCCGACGCATTTGCAATTAATCACCGAGTTTCCAGAGCCATACCCATCACCGAGTTTCTCCATTAAATTTCTTGGTGCTATGCGAACGCGCGTCCCAACACTTCACCGCAGACGGTCAGAAAGACTTTCCATAGCAGAGTTTATCATTAATAATCACTTATACACAGGTTCTCTCATTGCCAGGATCTCTCATTGCCAGTACACCTGAAAATCTTCCCATGGAAGTTCTTCTGCCCGCCGTTGGCTCCACTGAAGACGAAGCAGAAGAAACTGGCCGTTTTCTGATGCGATGCCTAATCCCCGGACCTGCGAAAGCGCCCTTCCGCGCCGGAACTTTTGTGCAACGATTGGCTCCATGCTTAAGCGCTCAAGGTTAAGTGCACGTGTGGGCGGTCGAGTCGGCTCCAAGTTAGTTCGAACAAACTGCTTATATACGTATTCAAATTGTGAGATATTTACGCAGCATCCTCGCAGCAACCCAATCTCAACTTCCTCGAGTTTTTTTTTAGCTGTTTGAGTGCATGTTAGCTTTTGTGAACAATTTGATGGCGGATCGCCTCCTGTTAGTGTCCACGTCGTTTATTCGAGCAAGAACAGCATGAGTCCTGAATTGTGGAGCCACCAACTACTGAAACTGAAGACTGAAGATATGCATAGTACTGCGTATTAATAATGGCCCAAGTATAGGAGCAGTTCAAATCTTCCGTGTAGTTTTGAGCACTGAGGTTGGTGCTTGGCGGCCGCTTCCAGAATGACTGACGGAAGAGAGTAGGAACATACGGAAGCGTACTCAATTAGCGGCTAGCGGAGAGGGTTATGATCCCGACACAAGAAAACGTGAAATGAATTGCAGGTGAGATTTGTGCAGTGCAAGATAGAAGGAGGCGCACCAGGACGCGGCTAGTGAACTACCGTCGAGGTGATGAAGAGATTAAACAGTCTGCATTTGTTCATACGACGCTTCTGATATACAAACTTTGGCGAGACGACGACGCAGTCTTCTTGAGATGGGTAAAAAAAGATAATCGAGGGGTAGGAGAGAGGGGAAGAAGAAAATGCATTGAAAAGCGAGAACAAATGTATGTGCACACAGAAACTATGCTTTTAGAAAGTAAAGTTGAAAGTTGTGACGGAGGCGGGCGAAGGGTGTTGGTAGGCGGGCGGCGTGAAGAACGAAAGAGCAGCCACTGTGTATGTTCCAGTAGGAGATGCTGAAAATGGTCCATGTCTCGACGAATTACACAGAGAACCCGACAATTAGGCCAGATACAAGGGAGGACGACTTTGAAAGAACAGGAGAAAGAAGGAATGAGCGATCGTGCATATCATAGACCAAGGGGAAAGCGGGTTTGCATACGAGGATAATAGAGAGGGAGAGGAAACTGCGCTACACAGAAGGATGCGGTTATGCCATAGAAGAAAAAAATATGAAATGAATGAGGATGCGGAAGTCATACATATGGTTGGGCCTGTTCTTACAAAACACATACAACCGTTGGGCCATATGTGCTGGCTGCGACGATAGCAATGCGACGACGGGAATATGCCGGGTAGTTGGAAGTGTCTATGAGGGTGTGTTGAATAAGGGGATTGGAAGGATGCAAGGTAGATGCTAGGTTTCCTTGTGACGATTAAGATTGGATAGCTTTCAGTTCTTGGACCAGTCGCTGAAAGAAGGGTTAGAAATGAAAAAAAAAATAAAACACTAAGGCGATGGTCTCACTTCTGCGTCTTTCAGCAACGATTCCGGATCGATCGACCCTTCACTGGCTAACCTGACGCCGTACTCCAGTAATTGGTGCATATAGTATGGGGTAATGACGGCTTCGTTCTCCTTGAGCGCCGGTTGAGCAGGAGCTAAAAAGCACGAGAGCATCAGACATCTGGTAACTGGTAGAAACGGTGCGTCCTCACGTTCTTGTGATGCCAACCAGCGATCATTAAGCAAGGAAGGTATTGTCGCGCGCTCCTTGGCATTGCGGCACAAGCAGCTCTTGATGGTGGCCACAACATCCTTCCGGACTCGCACCTTGAGGTGTTCTAGTCTCTTTGGAGGTTCAGGTGGTGCCCCTGGAATGCCGGCTTTCGACGATGGTACAGTAGGAACTGAATACTCAGGATATTCAATCACATGTGTCAAATCAGGGATCGCCTTCATCTTGTGGTAGACAGAAAGATGCTGGAATGGTGGTTGACCGTATACCATCTGGTATAGGATGATACCCAAGGACCAAACGTCCGAAGGGCGACCGACTTTCAGTCGGCGCATACCATCTGGCAGTTCGATGGCTTCAGGACTCATGTAATTGACAGTGCCAATCTGTTGAGGTGATCAACATTCGAAAGAGTTGCGATGATTAGATAGGAGCTTACCTGGTGATCTCGTTGGATGTTCGTTGTATCGTTGGCTATTGCGTTCGCAATACCAAAATCGATTAGCTTCAGCTGACCGCGGACCAACACAAAGTTTGCGGGCTTCAAATCTGAATGCACGATCTTTTCTTCATGAATCACTTGCACTGCTTGGAGCATCTATACGAAGCTGGGATCAATAAACTGAACCCGACCTTGGACTAGATACGAAACATACCTGTTGCCAGTAGTAAGCAACCCAAACCATGTTCAGCTGGTCCTTCGTCTGCTCTGATAGCAACCGAGCAAGGTCGATCTCGCCACATTCCATTACAAGCAAGAGGTGCCCTTTATTACTCCCAGTACCCGGCTTGAGCTCGCTATCGATCAGGCGAATTATTCGACTATTACCATCGAGGCGTTTGAGGAGTGCGATTTCGTTCATATACCCATTCATAGTTTCCGTGTCCGTCTTGTCTAACGAAACCCGTTTAATGGCGTAAAGTTCGTTGGCGTGGTTGAGCACACGGTAGACACGCGATGAGCCTCCCTTGCCTATCATGTCCAGCCGAGCATAGGCTTTCTTGTTGACCTAAAAAGAGAGAACATCAACACAGAAGAGCCGAGAATAAGTCAATTCCACAAACCACAATATGCCGATTGAATTGAGTAGCCTGACTTTGGGCAGATGATGGAAGTGCTGACTGCGACGAAATTGTTGGAACCGACTGCGAGTGTTGTTGCTGTTGAGACAACTGAAATTGCTGCCACTTTCTTTCTCTGTCACGATCCTTCTCTCGTTCTCTTTCCCTTTCGCGTTCCCTTTCCCTTTCACGTTCCCTCTCTCCAGAGCTACAGGCACCTCCATGCTCGTACTCGTCATCCCTTTCTTCTTTCTCCACACCTGCCCAAGTCTTGCCAAGAGGATGAACTGGAGGATCCGATTCTCGTAACGTCGAGGGTTCTGGAGCCGTCGGGCTTCGTCGATGCTTTGCTACATCTCGAGCTGCTTTACTTGCGGTCGCAGGTGAAAGGCGACCTTTGGCAGGTGGAGATGTACGTCCCTTCAGCGAGGTGGCAGGAGAGAGTCGTCCTTTCGCAACAGGAGGGGATGCACGCCCTTTTGACGTTGCGGAAGGAGAAGGGCGTGCATGAAGGCGGGGCGCTAGCGGAGGGGACCCTCGATTGGAATCGACAACCGTTGGTGAGCCAAGAGATACAGCCGATGTGGGAGGGACGAGGCTTCGGAGAGTGTCCGAATCCCGTCGCCTATGCCCGTATGCGGGTCTCGATGACTGAAGTGGCTGGTTATGGGTAGGAGAAGACGAAAATTCATCCCTGCGTTCCATTTCGTCTTGGGCACGATATTCTGAGAGATGCTTAGCTGTATGTTCGAAGCGTAAGGGAAAGGAAAACATGCTTTTGAGCTCTGCCCTACCATCTTGATCTTGTCGTTCGCGCTCCTGGGCTGTAACTCTTCGAGGTCCTGCAACACCGTCTGCGTGATGGCCTGACATTTGAGACATTAGAGGGGCATAATAAGCGATTCTCAATACATACCCGTACTGGTGCCGGGCCTTGAATTAGGGTTCTGGTACTGGTGTTGCAACTGTAATTGGTAGTCGTCGTTGTCTGTACGGAACGTATTCAGCAAAGAACCCGGAAAAGACAAGAAACTACTAACGGAGGGCATCGCTTAAACTGGCAGATCTACGAGGTCGCGTGTTGCCAGACTGCGTGAGACCGTTCACGTTGATGCTCAGGCCACGAGTGCGGACTGCACCTGTTGGGATGGGCTGAGGCAGTGGGATGTTTGCTGGCTCAATAGCAGTTGGGAGCGGCTCGTCTTCTGGCTCCGTGTCCTCTCCTCCAACAGGAGCGACGACGGGAGAACGACGGCCACCTGTCTCGTTGTCACTACTCTCAACCTCGGAAATGCGATCGACGTTGGTTTGAGCATTGGAAGTACCATATTTGGTTGCGGACGATGACTTCATGATTCGACCGACACGGTTGGGACCGGGCAAGACTGACCGGGCACGTTGTGCGGACACGTCCGCGAGCGGTCTGCCACTCGCACTGCTGGAGCCATTAGCAAGATAAGCTGCTCGTGCTGTCGTCAAACGTGTGGAGGCTGAGGACATAGAGCGTGTAACCAGGGGTGGCGAATTTCTTTGCTTCGTCGCAACCGAAGCAGCTTGAACAACGTAAGGATGCTCATCGGATTCGCTAATATTCTCCTTTTCTTCCTGTAGTGCATAGTCGAGGGTCTGTTTCGCCCGTGATGCTCCCATCGATTCGTGTCGCTCACGCGCGTCTTCGGTCGCCACACGGCGTGGTGCTGCACGGGGCTTCGAGAGCGAAGATGATGTAGGCGCTAAGTACGAGGGCGCTGATGAAACAGGGCCAGACGCGACTCGTTGAAAGGATCTTGCTGGGCGGTCGTTCTGTGTCACCATTGAGCCTCCTGTCGAGCCTGTGAGGATGGGAAACGCGCTTTCTGAACGCGAAAGAGATATTCGTGGGACGGGTGAGGCGTGTAAATCCGGAGATGAGGGTTTGAGGTTTGGTGGATCTGGATGGAGAGATGTCTCCTGAGGTGTTGGAGGCGACGAGTTGTTGGATTTTGAAGACGAGCCCTTGGAAAGACGTATGAAGTTTCCATCCTGGTCAAAAATGTAGTCAAATGAGAGGTCGTCGATGATTGAGGAGTCGTCCGAGTTGGGAGTCGTTGACTTTGAATTGGAAGAGAAACGGCGGTCGTCGGGGGTGCGTGGGGGCGAATTCGAAGGGCTTACTGACATGATTGGAATATACCGGAGAACGAAAGAGACAGCGACGAAAGCAAAGAGGAAAGCACGGTGGACAAAGCAAAGGAAAACGAAATATCAACGCCAAATATCAACTCGTGGTCGAAACCAACACCACGATGCAACCAGGACCCTTAACACTACTTCTCGTTTTGGTCTGATTCTTCTCCCGGCTAGCTCCGGACACCCCATACATGGCAGTTTGGCCTCGGGGTCCTTCCTCATGGCCACCAACGCGATCACGGGACTAATCACGTCGGTTACGCGTCCGCCGTCAACTAACCTTCAACATGTTTGTGAATTCTCTATTTCATTGCTGCTGTCCAGTGTCGAATGTTAGCCACCGATGAGAAGCCATGTACAAGAGATAGTGGGTTCAGACTCCAGAACATTGGATTTGCAAGAGATATGCATACTATTAGCTGATTACAGTTTAGCCTTGCCAGAAACTGGACAGGACGCCGAGCCCTCAGACACAACGACCTTGTTCATACCGGCTACGATTTCCTCGACGCCCTTCTCCAGGTCCTTCAACAGTTGTTCGCAGGTGGGGATATCGTTAATCAAGCCCACAGTAACGCCAGCACTCCAGATTCCAAGGTCAGGGTCACCTTTCTCGTACACCAAGCGTCCACGAGCTCCGGAGACGAGATCCTTGATATCCTCGAATTTGGCATTTCCGCGACGTTCAATTTCTACAACCTCCATGGCGACTTTGTTCTTGTAAACACGGGCCGTGTTACGAAGACTGCGGAAGATATGAATCGTGTCTCGCTCTGTTGAAGCAACGATTTTCTCTTTGATATTTTGGTGGATAGGACTACGAAGAAAGTAATATGTGTTAATTCGCAGGAGGACTTTGTGATTCTGGTGTACTCACGCCTCAACCGTGCACATGAAACGTGTCCCCATGTTAACACCCTTAGGAGAAATAAATAGTCATTCTATGATTATACGTGAAGGCTGACTCACAGCTGCACCAAGAGCGAGAGCAGCAGCAAATCCTCGAGCGTCAGCGATACCGCCAGAGGCAATGAATGGAACCTTGAGTTCCTTGACAGCCCTGGCCAACTGAACGAAGAACGCCTTTGTTATGAAGACTGGCAGAAATAGCTTTAGTAGCTCACCAAGACAAGACCGCCGATGTCGTCCTCGCCAGGATGACCAGCACCTAGTTTGAGATACGTCAAGAGCAGAACCAGATGGTGTTGAGTAGGACGACTCACACTCGAAGCCGTCGATACTCAACACATCAACGCCCAGCTTCTCAGCGCTCTAAAGGAACAGAACTTGAGCCATCGGAGAGAAGGTTGATTTAAAATCTTCTGTACCTTGGCGTGCCTAATGGTCGTACATTTGTGAATAACAATGCAACCTTGGCTCTTGAAGTATTGGATCAGGGGTCCAGCTAGATGTCTATTGTCGTTCTCTTGTCACCACCGCAGAAACAAGAGGGCGTACGATTGTTTCCTGCAGTCTCAAAGATCTTGACCCCTTCCTCAACAGAAACTCGGGCATAACCAGCATAGTCGGGAGGGTTAATGCTTGGTAGGAGGGTGATGTTGACACCAAAGGGCTTCGAAGTCAGTTTCCGGGTCTCGCGGATCGCGACTCGAAGAGCGTCTGGAGAGGGTTGGGAGAGGGCAGTCAAGACGCCTGTGAGTTTTCGATGTTGGCATCAAAAGGTTTGCCCGTTGTGCTCATTCAACAAAAGAGATGGGACATACCCAAACCGCCAGCGTTTGACACAGCCGCTACCATAGGAGGGAGACCAACCCTGAGAGAGTGTTTGTAAGTAATGGGTCCAACGATCTATGACAATATGATTGGATCTACCATTGCATTCCTCCTTGCACGGCTGGACTGCAGTCAAGGGGAGTATCAACCCAGGTCGAAAGTTAGGAAGAGCAGACGCACATTCGGATGCCGAGCAGTTTCGTGAGAGGTGTAACAATCATCTTATTGGTGGTCGAAGTAGAGAAAGCCCTAGCTGGAATGGGAGGAGCTTTTTGAAAAGCGGGCAGTAAAGGTATCCGGTTAACAGGAGATCCGAAGGCGGTGGGCCTGAATAACTGCTTAGAGGGGCTGGATTGAGCGATGAAGTTTGGGCTTGTGTTGGCGCTATAAGCCGGTATAAGCCTTCGAGAGCAAACAAGAGCGATCGCAAGTGGTGGCTTCGAGAGAGGGACAGTGGAAGCAGAAAGCATGAGCTCTTGCCTGGTCATGTAGGCGGCGCATCTCGCTGTGCCGGGCCCGGTTTACCGTAAAAGGGAAGGTGTTTTAGAGGCAGCTTCGCCATCCCAAGGGTTTTCCTTTTGCGGACGCGGACCGAGCGATGACCGAAATGACCGAAGAGACATCACGTGATAGAAAGAACCGAATTGAGAACAGTTCCGGGCCAAGAAACGTCCCTGCCGAAGTGTGAAACGGAAATAATGACGAAATAAGATACCTGCCGAGGAGTTTGAGCGAGGTTTCAGACGAAAACCCTGGCCAGAAAAGTGCACAGAATTGCTTCCGGAACACCCTTGAAATCACCAATTTTTCGTTTTAGAGCATGATTTCCTCGGTCAGGTGATGGAGGGCCGGGGGCCGGAGTTCCGGGCCGAAGCACTTCAACAGAGCAATGTCAAGTATGTACAAACGACAATGTGACTCAACCACTTGCATAAGCGAAACTCAGAACTTGTCTCGAAGGATCAGGCGATGGCAATTATGCAATATTCGAGTGCCAGACGGTGAATTTATCCAAAACTTATCCTCAGCGCACTATGTTGGCAACACTTCCAACTCGGACTTAATGAACATCAAGACCCAAAGTATCGCTCGACTGGCTCATGCTGAGGTTCTTAAGTTGTCGCTGGAGCAGCAGCTTTGTCCTCCTCGTCAAGCTTGTCCAGCCACTTTGAAACAAATTTGGAATGGGCCCCATAGTTTACCGTCGCATCCAGAGCATCCCTGCGATATGAAAACGTTTAGTTTACGGTATGCAAGTCTATATTGTCAGTATCATTCCTCAGCACACTCACCTCAGGATCCCCTTCTTGTCGATTATAAATGTCACCCGCGCAACTGTGGCAAGTCCCATCAACCCTTTACCAACTCCATACGCCGTGACAGCCACTTTATCCACGTCGCTGAGCACAGGATACTATATAGTTCATGCTCCAGTTAAAGATCAGTGAATGCAACTACCAGAAGATACTTACCGTCAATTTCTCTTTCTCGACGAATGCCTGCTGCTTTTTCACGGAATCGGTGCTAATGCCGATGATCTGCACCCTTCCAGGCTTGAAAGTGTGCTTCTCTGGGTGCGAAATATTTCGTATGTCGAGGTTGGTAAAGATGTTTGTACACACCCGCTATGGCATCTCGGAACTGGCATGCCTCTCGAGTACATCCATATGTGCCTATGATCCTATGATTAGCAGATATCTTAGAAGCGATCCGTTATTGGGAACGGTGGAGATACAATACCTGCGTGTGGGTAGAAGAAAATCGCAGCGGGTAAACCAGTTCCACCTGGGGTGAACGTGAACGTCTGACCGTCGTAATTTGGGAGAGTGATGGAAGGAGCAGGCTTCCCAATCAATGATTGGAAGGTCATGGTTGGCGACAAAGATACGTACTCTTCAAGCTTCAACTCTGAGGAACTTATATACGGTGTGGTGTCCTGTGCTGACAGAGACAAAAAGGGAAGTGCACTAGGTCTCACTGGATGTTGTAATCATGAAGCATGATGCATGATTTCCGACAAACTTTACAAGATATGCGCATGACCTCGAGAACAGCGGTATGATGAACAAGAGGCCAACTGCGATTCATCAGTCCAAGAATCCAGACTGAACCTGCACATGAACGTTCGATAGTCGGAAATTATGTGGGCACTGAAGAGGGTCATGACAGTCTCGCGACTGGGTGGACGAAGCGGAAGGGAGATTTTGAAAAGGATTATTTTAGCGTCGCATGTTGCATACGGTGAGGAAAGAAATAACATGCAAGATCATACAGGGTGGAGGGCGGCAACCATTTACTCGTCATCCTCTTCTTCCTCCTCCTCGTCATCCTCCTCCTCCTCCTCATTAGCCTTCGCCTCCTCAATAACAGCGGTGGCAATTCGATCCAAGTCCCGCTGACCGTCTTGCGAGATTCTTCGACCGCCATTGCCTGTTTGCTCTAGCACGCCGATTTTCTCCAGCGATTGGCAGACTTTCCGTTGAACAGAAGCAGATGCATCAGCATGGTGGGAGGGTCGGTTGCCGCGTCTGTTTCGTCCACCGTGGAGCTTGGTAAGAGCACCGATGCCAACATCCTTGCGGAGGTATATGTGACGAGCAACGGCAGCTGGAGGGTCATTATTTGCAAGAACTGTTTATGATATTACTGGACACACCTGCACGGATGTAGTACCAGTCGGGATCATAAGGGGCAAGCTCCTTGAATGAGCCAGTTTTGACAAGGTCGACCCATGAAGGAACCTCGAGCTTTCCGGAGCGCTTCAGGTGGGAGGCATAGGCGGCGATGAATTGATCAGCGCTGGAAACATGAAAACGAGTTGCATGAGTATTCCGAGCTGTCTGGAACCGCGGAGAGGATGGCCTGACCTAACGTCTCGTACTCCCGGCATTTTGATGAGATCGTCTTGAAGAAGGGAGCGTGGGGGCTGTCGGGCGCGACGTTGGCGGCTTTCTGTGTATCGCCCTTGGGCGTTCACCAACAGCGTGTGGGGGGCTTCGGGATGTTCCGAAGAACTGTACAGCAGATGACAATTAGTCAGCCCTCCCCATTGCTCGCGAAGCGCTCCAAGATTGTATGAGCGTTTGAGTTCTGGGCATGTTCTGCTCCATCGGCGAGGGCAATTGGATCTCTTTCCGAAATGACATGGTTCAAGCTCATTGTAAGATGAGTTTTCGTAATTCTCGTTTACACCTGGCTTCATAGGTCTATTCGATTATCACGAAACCATTGCTTCATATCTGTAGCGCGTAAGGCTGAGACGGCGCTATAAGCCGCCGCAAGAGGTGACGAGGACTGTCCTATTTCTGTCCAACGCTAGAGAGTCAACTTACGTGGGTGCTCTTATTCGCCATGTCTTGTTTATCGCTGCTCCGATACTCTTCCCACGGTTTCTCTCCGTCTCTCACTGCGTACCCAACCGCGGACGGCATTGTGCAAGGTGGTTGGGTCACTCCTTCACCCTTACTCACAATGTCGGGCATAATTACAACACCGGTATACATCCTTTTCACCAGAGCCGACCTTACCCCGTCAGAGACGATCTTGTCCCCCATAGGCATCCTCCCAGCGGAGCTCCTCATCGAGATATTCTCCCACTGCGTTGCAAACGAACCCACCACCCCTCCGACCCTCCGGCAAGTCTCATGGCGGTGGAAGAACTTAGTCGACAGCTCCCCACGGTTGTGGCAAACAATTGTACTCGACAACGCGGACACCAATACGAGGTTCTCCGAACACCAAGTAGCGTTGTGGATGGAAAGGTCGAAACCGCTGAAATACGACGTTGAACTCAATGTTGACAACCCAGACTACATCCTTCCTCTCCTTTCGCCACTACTGTCGTCCATCAACCGTTGGCGGGCATTCCGTCTCAGTGGCAAGCGCGACGAAGAAATCCCTATGGCGTCGTTGGAACTTACCCCCGATTCCCTTACCCACCTACATCTATGCTTGCACGACTTCGATCAAGACGATTTTGACGACGACGAACCTCGGATCACATTCTCACCTATTAACCCTGGCCAATGCACCAACTTTGCCTTGAATATATAGATCTCTCATCTTCCTTCACCCATCCTCCTTCCGCCTCTACGTTTCGTGCACCTAACGATAGCAGAAGGCGGGCAAATTGGTTTACACACGCAGCCGAAATACATTCTCGAATTCCTGACATCATGCCCGGAGTTAGAGTCCTTCTACCTATCTGGCTGGCCACACGACGGTCCGGTCATTGGCCCTCTCCCCGTGGTTCACCTTCCAACCCTTGTAACACTACACTTAAAGAGCACTTGCTTCGCTCGTGCAATTCTATCATCACTTATAACACCACGTCTCGAAAGCCTTTTCTTATCCCATCTGAACGTCGACTTTCAACTCTACAACCAGTACCACGAAGACGGCGACAGCGAAGATGAAGCACGAGACTATTCACAGTCGCCATGGAGTGATCAAGCCACAGGAATGGGTTTGCGGAAGTTGATCATCCGTTGCAATCCCCCGATTCGGGTTTTGGAGATGGACTTTTGCGACATGCGTACGAAGGATTTCCGATATGTTTTCGACCGGTTACCCATGCTGGAGGACTTTTACATTGTCGCATCCGACATGTCGGACAAGGTCATCAATCTTCTTCGTCCTATACTCCCCGATGAAAGCGATCGAGTTGTACAATTGCGGCTTCCACGACTGCGTAAGCTCAGGCTTGCAACTTGTCAGCGCCTGAACGGAAAGGCCATCGTTGAAGCTCTCACCGATCGTGTTCAGTGGGCAGACGTGCATCGTTCTGAAGACACATTGGTAGAGGTGGTAGTTTCGGGCTGCGAAAGATTCTCTCAGTGGCATCGGCATCTTCTTTCTACAGTATTGCAGAACCGATTGCGCCTTTAGAAAGAGACGGCCCTGCATATGTTCCTCTCAATCTCCAAGTCATCCATGGACGGTTTGTTAAGTTTGTTCTGTATCCGTATTTGTAGCTCAGCCTCATTGTATTTCTTTCTCGCACACACAGAATGCAGAGTCGTGACTCCTTCACGGTCGTACGAGAATAGGATGCTCCAAGTGTCCTCCCGCAAGTCTTACTACAATCTCAGCGACTTATCCCCTTATGTTGTCAAACATGCCCTGATGATTATGATACCGATGTATGTTGTCTTGAATCATATCGCTCTGCAACTCTCAGGGTGTCGAAACCGCGCAACCTCGAAACCAGGTCCTTGGTCCCACACGCGACCGATATAAGTCCCCTGCATAAAAAGGGAGGTGAACAGTAGCACCTTCCATTTTATGCGCCTCATCTTCGTTGGTCAGTCATGTTCTCTACTGAACGACTTATCCTGCGAGCCACTCGACCCAGTGACGACGAGGACATGCTCAAGCTCTACAACGACGAACGCGTCGCGCCATGGATAACAGAGGGTTACCTCGTCCCCAAGCAACCCGGCTACATGGAGAAAATCAGAACCTTCGTCGACTCATCTCTTCTGTTTGTCGTCCTGGAGGAAAAGGAAACCGGAGCATTCGTTGACGCTACAGGTTTTGTACACCAGCCCGAACCGAAAAATCGCAATGCAGTCATTTTCATCGCTCTTACCCAGGCGCACTGGAGCAAAGGCTATGGCTTTGAAGCCATGAATTTCCTCATTGACTATGCGTTCCATAGTATGAACCAGCACCGAGTGTCCCTAACTGTGTTCGAAGGAAACGATCGTGCGATTGACTTGTACCATCGCCTGTGAGTGCTCCAACCCGATTTCGCATGTTCATACTGACTTCCCGGTCTAGCGGCTTTGTCGAGGAAGGCAGACACAGAAAGATTGTGTGGATGAACGGAGCCTGGCGTGATACATACTACATGGGCATCCTGGAGGACGAGTGGGCCGAGAGGAGGAAGACCCACGTCACTTCGAAAGGAAAAACTTGAGCTGACTCTGATAAACTGCCGTTCTCCAACTATTTCCTTAGTCTCCCACTATTTCCTTAGTACAAAGGTCAATACCTCGACCCAACACCTCCTCTACGGATCCGGATAAGCCGGAACCCACTATTACCAGGGACAGGCGGCTCCAATGAATATGTGTAATGAAGATGGGTGGAACGGCTCTTATCAGCACGACAAGGTTTTGAAGCCAGAATGTGCGCAAGAAATATAAATTATATTGCCTCTGTACAACATCACTCCTCTGAAATCCTCTCAAAAAACTGCTTTAATGTTCCTGCCAAAACATCCGGCAAGGCTTCAACGTTTCGCAAGACGACGTAGTACTCGAAAGGAAAGGACTCGAGATATTTCTGCATGCATATTTCTGTCTTCCCATTCTCTGTCCTTAGTTCGGCCTTTTCCATCTGAAGGATCGATCCATGGTGCGGCCCTCCCGAGTTGGTCGGATCTGTCGCTTGAAGAGAGTCGATAATAACGAAGACGATCATCACCCGCTGTTCCTCCGCTTTCCTCAAAACAGGACGAAGCCCTTCGTGGTCCTGACACATTCCATCGGAGATGATGATTTGTAATTGCCACAGATCAGCAGACGACGCAGAACACATCGCCTTGCGTTCTCTGGCTTTCTCCAAGGCCTTGAGGCTTGTTTGCAAAAGAGACGACACGTTGGTGGCCTTCTGAGTGAATCGAAAAGCATTCAAGACCTTGGTCCCCGCCTGTTCAGTGAATGGACCTTGATCAAACCCATGAAGTAGGTCGACAGTCTCTCCGAACTTGGAAATAGCAACATCACCGGATTCGAGCCGGCTAAGAGCTTTTGAGATTAAGGCCAGTGCTTGATAGGCCAAATGGATAGAATGGGATTCCGCCATGGAACGAGAGTCATCAATAGAAATGAGGACTTGGTATTCTCGCGTGCTGGGTTTCGTGCGACGCAACCAGATCTTGTCTTTTGTGTAGTCGCTGGCAATATAAGAAATGACTCTCTTCATGTTCAGCCGCTTCCCGGTGCGATAATCCCCTTTCAAGCGAGTGGCCAAGGTCGGTTCCAGAATCAAACGGAGCTGTTCACATAGAGTGTAGGCTAGGTCGTGAGTCAAAGATTCATAGAGTCGCCAAATATGCTCCGCTCCGCTCTCGGGATAGTCTGCAGCACGCCAAGCTGTGAGCTCCATTTCGGTGTTCTGATCATCATCGATGACCTCGGCTGTTCCGGCTCGGACTAACGGATGAGGAGTTTGAAGGTCAGAAGTTTGACGCCGGCCGACTTGGAGAATGGCGCCTTCCGCATCATCGTGTCGGTCTGCTCTGGGTACTTCAGATGGTTGAGCCGCTTGCTGAGGAAGGGGAACATGATCTTCCGTAGGGGTTTCGTCAACATCCATTGGCGCGAATGCATTTTCTACTTTCATTTCTTCGTCGACGATGGTGATTTGATCAAGTTTGGCCACTTGTTCTTCCCCTGCTGGACCCAAGGCCTGCATATTATGATCTGCGTCTTGAGGGCGCAGATACTCAATTTGAGACTGGTAGTTCGAATCACCCACATATTCATGAGGAGTGTCATCTTGGTCACCACTGAGAATCTCATCGAAACGTTGTCGAATCTCCTTCAGCATATCGCTGAGGCTTCGAAGGGGATTTGGCACTGTGGTACATTGACTTTCGCTTTGGGAAGGATCTTGACCCTGTCGAAGACCAGACATCGCTGAACCAGTGCCGCTGTGATCTGTTGGCTCCATTTCGGTTGCCTGTCCTTCAGGAGAACTAAAAATCAAGATTAGGATGGATCCAGTAAGCACGAAAGGTCATAATATACCTGTTCCCGTCCAATGTCTTTTCGTCGCTTGCACATGCTTCACCGGATCGGCCCTTTGCTACGCCAGCTTCTCCAGTTGATGCGCTTCCATCGACTTCAGTACTAGGAACTTCGTTCTGGTCCGTCGTCCCATCTGCTTTGGACATGTCCGGTTGGGCTATAGCGTCTTCAGAAACACCTTCATCGTTCGTATCGTATGCCTTTTCTGCGTCATTTTCAGCAGAACCCTCCTCGCTGTGCAGCAATTCGCCTTCGTCCTCGTCCTGGAGGGGCTCACGACTAGGATCGTGCATCGCAAAGTCATCGATCTGAGGATCAACCGCAGTTTCCTCCTCTTCCATCTTCCCGGCCTCGTCTCTTTCTGCTTCGTCCCCAACTAGATCAATGTCATCAGGAAGATCAAGCGTGTTGGCTTCAGGAACGTGTTCATCCGTTGCACCGCCCCCGGTATTTGGTTCACTGCTCTCCTCTTCTTCACCCTCACTAAACTTCTCCTCTTTGTCCAGTTCCATGTCCTCGCGACTAGTTCTATCGTCTCTCGTCTTCTCTGTTGTTTTGCTTTGATGCTCGCTTTCCTTGGCAACGACTTCAGAAGCACCTCCCTGTTCCTTTGAGTGATCTTGGTCAGCCTTTTCCTCTGTATCATTCGAATCCCCTGAACCCTTTTCATCTCCCCACATCTTTTCATCGATTGTTGAGGGGTCCAGTCTGTCAAGCTCGTCCAGGATTTCGTTGAGGTCAGCTTCACTGCCAGCGTCAGATTGGTCGGCATTGTCAGAACAGTCGTCTGGCAAGTCTTCCAGATCCCCACTGAAGTCATTATCCATTTCGATGGCACCTCCATCCTCATGTCTGTCTTGAGCCCCCTGGTCTTCGTCATTATCTCCTTTGAGACCTTCAATCTGACTTTCATCTTGGATATCCTTGGAGGCATTCTCCGTTCCGGATCCCTCTCCAATACCAACTCCGTCAGAAGTTTCTGGCAACTCGGCTCCAGCATCATTCTTGTTTGGAGGTTTACAGAACCCTTGTTCGCAGAGTGTATGGAGAATGGAGCAGAGGATAAAGTTCAGCTTGAATAGAGCCTTGGTCCAACGACTGTGTGAAACAAGCTGATCCTTGGCAAGTGCGAGATAGAGATTGAGGAAGGGAATGACTCTGGATAGTTCTCCGCTGATGTCATCACGAGACGTAAGGCTAGCTAGGAAGTCGTTCAGACGGGCGTTGACCCCCGCCAAACTCAAGAAGTGTGTAAAATCACGAATGCTGTGATAACCTTTGAGGGCATATTTTTCTGGGTGGTCTTCCTGCAAACCATCGGCTTCCCTGGAGCAGCGATGAACAAATGCCTGAATGGACAACAAGAGCGAATTGAGCAGTGAGCTGAACTTCGAGTCATCTGAAATCGTGGTACTCTCAGACGGGAACAAGGGAGCTGGTGTTCGTTCGTTAAGCCATTCCTGGAGGGGGAGGAACAAATAGCCGAGCCGCGGCTCACAGGCTCTCCAAGCTATGATGCGGGCGTTGACTTGGGAGATATGTTCCGTGGCCCGGAGTAAAAGCTTATTTTCCCCTAGAGGTGTCGCTCAGAGAACTAAAAGGCAGATGAAAGCCGAAAGACTTACACTTCTGGAGAATAGGAGGCATATTCGGACTGATGTCGGAGACGATAGACCTCAGTTCGTTCTCGAGACTAACAGTCATGCGGAGAGTGTCGGAAAGTTCGCCGAGCAATGAATCAGGAATTGACGACCCCACTGCGAAGTAGTCGACGACAGGCACATTCTTCAGCAGCTCGGAGAGACCATGCGATATTTTGACGTGCGCCATCAAAAGTGAGGAGATGTGCTCATGAAGGTTGGGCCCTGTAGGCACGAGATTTTCACTCGAGGAGGAAAGTTGTTTCAATCGACCGAGAGTCGTCGAAATTTGTCCGAAGACGGTTAGCGACATAGTCAGCCTGCATTTCGCAATCAGTTTTAGTGACTGAAAAATCATCATGGGTCACTCACCTATTCCGAAGGTCTAATGCCATAGAGAACCCGGATTCAAGGAACATTTGCCCTCTTTGCAGCTCGCGTGTTGTCAAGTCACCATGGTGGTTGGGAAGGGAGGATCGCAAGATGGTCAAAGAGCCACAGAGTTTTGTGAAATACCGTTCGCCATTGTCAACAGAGATATCAGCCGGTGTCTTTGGCATAATGGGCTGCTCCTTGATCCAAAGCTGATCGGTATGTTGCCGAAGAACTTCGGGTTTCAGACTATTCGAAAACCCTGCATGCTTTAGCTCCTTCAAGAGATCAGACCATGCTTTTCTCTTTCTGACTAGCAGTGCCTTCAGTTGTTTTTCTTGTAAAGGGCCAGGGGGGATAACAATTGAGGCAAGGGACCTAGCGGTTCTAATGATTTCGACGGCAACGTCATCCACGAGTTGAGGAGAGCACCTCCGGATGAACGGGCACAGTTGCTTGCTTATCAACGAAACATATACTCCGAAAGTTCGTCGGATATGAAAGATGTGGTTCTGGGAGGCATTTGATTGTCCCCCCTTATCCTGAAGAGAATCGGGAAAAGTAACGGAAAGAGCTGGATCGTCGTTCTCGCCTAGGGATAAGGGTTCACCGTCTGCATCTGTGGCAGAAAAAGGTTGCAGCTTGTCAATGACAGGTTGCCGCAAAACGTCGCGGAACTTCTTGACCACTTTGTAAAGTCGTACATGGGTTTGTTTTGCGCTTTGCTTCAAGGCTTCCACGTTGACGTCTTTCCAGCTGGCAAGCTTGACCAGCGCTTTGATTTCCATGTCGAGAGGAGACTTCTGCTCGAGCAAGTGCTTTTGAAGGCTTTCGGAAAACAATTGGTAGTATTGATATGTGGCATGGAGGATCCGCTCGACACGCTGTAGAATGGAATTCTGAACAACAGAATGAAGGGGTTGAATGAACACGATGTAATGTTCGAAACTTCGGATCATCCTCAATCTGGCATGGAACTGACCAAGAGGGCTAGACGTGATGAACTCGTTGAGCAGAGGGGCCAACTCCTGGAAGTGCCTTTGGAAAGTTGCTTCGTCTAGCTTTTGGTCTTGGGTGACCAGAGATGACGGGACTCGTACGATTACGTCATAGAGACGAAACCACCATTCAGCAAGTTCATCTCTCAGGGACGCAGCCTGCGACTCCAAGAGACCTTGCCAACTAGAAAGTTCCAGACGGCGCCAATCCACCACCAAGCGAATCAAGTCTTCTCGATGGGCCTTGAGCGAATTTTCCCGGTTGGCGTACATTTCCCAATCATCTGATTGGACCAAAAGTTGCTCAATCATAGACAAGAGCTTGGCTACAGGCGACGAGGAGGCAACATTGAGGATGGAATCACACCTCTCGATGAGATGCTTCAGGACCATCTGATCCGGCCACTCGTCCGAGATATTCTGAAGGCGTTTCCGGCACGACAAGACAATGGATGCACATTTCTTGACCTCCCGGTAGTTTGGTGTCGAATAGAAATTGTAAGGCATTATCGTGGCAGCGTCGCAATCAAGTGAGAAGAGAGTATCGCGAAGTAGGTTGAATTGAAAATGGATACTGGTCCGATCCAGACAAGCCGGCAAGGGAGATGTCGAGCTCGTCATGAGCGTGTGAATCATGCTATGCTTCAGGTCTGAAAATTCTTCGACAACGCTGTTGAAAGAGGATGGATCACATGAAGACTCCACCAGGTGGTAGTGAAGGCGCAAAAAAACTGGCATGTCAGAGGGTTGAATGAAGGAAGAAGGATGAGCCTGATCCACATCGAAGGCAAGAGTATTGTTGCTCAGAGCTTCTTCGAACGTTGGGAACATTGCCAAAAATTCTTGTTGCTCAACTTCGGCATCTGACTTCGCACTGTAGTCCATTTTCGATTGCCGATAAAGACTGGAGGCCTCTTCTGTAGTTTTCTTTTCTTTTGCACGGTCAATGAGCCAAAGCTTGGCAGCTCGTTCGTAAGTAGCATGGATGGAGGATAGAAAGTCACGTTCTTGTAGGCCTAATTGTCTCAACACAACTGAAGCAGCCAGCGTAATGAGAATGCCTTTGAAGACAGAACTTCCAGAAGGTGGGGCGTCTTTGAAGAGGTTGATTATACGAGAGGAGCTGTTTGCTGAAGGGAATGCTAGCAAAGACATGGTCGAACGTGCGGGAAGGTCTCCTTCAGGAGCTGATGTAGCGTCCACGAGTGTTCGAAGTCCGAGCCGCATCTGGAGGATTCCGAACTTGAGAAGTACGATAAGGTCAGGAAACTCCGGGTAGACGCTTTCCAAACGCTGATAAAAGCCTTCCAAGGATTCTTGTATCACCCGTTCACGCAGCGACGCGTTCTCTTTCTTGTAATACACCGCATCAAGAAGACCATTGATTTTCACGGTATGAAGGACGGTTTCCTGGAATTGTGCAACTTCTGTCCAGAAGAGGTGTAAACGTAGGTCGTGATCGCGACGTGGGAGGTTTGGCAGCTGCGCTAGAGCCCCCTGGACTTCGTCCAGTTGGAACTTGAGATGCGCCAACGTACTGTTGGATGCATTTCCAGTGACCAGAAACTCGAGTTTTTGGTGTAGATCTATCTGTGTGCGAAGGTGCCTCTGATCCCGCAGAAGGTGAGAGTATGCACAATTTTGGATACCTGCAGGATCGATTGGGGTGTCGGGAATGATAAGATTGAAAAGGAGGCGGCTACAACCAATCCAAGCGAGCCCCAAGAATTGCAAAGTTGTCGTTTTAGGAAGGAGATCTACGAGAGGCAGGAGTTCTTTCTGAAGGGCTGCTATAAGGGCCTCGTCCTTCGAACGTTGTAGGAGCAAAAGAACATGCTGAAAGGACCGAGGAAAATTGCTCCAGTCTTGAGCCGTGGATGTCTGGATTGCACTGAAGTCCTCACTCTCATACGACGAGGAAAAGCATGATATGATCTGTGGTCCATAAGATAACGATCGACCAAATGCCAAATTCAAGTCGCTCACCGTGAGAAGGGTTTGATAGTAGACCTCCGCTAGCTGCGCCATACGACTTGAGGCCTGTTTCGATTCATTGAGCACCAGACGGGCGTGTTGATGAAGCTCCTGTTGATGATTCGTCAACGATAGCAGCGGCACGTTGGTAATATCACTGTTGAAGTCAACACACCCTCCAATTGCATACAAAAAAGAATCCTACCATATTGCAACGCTATGGCGGAGCAGGACGGGCTGGAAAAGGATTGAGGGACCAGCAGGGCTCTTGGATTAATAGTAAGAATGATAGATGCGTGGCAACGATTGCATACTGACAGAAGAGTTCATTTTTACTTCCCAAAGACCTTCTAACCATCGAATGTTGGCTCTCACGAAGAGAGAAGGATGGTCTAGACAGAGATTAGCAGACTGCCGCAGCATTCGTCCACGAAAAAGCCGACCTAGGTTAGCATCCAGAGCCCAAACAAGATGCTGGAGGTGCGCAAGGCGGGCCAGAGGACTTGTACGTTGGCGAGCATTCATATCGACGATCTCCTGCATTGTCGCGCTCTTACATTCGTGTTTATGAGGACTCAACCACCTTGGTAACCAAGAATTCCTCACCTGGATAGACGAAGCCCGGCAGGCCGAAAGTACGTAGAACTCAAGGAGTATGGTTCGCCAATCGATACGCAAGGATTCTTGTGCCGTTGACTTGTCAGCGCTTGAGAGTAAACACTAGTGAGAGAAGAATCAGCAGGGGTCTTGAGGAACGGTCAATAAATGCATACCTTCTGCAGCGTCAGCTGCAAATCACCCAGAGAAACGGGCCTATGAGATTCAAGGGGCGGAGGTAAGGTCTCCAAACAGATCACGGTGAATGCTTGTTTGCGAATCACTGATCCAAATGTCAAATCTGCTTTCAAGGGCACAGCCAGTCTGACCAAACTTACGGAATGCATTGGAGGAATCACCGAGAGAGGACATCAGTCGCTCGGTACTCTTCACAGTCTCGATCATAGGTTTCGGTAATTCATCCAGATATAATTTGGACCAAATTTCAAATATCCTGAGGCCCGTAGAGAGAGAAACTGATCTGCGGAGCACCCTAGCGTACTCCAGAATGTCGTTGAAGGATGCTGGACAATCGGCAAGAGCAGCCAGAAGACGCTCAGAGATGGAGTAGATAGTGGAAAAATCATGCTCGGAAGATTTCAGCACTCGTTTGAGGTCTTCGGTGAAGGAAAGAATGCGCGAAGCTAGTTTCACAGAGGGCTTCTTTGACGTCAGTACGCAACACTCCCCAATGATCCAAGAAACATACCAGATCACACATTGGCGCCTGTCGTAAAGTGTCCTGAGAGACCTGGCCAATTTCTTGAATAACAGCGATAGCTGCCTGACGAATCCGAAGGCTACTTTCAGGTGCGGAAGCAACATGGTCAGGGACCAGAGCGAATCTTTCAGTCTGGTCGAGGAAGATAGATGCACTGAGGTTCAACACTTCAACCACCATCGAATGCGAGATATCGCCATCTCTGAGTTGTTGAGATTCTCCGCCAAATAGCCTCCCTTGCGCAGAGTAAAAGTCCATTGGCTAAAGACAAGATGAATAATTCAGTGACGTTGGCCATACAAAAAGCACTTACCTGAGCGAGAAGAGAATCCACGGAGATATGCTTTTCTTGCACAAATGCCCATCTCAACTCCTGCAGCGCCGAGTCGAGAATGTGAGGTGGGAAAGCGTATATGAATTGAAGCAGCTTATGTGAAACTGACTCCTTGGGGTAACGGTTCAAGAGGTAACGTGTGAGAAGAGGCATGCTCGAAGGCGCAAGACTGCGAGCGAGGAAAAAAATCCAGGAGTGAATGTCTTGGGTCGGTAATGACGGAAGTAAGAGGCTGGGGGCCGTATCAACCAAAGCGGCCAAATTGGAGTGCTGGTCAAGGGAATGGCCTGTCGACCTTACAAACAGCGTCGATGAAATAACCTGGCTAGATAGCCCACGTCGAGCAGCATCAAATTGGAGGGCAGTCATGTTAGAAATCGAGAGGGATGAAGCCAGTGGTAGCCTACTGTAATCGAGAAGGATGGACAGATCGTCCGCAGCTGGATTGGAAATAAGAGCGACTTCAATACCTCGGTTGCGCATTGCACGAGAGAGTTCTCCGTAGCGAGGATCAACTGTCATGAACAACCTGAAGTCTGGATGAGGGCGGATAACCTGAACGTGGCCGTCTACAAAGCCCCTTTCGCTCAGGCTTAATGTTCCACCTGCTTCGCACAGAGAGTTAAGGCGGTCCAGAACAGATGGACTGCAGAGGTTAGCACCATCCAGCACCATCCAATTCCCTGATTTCATGGCTTTGATCAAAGGCCCATCCACCCACTCGAATTGGCCTGCTCCAGAAGCTTGGGACAGGAATTTGACGGCGTCAGAATGGATTCTAGTATAAACAAGCTTGGAGGGTGATTCTAGGGTGGTCAAGGTGAAGAAGAAATCGATTGCCGTAGCTCCCAAATTAGGGAAGTGACCTGCAGATGCCTGTGCATACTGTTCTCGAAGTCTTCGGGCCTTGTTCTGGTGATGAATTGCAAATTTCGACCCCGATTTTGTTGAACAATCACTGTGCAACAAGGAGATCGCCTCGTCGAACAACACTATCAGCCTCCGCCTTGCATCGACCTGCTCAAAACTGCCGAGAATGTCCATCGTGTCAGTCGCGCCGTGAATCGATACCTCAAGTAGCTGGTTGCCAGTGATGCTAGCCAATGCATGTATAACACTGCTTTTACCGCTGTTGTTGGGCCCTGTGACGATTGCAAGCCAGGATTGTGAAACACAATCTCCCAATGCTTGCAGGGCTGAGAGCTGCATTTTGAGCACCCGACGCGGACGAGAAAGTGGTGAGAAATTTCTTCTGGTCATTGAGAGATGCCCTATATGAATCTCAGAGGCTGTGATTGTCCAAGCTGGGGCATCGGCCTCTTCAAGAGGAGATGTGAGGGTCGCTGCGTCGAAAATTTGTCTTGCCTGACTACGATCTTGACTAATTCGGAACCGATGAAGATAAACACTACGGAGAAAGTCTTGGGGTCGATATGGAGGGCGCTTCGTGAAAGTCAAAGCGCCCCAACGCAATACATCCCGAAGATTGAACTCCCACGGAGAACCATCCTGTGCAAAAAGACGCTGAGCACAAATTTGATTGCTGAGTTCGATATTGAATGCTATCATAGCCCGAAGAACGTTTTCGTCGACGCCGGAGAAAATTTGCGAGCAAACGATGTGGATGTCACTCGGGGTTAGTTCCTCGATGTAGACTTTTGTAAACCGATTGACGAACGACTTCGGAAGGCCTTTTCTACCGCCCCCCTGGAGAAGGGGGTTTTGTGCAGCGAAGACCCGGAAAGAAGGGTGACGATCGAAAGAACGGTTGAGCTCGGGAATGTAGACGGTTCCTCGATGATCGAGAACAGCGTTCAACCCCTCAAGGACAGCTTGCGGTGCAAGATTCATTTCATCCAGCAGGACCCAATGTCCTTCTTGAAGAGCCCTGAGGAATTCTGCGTCTTTCCACATGAATTCTCCTGCAGTCCCTCCTTCAACAGGTAGGTCGGATCCGAAGAGGTCAACAAGGTCGGTCTGGTCTGAAAGGTTTATCCGGCACAGCTCATGCCCAGAAATATTAGCGAGGGCGGTTATGAGGCTCGTTTTTCCGACACCTGGACTGCCTTCCAGAAGAATCGGTTTTGCCACTTGACAGGCGCGAACAACGCGCATGGCATTGTTCAAGGTGGTTGGAGCGTTGAAGTTGAACGATGCACGTGAGGGGGAAAGACTGCCTTTATCTAATGCAAAGGAACCAAGCTGCACATATTGTGTAGGATCATAAGTTGGACCAGAGGATCCTAAAGGCTCGATGAGTGGAATAAGCTCTTCGAGCTTCTTTTCAGCATCGTCTTTGAGGCTGTTGAGAGCTTCCCGGGAATATCCTGCAAGTTGAGGGAATGAACTCAAGCCATCAAGATAGGTCATGTGAGCTGCATGATGCTGTATGGAAGGTGAGATAGAAAGTGAGAGATGAAAACCAGGGGGAAAGCAACCACCTACAAATAATTCTCGAGGATAGACAACACCGGATCTACCGACATCTCGCATTGTCGCATTCATAAAACCTACCCATGCCTGGAGCTATGTGTTAATATCTCATTGTGGTCAAGAAAAAATGGAATAATACCAGGATATCTCGAAGGCCCATCAATGAGCGATCACCAGTTCGGAGACAAAGCCATTGAACAAAGCTCAAAAGAGGTCCGGTGAACGCTTGCAGGGATTGGCACCCCCATAACCTGTTTACAATGAGCTCGACATCATGGAAATCATCCACAGGCGGCACCCATATCTCAGTGAAGCGGTTCCGAAGTGCTGGTGACAACTCTTTCTTCCCATAATCGCCTCCAGGATTCATGGTTGCGAGGAGTTTAAAATCTTTGGAAGCTCTGATAAAAGATTCGTCAGTACTGGCCCCACCACGCTCAGCGAGAACAATTAAGCGGCCAGGTTCAAGGACACTGTTAAGGCGTTCCAGGACGGAATCATCGGCAAGGGAAATTTCGTCCAGTAGGAAGATGTTCCCTTCCTGCATCGCCTCGATCAAAGGGCCGTCACGCCATTCAAAGATGGAGTTGGAGTGAACGAGATCGTGATGACACTTCTGGAGACGAAGGCGAGATGCCTGACTAAGGGTGGAGGATCTGAGAACAGAGGCCAAGGCGGCGGTCAGGGAGTTGCTTGTCGGGGCAGAGACCTCTTCGCCAAACTCCTGAAGGATGGAAACAGCTTCTTCGATAAGACTTGCCTGTAATACGCCGCGATTCCTAACGGGTCGAAGTCCTCCGATAAGATCAGCAGTTTCTGTATTCTGATGACAGTTGACGGTAATAAGACGCTGAGAAGTGGCATCGGTGAAGGCTTGACAAACAGAGGTCTTGCCAGAGCCTGTGTCCCCAACCAAAAGAATAGGTTCGTTATACTTCAGGCCCCGACAAACCAAAGTGTAGAGACGTTGCATTGCTTTGGTCCATACTGTCTTTGAGGCAGGGGGCGGCATGTTTCCAAGGAAGGATTCAAGATTGGGACCATGTCTTCGAAAGTCATACATTGCATCTTCGTCGACCCGGACCCCCATAACGGATTCAAGAACTTCTTTGACGACGGCCTTGTCTTCCGGACGCCGTGTGCGCTCCGCAAGGAGCATGTAACCGTTATCTGCCAATTCCTGATACCCAACGGCATCGCGACCTGCCCATCGAAAAAGATCGCGGAGAGTGGCGAATCCCTGTCTACTCTCGAAGATACGGCTAGTCTGTCTCCTTTGTTGAAGTTCTCGAAAAACGCTAACGATTCGTCTTCCGTATGAAGGGGCAATTCGGCATCTTTGGCACAGGATTGTCTCCAGTTCGCTCTGAGGAACGTCATCGAAATGGACTTCAAGGAATCTGTTGCGGAATGCTCGGGACAGTATTTTTCTACCAGCGTACAGGCCAGGAGGGTTTTGGGTGGCGAAAAGCATAAAATGAGGATGAGGGCGGACAATTTCTTGTGTCTCCGGAATCACCAGTTCGCGATTGTCGTCGAGGAGACGGTTCAACGCCTCGAGAACCTCTGTAGGTGCCAGATTCAACTCGTCGAGGACAATCCAATCTCCTCGACGGAGGGCTTGCACTAATAATCCATCCTTGAAGACAAGCTTGCCTGTAAAAGGATCGGAAACGTAGGATCCAAGATACTCCTGGATGTCGGTGTGCTCGTGGTTGTTGATGCGAATGAATCGATGTCCAGTCCGTTTTGCAAGATATTCTATGGAGCTTGTCTTTCCACTAGACGTCGGACCTTCAATCAAAACAGGGAATCGTCGAGTCAAAATGATACGAGCAAGGTCAATGAGTTTGCGTTCCACAGATGGCGTTATGATATACTCCTCCGTTGGGTGCTCCTCGAAGGGTCCTTTCTCTAGATAGAAGGGACCAAACTTGGCATAAAGGATGTCAGCTGGGGGTGCAGGTTCTCTCGCCAACAGGGAGGAAATATTGCGGACGCCAGATAGGAGGTGATCCCTCGCTGCCTTGGTCACTATTTTCGCGCTATCAGCATCCAAGACCATTGTGAATGCCATGAGACAGCCCTCCCAGATGGAACGACGGAGACTGAATGTACTCGCTGTATCGGCGGCGAACGTTAGCGCACGAGTGAGAGTGCGCATGCTGAAATGGGGCCGATGGTTGGCACCGTCTGCGATCCGTCTGGATTCTGACTCTTGCTTCACGGCTCGGTAGAATTCTGCGACATCCATAATGATCCTCTTATCCCCGACAGCGACATGGCCAACGTATTGAGAGATAATCGTGAGTAAGGTTTCTTGATCTGCGTCTGGAGAAGGAACATCCATTTCAGTGAAGCGGGATCGTATATCCGGGGGTAAATCCTTCTTTCCTACGTCGGTTGCCGGGTTCATGCAGGCAAACAGGCGGAAATCAGGGTGGCGAGGTATAGGTTCCAGGGAACCATGTTCGGTCAAAGTGATTGACGCTGTGGGCCCGTGCAAGAGACCAGTGATGCACTCCAACGTTTCTGGGCTAGCCAAATTCACCTCATCGAGAAGAATCCTGAGAAAGGTCAGAGAGTGTTCGCGCGGTAGAGGAGAGTCTTACCAATCACCAGAGCGCAGCGCCTTCACCAAAGGTCCTTCAACGAACGCAAAGGCAAATTTGCCTTGTCCTTGAACATGTTGGACCTCAAATTCTTCGACCAGATGAAGAAATTTCAACCATTCAGCAACAGATGCCGTCGGTTCTGTCTTCCGGCGCTTCCTCGGTGTTTCGTCATCTAGCGCCCTGGAGAAGAAAAAGACCGTAAGTGAAACAAGGGAAAGGTAGAGTTGCACATTCCCACCGTTGGTGCTCAGTTTGTCTAAACTGTATTCTCTCCACGGCTAGCCTGATGCTCTCTTTCCAGAGACCAACAGATCGCTTCCATCTGCATTCGTTCACGGCTTTCCTAACTTCGGTCTCAAATTTCTCGTTCTTCCTTCTACTAAAAGTTGCCCCGAACAGATCGAGAAATATCTCCTGAAGTTGTGAGCCAGAAACACGAGCGTCAACCGGCTTGAGACCCCCCAAGAGATCTGCAGATTCGGTCTGGTTCGAAAGGTTGAGCGAAATTAAAGGACGACCTAGAAGGGATGCGAGGTAAGTTAAGACACTTGTCTTGCCAGTTCCGGTTTCTCCTGTGAGAAGAATTGGTTCTCCATTCGATATAGAGGACGCAATCCTTGACAGAAGCGAGATTGCGGGTTTATGCATGGCGAATGGGCGCGACGATGTCGGGATAAGTGGACTTTTCTGGGCAGCCAGACGCGTTCTACCGAACTGAACAGCGACTATTTGATCTTTTGCATCCTTTTCTATCTCAAATCCTGGGGTTCTGCCATGTAGAATCCACTCCTGCCTGTCACTGTCCAAGCAAAGCTGTTCGCCAATAACTCTTGCAACAAGTTCGGAATGTGCTCGAGTGGCTGCTGTCAACGCACCAGAACCAAAGAACACGTCCCGAGCTTCAAGGTACATGTCCTCACGTAGCGTAGGGTTAGGGAAGAGGGCGCCAAGAGAATAACTCCGTTCGTGCTCTTGTGTGATGCTCATGGGTTGATGTGACGAAGAAAGCAGCCTTTCGAGACGTTGACAAAATTTCTCCAAGTCTCGGAGACCGATGTCCCGAGTCGAGGATGGGGTTTCAAGTTCCTTGACAGAACGCCAGAGGTCAATGGCGGCTTGCGCGGTGCCTCCGGCGAGGCGTCGAAACTTGGCGTCGATAATGGTTCGCAATTCCTCTGGAGACGGGGAATCTACAATCATTTCTGAGAATTTCTGCGAGCCGAAGAAAGTGGGAGAATGGAAGGTCCCACTCCCGGATGGAAGGAGCGACCTCGTCGCAAAGATCATGAATAGATCATGGGCAACGACAAAACCATGGCCCGGTACATCAAGCCTTGCGCGACCTCCAATCCATTTATGGAGACCGAGGGACTCCACGAGAGGCTTAACGGCTCCGAGGACTTCACTGCTTCCTCGATCCACATCCTCTAACACAACCCATTTTCCTTCACGCATGCAACGGACGAGTACACCCTCTTTCCATTCAAATGTCCCTGGGTGAGTGGTAGAGGATACGTAGGATCCAAGGAGAGACCGTGGATCGAGAGACGTGTCTGCAAGGTGGATGGTGACAATCTGATTTCTTCGGTCAGGATGCACAACACCAGCAAGATGTGAGATGAGTAGAGCTTTGCCGGCCGATGGTGACGATGTGAGGAGAGTAGGAAGACGTAAGGATAGGTGCAATGCAAGCTGCCGGAGGGCCTTGATAGAAGAAGGTGTCGGGATGAGCGTCAAGTCGGTGGGAGCTATAGGTGATGATCGAAGGAGTAGCACTCCATGGACATTGGCAATGAATGGGCTACGAAGGAATTAGCAATCATGTAGCGCGTGGCAGACACGAAAGACTGACCATAGGTCTTCAAGCCTAAGACTGGAAGTCTGTTGTGTTTCTTCCGAGAAGTAATCGATTGGGTTTGTGGCGATTTCGTTGCGTTGTTCCTGGATGCGTCTCAGTTCTACGACCGGTAGGACCCAACCATCCACCATTTTCTCTGTCCCTTCTCTGTCTTGTCCATAATTGAGTTGGCATTCCACCCTACAAGACTCGCCCAAGACCTCTTGTTCCATTTTGTTGCGCTCTACCTCTCCCATCCCACTCTGCAAAGCATAACATTGAATGGCGAGCAAACGAACGCCATTGTCAAGTTGTGGCGTCCAGATCAGTTTTGATAATGGTGCCAGGGACCATTGAAGATGATCAGGAAGTTGACGGTTGGCTGAGAGTATTCGATAGTAAGCGAGGAGAATTCGTTGAAGGCGAGTTTTCTCGATGGAGAGAGGAGAGTGTTGTTGTATAATAAACCACAGGGGTCCGTCTTCATTGCGTTTCAGCAGCAGGTTGAGAATACTGAAGGGGGGAAAGGTCAGGTTATGCAAAAACAAAGAAGCAAGGCTTCACGAACGGGAAGAGTTCTTCGTGAACTTCTACAAGGTAGCACAGGGCGACTAGATGTCTCTCTTCATCTCCCTCCATTTCCAGCCATCTGGCACATAGATCTATCAGGAGTGGTCGAAAAAGTGTCGCCACTAGTTGTGTATAGGCGGGAGCGGCCAAGGTCGAGGAAAGAGCGGCTAAAAGTTGTCGTGTTGAAGATGCATTATGCAGGGAAGCGTGATGGTGATCATGTTCAGGGATGGAGGTAAGTAAACGGCTCGTCTGTCGGTGCAGATTGATCGCGAGTGGGTCATGAATAGCACTGGCGAACGTCATTTCAGGATTAGAGACAACTAGGAAGGCATATAAAGTGGCCAATTTTTGTCTAGTATCTGAGAATTAAAGAGTCAGTGAGAGTGAAATGTCTTTTCAGAACGTATTCACCGACGAAGGCGCTGAAAGGCGCACAAGATTTACAGGTCGGGTAGATTTAGACGACTCGGTGAGCGAGCCTTCAAAACTTTTTGTGATCCGTGACTGACCTCTGTAACATAATCTAATCTTATCTCAACCTTTTACATAATAACGTCGAAGCCTGTTCGTAAGCGTAAAAAATCTAGTCTGTTTTCACGTACGGGGTTCGGAGTTTGAATCATCACGTGAACGCCACTCACAACCAAACAACGCGGACGCGTCCCCTAATTAGCCCAACAAATGCTAGAAATGCTCGTCCACACATCCCTTGTAGCCCCATAGAATGTATTTAAAATACTGATACATCATTATGTGCACTTAGGATCATGTAATAAGGCAGCTACTTAGGCTCGTAGCAAGAAAGGCGTAAGTTACCCGTAAGTTACAGGTGAACACTCCCACCGAGACACTCTCGCGAGATGGCAGCCCCGCGCCATTGAGAAGCAGAGCTATCAAGTTCGAGGCATGCGCCGATCTCCTAAAGGAATAGATATTGCAGCTGCAATGACCGCCGGGTGTAGGCAAGTCGGGTCACGACTGCTTCCTGGTGGTAGCATTGTCTGGGACGCGAAAAGTCAGAACCTTCTACTTACCTTTTGAACTGAGCAGGCACCGTTCGGAAAGAGCCCTCTACAACCGCTCTCAATGGCGCCCACAATGCCCTATGCGCTGCTGTCGACTTCTCCCCATCGCCGTTCTGTGTGATGACTCCAACGTTGAGTCAGACTGCGAGCTCTCGAAGACGTCGTACAGGATGAGGTCGGAGCTGGAGGAAGGGGGAACGAGAGCTGGAGGTCGAGACACCGGTAGCCACAAAGTTATTAGTCCGCTTAGTGAAGGTATTCATACTCGACTCACTAGTCTCTGCTATCCCGGTTCTTCGCGCAAAGCCCGCCGATTCATATACACGCCTGTGCAGATGAAGCCGGGTGCCAGGCATTGAACACAAAACTAGAAGGGAGTTCTATGGCACAACACTGCCGTCGCTGGGCAGCGTGCGTAGGATGGCGTTCCACAATGGCAGCTAAAGAAGTGAGTGAGGCAAACAAACTGTTCAGGACGCGTTTACCGTCGCAGAACTCGACGATGACCTCTCACGCTGCCCACTGCAAGAGAAATATCCTCCTCCTCGACGACCCCGTTGCGAGACGTCGAAGCCATAGGCCAATAGGAGACAGGTAGGCAATTCGAAGAGGCTTGAAACTGTTAGGTGTGACATGTTGGGGTGGATTGAGAGAGGAATGGAGGTGAGGAGCGCGAGGACCTGTAGCAGAAGCGTAACGAAGCAGTTTGAAGGAGCTCTTGTGGGTGCGTAAGAAGAGTAAGTCGTGTAGCAGGAGACCTTTGCCTACTCTTCCATGGCTCTCGTGATGTTCGTTGGCTCAGTGAATCCGTAAAAGGAAATTACACGTGACTTTTCGTTGAAATCCTGCAGTGCGGTTCGACCCCCGCGCATGAAATCAGACTACATACTAGTCTCGTGCCCATCCATATTCGGTAACTGGACGCTCCGAGAGATTTTGATGGTCGCGTTGTTGCAGCACGCGCCCATCAAAAACCCTCACAGCGTGCAAATTGCCTAATACGGCTGAGGGGACGAGACTAACTTCAGGATTGTGACTTGTCACAAAAGTCACGGAGTATCTGCGGGAGACTAAAAAATCCGTACTTTGCGTGCGAATGTACTCCAAAAAAAAAAAAAAAAATTCCAAGACTGTAGACAAAAAGTAAGGCAAATAAACGTGCTGCATGGTCTCTTTTACAGTGAATTATGGTACAACCGAAGTCCAACTGTGGCAGAGATGAAAGTTACAGATCTCGCCCCGTCCACGTCACGGTTCATCCTCGAGTTCTTCATCATCACTACTTTCAGCATCGTTGTCGGGCACTTCCGCAGCCTCGTCTTCGTCATCATATGTCTCTATGATGACCCTTACCTCCCTGCCTTGTCCAGTAAAGCTCCAGTAGCCTTTATCTACGAGTGCGTCCAGTTCGGCATCAGCGCCCCGCCTCTTCTCGTCCCATCCTACAATCCACTTCTCCGAAACAGCGGGAGGTTCTCTAGATACCCAGTGGCGGGTGTGAAGAGCGTCCAAGATATCCTTGCCTGGTGCACCAGCAATCTTCATGATTTCGAGAAGCGGTAAGAGTGGGTGATGGACGAACCCTGGAGAGGCTGGACTGGCCGCGAGTGGCGTGATCTCAGGATCTTCGGTGAAAATCTGGCATAAACTTCCTCCAACTCTGGCGAAGTCCACCTGGAGGACCCGGAGGGCTTGCGTTGCTCGTAAAAGGGAGACCAGGCTGCTAGGACTACATTCAAGGGCGCGGACGATTAAAGTTTCTAGGTTTCTGAGAGAAAGGATGGGAGAATCTGGAGGCGTAGGGGACGGCGAGGAGTGCTCCGTTGAGTAAAACCGCGGGGCAGTCTGAGTGCTGTTCGCTCTGCCGATGTTGTCTGTCGACCCCGGAGCTGATGAGTTGGTCAACAGCTCGACGAACGGCGTAAAATTCTGGTCCGGTAGATCTAGAGTGAGCTTGTTGACGCTCGGAATATGGAGTCGCTGTATTACTTGACAAAGGTAGTCTGGGTCGAGGTCTGTCACGCTCAATTCTTGCAAAGAGCGGAGCTGTATCTTATCATCCAAGTTTGGCCATACAAGCGCTGGGTCAGCCGTCGTCGCTTCCTTTGGCCCGGAGTAATGAAGACACAAGGTCCTCAACTCTGGGCTCAAACGCAGCATCCTATCCCAATATGCGTAAGGAGTGCGGATGTTGTCCAAATGAAGGGCCAGTTCCAGGTGATGGAGATCCTGGAGGAATGGGCTTTTGTCCCATGGTAGATTAACACCAATGAGCGATACATTCTTCAGACATGGAAGGGTGTTGCTAAAAACGACGACTGGAGGCCGGTAGGTAGCAAGATAAAGGCGTTGGGCGGTTCGATAGTCGGTGAAGTGATATAGTTGCAGGGTTTCGAGACTCGGTGCGGGTCCACATGTGCTAAGGTATTCCCTGGCTTGTGCTTTGCAGTCGTCGTCGCATATCTTGAGATGAAATGCATGCCATCGCCTAACGTGAGGGACTATTTCTTGGAAAATGGTACGAAGTTCGTTCTTGTAAAGATTGATTCCAGGAAGGTAGTCTTCTTCGGCCACTGTATCGATGAGAATGTCGAGGAGATACGTATTCGATGTTCCCGATAGGGAGCAGCGGGATAGATACGTCGTAGCGCGTTGAATGTGAGATACCTTGCGGAAATGAAGAGTTGTCCAAAGTGACGGCGTGCGCAGCGCAATCTGCCGCCAATGACGGCAGACTTGAGACACGATAACCTGAAAGTTGGGAGCTTCTGCTGGAGAATAATCTTGCACAGGCTTCAGGAGAAAGGGGGAATCCTCGTAGAGATATTCGAATTGAGAGCCAAGAACAAAAAATCGAGTAAGCAGTTCGACGGGTAGGGAATGAATGCCTGCAGAACGACGAGAAAAGGCGTGGTGGTGCATGGGGAATCCTTCCCTTGAAGAAGAAGAGCGCGGAGCTGACAATGCAGTCTGAAGTAAGTTTGCAAACAGCATATTCCTGGCCTGATGGCGGGGTGGCCGGCGTCAGGTGTTCTTATTCAATGAGCGGATGTAGGAAAGGACGTACGACGACCGAGGACATCGAGAAAATTAGGCAATGGGGATAAGGTTAATTACTCCTCGTTGATTTCGTAGCCGTGGTCACTGGTAGGCGTCTGGACGACGGTTAAGTGGGGAGTGGCGAAACCCTCAAGGTGACAGGAGAGGAGAGTGAAGGAGGAGAAAGAGCATTGTAAAGAGGATGGACTTAGAGGGCAAGTTCGCGGGGGAGTTACTTTGCGAGCTTCTCCGTGGCTCGACGATCCCATGCATCATCACGGACTGGCTGTCAAAGGCAAAGATGCAGTGAACGTAGACCGATTGCGTATAGTCCCTTTCCAAATAAGGATTTGCCTCGTTCCGATTAGCTCGACTATCTACTTGCACCAGTCCCACCCGCGGACAACTTATTCAGGATTCAAATCGAGGCATCGCCTACCATCATTCACGAACAAAATCGGTGACTTGCACTTCATTCTTTCTGGAGCTGCATTTCTTTGCAAGGATCTTCCCAAAAACAATCAAGGAAGCGAGGTGAAGGACTCTTCGTATCAACATCCCTGCTCAATAGCGCTTGATGAGCAGGCACGGGAGAGGACAGCCTCCATGACTGGGTTAAAACAAGCAGCCAGAAAGGAGGAATTAAAAACGTGCGATACAGGTTCTACCCATTACAAGCGATGCGAAATGAGAGGACTAAGCAAAATACATGAGGTTATTCTTCTTCTTGCTTTGCACTTTACAAAGGTGGTGTCAATATCGCAAAACTTTGTGACTCGAACTAATCATCACAGACCTTCTGATATACCGCTCAAGAAGTGCTCATGAGACAGTTTGGTAGCTCCTTCTCGGAGGGCAATCATGCCGGCTTCTACACAGACAGCTTTCAGTTGTGCCCCGTTAAACTCGTCAGTACTTCTGGCTAGCTCTTCGTAGTTGACGTCGCCTGCTACCGACATTTTCCGGGAGTGAATCTGCAAAATCCGCGCACGAGCGGTTTCGTTGGGCAAAGGGAATTCAATCTTGCGATCCAAACGACCGGATCGTAGCAGGGCTGGATCTAGGATATCAATACGATTGGTTGCTGCAATAACCTATGAGGTTTCGTCAATATAATGACCCATATACGACTTTCAAATGCAAACCTTAATTCGCTCATCACTGCCGAAACCATCTAGCTGATTCAGAAGCTCAAGCATCGTTCTTTGGACTTCACGATCACCGCTCTTGTCAGAGTCAAATCGTTTTGTGCCGATGGCATCAAGTTCGTCAATGAAGATGATCGCTGGTGCCTTCTCCTTCGCCAGAGCGAACGCATCTCGAACAAGCTTGGCACCATCACCAATGAACATCTGCACCAATGAAGGTCCAGCCAACTTGAGATAGCACGCTTTCGTTGAAGCAGCGCATGCTCGCGCAAGAAGCGTCTTGCCAGTGCCTGCAAAAGGTAAAGCAATACATCAGGAAACGAGGTGCCCATGCTCACCAGGAGGTCCATACATCAAACACCCCTTCGGAGGCTTGATACCAAGGGTCTTGAATTTTCCAGCCTGTTCCATGGGAAGGACGATCGCCTCTACTAGCTCCTCAATCTGCTTCTCTAGACCGCCGATATCCGTGTACTTCTCTGTTGGTCTTTCATCCACCTCCATAGCTTTGACGCGAGAGTCGAATTCGGCGGGTAATGTGTCCAAAACGAGGTACGAGTCTTTGTTGACACCAATGAGATCCCCTGGACTAAGCTTTTCGGCAGGGACAAGTCCTATGAGAGGAAGAAATACGGTTTGGCGGGTTGAGGTCTTGATGACTGCGCATTTCCCTTTACGCATGGAATCAAGGTCCTGATTGGCGCCATCCTCTTCGACCTCTGGATCGACATTCAATATCTTAACGCATAAAGGGCTTAGCAGACAACATGGCGAAAGCGAATTTGTCCTCACCTCGACGACATTGCCTACTAGATAAGGTAGAACTTTGTTCTGCTTGATTTTCTCTCCGTTGTCCCGAATCTTCTCCTTCATAACGCTTTGCTCGTGCTGCAGTCGGAGGGTCTCTGACCTCATCACCTGGAGAGTGTTCAGCTGCTTGCCCCCGTTAGGGAGATAAATAGAGGGCTACCTTGATGTCATTGTCAATAAGTCGTGTTCTTGTGATAATTTCATCCGTGCTCAACGCCATGATATCCTCCGGAATGTCGTCCCAAGTCTCCTCAGGTGGGGCATCGGGGGTCTCGTCCATCGCCACTGTTCCATCTGCAGACGTCGAGGTCGGGATAGGTGCGTCGTCCGGTTTCTTCTCAGAATCTGAAGGGGGATGACTGGGCGGCGGGGCGGAAGACATCTCAAAACAGAACTAAGAGCAACTTGAATAAATTGGATTTGGCTGCAGTGTTCGCCTGACGCGTCCAAGTGAACACGCGTCCCCAATCGCCCCTAGCTGAAACAGGACCAAACAAGCGTGAAGCTCGGGCTCCTCGGTCATTTGACCTGGATGTGCCCATGGCAGAGCCTGCAGCTGTACCAACCGCCGACGACCGATCCCGCTATGAAACTCTCAAGAAAGAGCTCATGCAGGCACTTCCAAAGAAGAGGGCTATAGACAAACAATTGGTGCGTTCTACTTGTCCGCTATATGCTGTCAACTCCTGATCCTCCGACTTCCAGGCCCACATCGAAGTTCAAATATATAATGTCGAGGCCACTTACTTGGCCGAAACTGCGGTGCATAGCGGTGGAAACATTATTCAAGGTTTTGAAAACTACTTGAAAAATCAGACTGCAGGCCGGAGGAAATTCGAGATCCACGATAGCGACCGCGTTTTCTCCAACAGCAGCTTGACGTACCAGAAGGTATGCATGGCCTTCCTCTTCTCGGAACTATCATCAATAACGGTCCATTTTCTAGTCACTAGATCTAATGGGAGAAGGCGACGAATCCACCGCTACAAATGATGAATATGTAAAACAGCCAACTCCTGGGCCTCTTACAACCATCGCTGTTCCACCTGCCACTCGTACGCAAGAGTTAAGCGTGGCACAGACAAAGAAGATAAAGGATAGAGACTATCAACGCAGAAAGCGCGCCAGCGCAAGCATGAGCCATAGGAGCACTGGGGAGAGTGACGAAGAGCTGGTGAGCGCAGCAAGCTGCTCCTCCAGAAGGCCCCCGAAGCGTGCACGACTAGTCGCCACAGACGACGACTAGACCCCATTTAGGCCATCGTTCTCGTACTCACGTATAGTTGCTGTTATTATTGATCCTGTATTTCTAGTCGTGCCAGGAATTATAATTTGCCCATGAAGACGAACATCACACATCCAATGTCTCGAGAAAGCTCTTCACCCCTTGGGCGTCGAGTCCCCCTCCATCCGGATCTGCAGCCTCTATGCATCTTACCATTGCGATAGTCTCCTTGATCTCCTTTGCAGATACCCAGACTCGGCCATTGAGTCCAACGGCACTCTCATGAGGGAAACGGCCACCCAGGAGAGGTAACAGGTAATGATTTGGATCCAAAAGACTGGTAGGAGTGTGATCAACCTTTGTGCGTATGAAGTGGATGGAGAACATACTCCCGACACATCTTCAAGCCGCACCTCACAATAAATCCGCCCTTGAGCTCACCGAAGCCTTCACCCTTTCGTGTTTGAGCATCAAAACATTCCAGTTCAGGTTCCATATCTTTATGAGCAAGGGAGACTCGTGCGTACACGACGCATCCAACCTAAGGTGGATAGTGGAAATTGTCAGTAGATTCGCAGAAGAATGAAATCTCACCTTGAGGTTGGGCTTGTTTCGTTTTGTCGCTCCTTCAAAAGCCAAACCGTCCAAAGACGCAGGGTGGGCAGAGCCAATATCTACCCGATACCCCTCGCCGATACGTTGGGTGACGACTCCAATCACTGCTTCCTGAGGAGCAGGAACGTACTACAGTTTTTTCGAATAGTCAATTCGAGAAATGAATCGGTAGAGATTGAACGAATTTACCCGTCTCGAATTGCTCTCTATCCACCATTTGCTCCGGTTTGTGGAATGGCGTAGCTCTCCAGCACGCGTCGCAATCACCGTCGAGTCGATTCTACTTGGTCCCGCAGTCGTTAATTGTTGAAGACCTGGTCCTAGTTTGAGATTGACGTGTTGTGCTGGGACATGATTGCCTGGGAGGACGACCGACATGGGTGTTACTTTTTGAGAACCTGCTGATCAGGCCATCACGCTTCGTGTTCCTCCACCACCACCACAGTCCACCTCTGCCCAGAATAACCTGCTTGTCGCAAGCCCCATGTCTCGCAATCCATTATCGGAGGATTTCCCTGAACTATCGCACCTCTCGTGAGTGCTCTCTGTGTTTGGTGAAACAGCGAGACTCAATTTCTGTCAGACGCGAAGATCTAGAAGACCTATTGTCAGACCCTGTTTACTTTCAGGCCATCTTCCATTCTCTGAACTACGTCAAAGAACTGTATAAATCGCAGGCGGAGTTAGGAATGGCAAACGAAGCCATAGCTCGTTCGTAATCTGATTCTATCACCAGGCAGAGCCTAACTTTATTCCAGAAAACAACCTCGCATTACAGCAACGGCTATATGATTTGAGATCCGAGACAAAGGAGGCTTTTGACGAAGCGAAGAGCCTTGAGGCCAGATGGAAAGAGCTGGAGAAGGAGCAAAAAGAGGTCTACCAGGTGCTTCAGCTTGCTCGCTTAGGTGGAGACCCACGCTTACCCCGGACTTCAAAGCGATTCACTCCGCAGTTTCTCCTGATGCGCCTTCGGCATAGCACCACCGCGCAGGATGACGGGTCTGAGGCCGTAGCTTCAACGTTCATCCAACAAGTTCGTAGGCCCTCTGTCGGAGATGCTGGTCCAACGGGTGCAACGAGAGCCGGACAAGACGTGGACGACTTCATCAAGGAGTTCAAGGAATCGCGAAAAATCTATCACAAGCGGGCTCTTTGGGGGGAAAAGTGGGCTAACGGCCAGGTCATCTGGAGAGACAACTAAATGTCCTGTTGAAAATTGCCTCTACTTTCATTATGCCAGCGACGGAGATAGGTAAGCAGAAATTAGACTTGCCCGTGGAATACATCAGATTCTTACTTCCGATCCTACATACGGCTGCACAGGTTGTGGCATATCTTTTCCTCACAGCACATTAGGTCCGGGGTTATGCAGCGAGAGTCGTCGATCGGTTGACGGTGGATTCTTGTCAGCTCTGTCTGCAAGCTTGACGGTTACTCTCGTATGGTTCATTTATCGACACCGTACGACCGTTCTCGCCTCGAGAGAGTCGTGACTTCGGACTTTTTCCGACGGTCAACTTGTGGGCTTTGTTCAAGGCCTTTGATTTCAATGGACACTACATTCCAGCATGTTTGAAATGAATGTAAATGACGATCCTCCGCCTTTTGTTTGTTTTCGCTTGAAGGATTTCATCCAGTGCGCCTTTCAGGCGGTCCCCCCCCCAAGCATCACGTTCAGCAAATTAAACGACGGAGTCAGTCGATGTGTCTTCCAGATAATTTTCCGAAGAAGCTTCATACTGACCTCACTTACGACTCCGGACACAATAACTCCAGAGCACTTCCACCGCAATTACCCGGTCGGACGTCAACGATTGTTTTCAAGAAAACACTACTATCCACGTCGCCATGAGCGATAGCGTTTCTTGCCTCGCCGAGTCAGTTTTGCATGTTTTCCCGGGACCTCAATGAAAGTCGCTACATAACCATTCTTACAACGTCGACAAAATCGAAGTCTGGGACGCGCGCCAATCATAGTGTCTCGTGTGCAAGGTCGGATAATTCAACTTTCCCTGCAGACTTCTTTTGCCTCTCCTCTGTGCGTCCCGTGCTTCTTGGCATTAACCTCGCCTTCTCGCTTTGACTAGGTGCCTTTCAAGCCCCGTTGTGAATTATCTCCAGGCAACGTGGTGTTCGAAGGACGAAAACTAGCTCCTCATCCTTTGGCCGTCTGCTTCAGGACGATGGCTTGGGGCAATTCAGCACTAGCTTACGACCAAAAGTCCACGCCAAACGAACCTCGGATCCTCCACGGTACAATTTGATACGATGTATTCTCTCTGCGACTCGCCTGAGCCCTCACAAGATCTATCCAAGGATGCCAAGCCATAGGTACGACCTGCCTTTCTCTAGCGATCGTCTCTCGTATTTGCCATGCAAGGTTTCTCTTCCCTGTTTTGTCGACCTGGAATTGAAACCGTCTGCCTGTGTCTTGTCCCGATATTGAAGCGGATTTTGCAGAAATGCCGAATATCGACGGAGGTATAAAACAGTGTAAGGCTTTGCAGATTTCCAGCAAGCCCGCAATGAAGACTTCTCTCGCTTTCGTTTCTCTCTCACTCGCCTTCGCCTCGACCTCCGCCCACACCATCTTCCAGGTGCGCGTATCTTTCCGATGTCCTTGAGGTCTTTTTCTGACAAACAAATTAGGAGCTTCTGGTAAATGGTGTTTCGCAAGGCCGCCTGAATGGCATTCGCGTGCCAGAGTACGACGGCGTATGTTTTCTACTAATCACACTCCTTGTATATACTTATTGACTGGCCTTCCCTTCTGCAGCCTATTACCGACGTCACCTCGAACGACGTCATTTGCAACGGCGGCATTAATCCCTACCGTCAGCCCGTGTCTACAACTATCATCAAGATCCCTGGTGGCGCTCAGGTGACTGCCCAATTCCACCACACGCTCACCAGCAACACCGGCGACCAGTCAGACCCTATTGACCCATCGCACAATGGACCTATCCTGGCCTACCTGTGCGTTGCTTCAATATCTGAATATTCTGTAGACTTATTGTGATTAACAGTGCCAAGGTTCCATCTGCCCTGCAAAGGGACGTCACTGGCCTGAAATGGTTCAAGATCTACGAAGACGGTCTTGATTCGAGGGGATGGGCAGTCCAGAGGCTCGTTGCCAACCAAGGAAAAGTCACCTTCACGATTCCTAACTGCATTGCCCCAGGAGAATATCTTCTCCGTGTGGAGCTTATTGGTGAGTTTAGCCATTGGAACATCAAGTTTAATATGCTCAAGCCTCGCGAAAGCTCTCCATGCTGCTCAGAGCTATCCTGGCGCCCAACTCTATGTTCATCCTGATATTAGTTCGGTTGTTTTCAGATGCTGACCTATACCCTTTACTTGTCTAGATGGAGTGCGCTCAAATTGAGATCACCAGCGGAGGAAATACCACCCCTGCGCCTGCCGTCAGCTTCCCTGGAGCATACTCTGGTGAGCGTTAAGATACCTTCATGCCGCCATCATCGTTGAACGATTGCGGCCAGGCTCTGATCCGGGAATCAGATACAACTTGTACGCTGGTCTTACCAGCTACACAATTCCAGGTCGGTTCACCCAAAACACATGTATTTTTATGCCTCATCCAATCTCAATCCCTATAGGGCCTTCTGTCTTCCGCTGTGATGGCTCAAGCAACCCAGTTAGTACTGCAGCCCAACCCACTACTGCAGCCCCGACGACCGCTGCACCTACAACGACCGCACCTTCCGCTGGAACCGTCGCTCAGTATGGACAATGTGGTGGTATCAGGTAAGCAATCTCGTCCTTCTGGTCTGTCGTCACGTTTGACGGGTCGGCAGTTACACGGGTCCTACTGGCTGCATTTCTCCCTATACTTGCTCTAAACTGAATGACTACGTACGTCTTACAACTCCGTCAAGAATCTGTCAAGTTAATATGACTGACCTCGCTTTGATCAGTATTCTCAATGCCTTTGATCACAAAACCTGAGGACAGGCCCGACGCCGACATCGTGTACACATTTTTCCCTTTCCATCGTCACCGCACTATTACTCTACTCCAACATCAAAGAATGTCCTCATAAAGGGGTAATAAATTGAATTTTCAAAAGAAATTTCTACACACACCATCCCCTTACGACCGGCATCCCTTCATCACTTTCAATGTTGATAAGACCCACATTTCCCCGCAAATATTTTTTGGAGTCTTTATGTACTCAGGGGCGACTGGTGATCGATTGATCAGTGATCACTATTGCCATGACTTGGCATGTCCGAGTTATATCCATTTTTGTTCCGAGGCACTTCTCGGTTAGATATGTCTGCTGACGCAGACCACCACTGATGTAGGTACATGGTTATTGCATACTTACATTTTTTCAAGTCCAGTTTTGAAGGGCATTACTTAGATTCAATACTTAGCTCTGCCTCTAATTGGATGGCGCGCCGCACATTCCAAACATGTGAAGTTGTCAACAAGATTGAATTTTGCAGCCGAACATGACGTCATCCTCTTCTAGGTCTCTCTTGAACCGTAATGACCGCTTTGAACCGCGCGACATTTCGCCTACGGCTCTAGAGATGACAACCTCCTAATCACCCCATCACTTGCGAAGGACCGTATGTCGGATCGTTGACGGAGTAATCGGCAGTGGGTCAGCTTGTTGCGCGGTGTTCGACCTTTCAATCCTGCCGAACTTCATGCGTACCACTCTCTCCTCACTACATCGCTGCGCATGTGGTCAAAACACGAAATGGATCATCAGGAATAGGCTATGCATGAAGCCTTTGGAGGTCTAGTTTTATTTTCAGCTCACTCCATCTCCCTGTATTTGACCGATTTTTTAACGTAGGCATGGGTTGATTCACCCGAAGTGGAATGTATAAAGCAGAACCGCTATTGCCTTCCTGCGACATCATTTGCCCACAACGATGAAACCGTCTATCGTCGCTTTACTCCTCCTTGCTGGCTCGGCGTCAGCTCACACAATCTTCCAAGTACGTGCCTCGATATTTCGTCCTGCACGTTATTCACCTCATGTCAGGAACTTTGGGTCAATGGAGTGTCAGCTGGCCATCTCGTGGGCATCCGTGCTCCTAGCTACGACGGTGTAAGCGTACTATCAGTTGAATGCATGATATTGCTCTCACCCTTGGAATGCTTTATCTAGCCCATCACAGACGTGAATTCAAATGATGTGATCTGCAACGGAGGGATAAACCCTTATCTCCAACCCGTGTCGAAGACTGTCATACCTGTTCCTGCTGGCGCGCAAATAACTGCCGAATTCCATCACACCCTCACCAGTGCCAACACCGGTGACGCCTCCGACCCGATCGATGCGTCGCACAAGGGCCCCATCCTTGCATACATGTCAGTTGTCTAATTGCCTAGTTCAACGACAAAGATCTCATGCACGTAATTAAATGTAATAGGGCCCAGGTTCCCGATGCTACTCAGAGCTCTGTGACCGGCTTAAAATGGTTCAAAATCTACCACGACGGCTTGTCTGGCGGAACATGGGCCGTTGACAAGCTCATCCGGAACAAAGGCAAAGTCAGCTTTGCGATTCCAACTTGCATCTCTTCCGGCCAATATCTTCTTCGTGTAGAACTGATAGGTACGTCTTATGAATTCACTGTTTCAGCCCAATTTCTCGACCCATCTATACAGCCCTGCACGGTGCCGGGAGCTACCCTGGAGCGCAGCTCTACGTGAGGATTTCTTTCTTGATATATACATTTTATTTTATTTTTGCAGTCAATTCTTAATGTTGAATACCACAGATGGAATGTGCACAGATTCAAGTGACTGGAGGAGGGAACACTTCTCCGGCTACTGTCAACTTCCCAGGTGCCTACAAGGGTCAGCAACCTTCATCCACTTTGTCGTATCTTACTGATCGCCTGGCCATAGGATCTGACCCAGGTATAACCGTAAATATCTACAGCGGTCTGACTAGCTACACCATTCCTGGTAAGCACACGTCGGCACGCAATTCGAAGAATAAACTGATTCCAAAATGCGCACTGCAGGACCTCCCGTCTTCAGTTGCAGCGGGTCAAGCAACCCTGGATCAGGTACTTCACCCACGACAACGGCAAATCCAGTCACTACAGCGGCTCCGATTACAACTATTCCTGCTCCGGTTAGCACGACTGCACCAGGGGCTGTTGCCCAATATGGCCAATGTGGCGGGCAAGGGTCAGTGGCCTCTTGAATACTTCTTGCAGCGCCGTCTCACAGACGCATTAGATATACTGGGCCAACTTCATGCGTCGCGCCATACACGTGCATCAAGTCAAACGACTGGGTACGTCTGCGTTAAACGATCAGCCCTAGTCCGTGCTATTCACGCATCTCCCTTTTTCAGTACAGCCAATGTCTCTAAAGCATTCGCTCCGCGAGGGTATCACAGGGTATCACGGTCTTCTTCCGGATGCACGTAATTACGCGGGGCATGACCTTCTTTTTTCAATCCATGTCGTACAAATGTCGTACCAATTGGAGTTCGTAATGCAATAAGCGCCGGCCAAGACCGACGACGAAAAGCCGCTGGCATGGATGTAGACATGAACCGAGATTCATTGAAAAAAAAACATCGGCATCAAGCTACGACATCGGAATTTTTTTCTGCTTGCCTTCACTACTACATAAATGGGACAGGTGGACACAATGCTGCTTGTGTGGTGATGCCGAGTTCTCCGAGCCTAAAGCGGCGACCACGTGTTACCTCTAAAAGACCTCGGGGCGGGCCAGGAGGCATACCTTCTTCCAACCACTTGATGCTACAGAATTTCTTCTTTTCTCCGTTACGATATCTTTACCCTCCAGCATATCCTCCACGATGCGCTACTTAGAAGGCTTCACTGTACAGCTGCCGACATACCCCGCTCGAGGCTCTCGTGTGTCCTGTGAATGCCTGGTACCTGAACAGTGAATACCCAGTACCGTTGCCGAACTGGTCTACCGACGATTCCCGCTGATTTCAACAAAGCAAAGAATGGGTCAGGCCTGCAAACCACTACTTATGTTCGACTGCTTTCTGGACTGCATTCATCATCATGCCTAGGCTCCGCGTTGCTTCTCTTGGGAAATAAAACCCTTTCATGGAAGATGTTGCAAAGATATTGCCAAATTTTGTGGGGCATGCTTCCTCTCAGAACGACACACTCGGCCCTCTCTACACCATGGGTTTGCTGAATCATCGCCCGTAGTACAAAAATACGCACCCATGAAGCGTGTACTCCGTCAGCAATCTTCTAACGGCTGGCCCGCTGACTGCACCATCTCGATCACGACGTCTTCGCGTTGAAATGGCCTCATGGTTCATGATTGATTTGCTCTAATCGCCAACGTGAAGGTACGTATGACCCATTTTTTTGTGTCGTGTTTATCCTAAGGGTTATTTTTGCCTAGGAATCGAGCCCCCTTTACGTTTGTCTCCTGGGACTATCAGGCAGGCCGTTATTCGGCGCAAAGGATGCCTCGCTGGCGCTCGAGGAGTGGTGTTGCGCTCTGACCTGCAGAAATGGTTAAATAGAACAGCGTTTGAACCGCGTCGTCTGCAGGACCTCCTACTTCAACATGCATCTCGCAGCCTTTCTCTCCTCCGTCCTTCTTGCTGCCTCTGTGGCAGCAAAGACGGTCTTTTCTGTATGAACGATATCTTTAATGTATCGTCGTGTTTGTCTAATCATACTCTTTCGCTAGGAACTGGCCGTAGACGGTGTAGCTGAAGGCCATGCCATTGGCATCCGTGTTCCTTCTAGTAACGCTGTAAGCTGTCCCTCTTTCCAGTTATCCTGCGATGCCGATATGCCGTAGGCCATTACCGATATTACCTCGGACAATATTATTTGCAACACCAACTTCATTACCCCAGTTTCGACGGTGGTCATCCCTGTCAATGCCGACAGTCAGGTTACCGCTCAGTTCCACAAAACGTCGGCCGGGTATCTCGGGGCTGATCCTGCTGACCCTCTCGACCCCACTAACAAAGGTATCTTTCAGAGATATTGGCATTGTGAAGATAATGAGGCTGACGACGTTTACTAGGCCCCGTCCTTGCCTATCTGTTCGTAGAGCATATCTACAGCCTTGACCACGGAATTCTAATACAATATTAATGTTTTAGCGCGGCCGTCCCTTCCGCGACTCAGCCCACTGTGACAGGTCTGCATTTCGCATATTTTATTTCCGTCTATTCTAATTGACGAACGTCCAGGACTGAAGTGGTTTAAGATCTGGCAAGATGGATATGACAGCACTACTCACCAGTGGGGCTCCGACCACCTTTTCATCAACGGTGGCAATGCGACTTTTACCATCCCGTCGTGCACCGCATCTGGTCAGTATTTGCTCCGAGTTGAATCGATTGGTCAGTCCTCTAGTTAAACTTCCGCGATTTTTTTTTGCCTGACGGACGCGCTTGCAGCCCTCCACCAAGCGACCTCCTACCCTGGAGCCCAATTCTATGTGAGTATTGTCTTCATTCATCGTATTTGAACGTTGGGACAAATATCTTCTTCACAGATGAGCTGTGCTCAGCTTGCGATCACTGGGTCTTCTTCGCCCGCGACTGCTGCTACTGTTTCATTTCCCGGAGCCTACCGTTGTACGTCTTCTGACCGTGTCCTAAGAGATCGTGCTGACGGGTAGACAAGCTACCGATCCTGGCATCGTCACCTCGATCTTTGGCCTCTCCAGCTACACCCCACCAGGTACTCATGACCCCTTTGGTCTCTCATTCGTGCCTGTGTGCTGACGATGCCTTATAGGCCCAACTGTATTCACTTGTTGAGGATGATTGCTGACTACCGTACATTACTCACATATGCCAATTTTTTCGTCAAATATATGTTGCTTGCTCCACTCAACCAGCTCCTCTTCCGCTGGGTCAGCCCAGAAGGCTTGAGATCGTTGAGCCGTGGCGCAGCTTTCCAAGTTGCTCATCACACCCATGTGAAAAATGGATTGAACAATTGAAGGTCTCCAATCGACTCTTCAAAAAAAAGGGAGCCTTTTCTTGACGTTAGTCGATACGCCCCGAGGGATGAACGTGGCCAGGTGTATTTGATTTAAACAAGGTGGTCTCCAACAGATGATACCTGTCCGAGACTGGGTCACCGCCCAAAGGGCTAAGTGTATATCGCTAGAGAAGGATAAACTTCAACAGGCGCTTATCAATTGAATATTGACGACTCAGTACTCACACCGAAACTGTCGGTCAACCGGGTGTGGAGTCTCGACTTGATGCCTACAGAAGAGGGGGTCAAATAATTGTGCTTCAATGGAGGATAGACTGGTACGCACCAGATAGAGAGGGCAGTTCTGCAAGTATCGATCACAACTTGCAGGACGTCTGCCCTAGCATAAGATCGGCTGCCTGATAATGAACGATATCAACGCCGATGGCTTGGAAGAGTGGCCAATGGATAGAGGCATACCGTAGCAGCTCGGCCCCTTCACGCACGGCCGGAATAACTAATAGGAACATGTCCACATAAGTCAGAGCCAGAGAACCATCAACTTGCAACGTGAGGCTTTTATACTGTAACCCAACTACTTTATGTAAGGCAGCCACTATATACTTCACCGAAGATGTTCACATTACCCTGAGCAGGTAGGATTCCGACTAAAACTGGCAGAGAAAAAAAGCATCCCGAGACAGTCGGTACCATCTCATTTTCGGGCACACAAATATTGAGGAAACAGTAAGGATGTATTGGCAAGACCCAGACTATCTCCAACAAAAAGCGTAGAGCACGATAAGTACGTGATATCGAGCCCAACGGGAGATGAACAAATGAATGGCCTGGGTTATTTGATTTGAAAAGAAATGCTGCTACCCGACAGATACCTGCCGAGCAGCAGCATAGCTGCGCCCGAGGCACTGCACTCCCCACGTGAGTGAGGATAGCTTGCCAGGGGACTCACCAAACCAGCATGAACGGGTGACCATCCAGCCTGGAGTGGCTCTGTAGATGATAGTCAGGGATCAGACGGGGGTTAGAGGGTAGGCAGAGGTGAGACGAACCATTGAAGGCTACCCAGAATAAAATCCAGGAAGCCGACAATCCAGAGCTGGGCTAACGGACGTCTCCACCAGGGACTGGACAATGAACGGAACATGAGCAAATAGTTGTGTAGAAATGTATGCGATAAAAAAGACGCACGAACGGAATCGACCACTCTAAGCCGCAGAAAATAAAGGCTACGGCCGAAGCCGCTGAACATAGCGGCTTGGCAATGCGGACGGCGCGCTCCTGCGAAGAGAAGACGATGAGTATAGGCTGAAGGAGCTGAAGAGGAGGCACTCACCGAGAGGAGACGGGTGCACCCAAAACTGGGGGTAGGTCATTACCAAGGATTCACGAAGGGCGGGTCAGGTATTTATCTGCTGGGCCGTGTTTAGGGGAGGCTGGGAATCGACGCGTCATCCATCGCGATCGATAACTTCTGATATAACTCCTTTTGTAAGCCACCTTTCATCTCCTTTCATGGTCATCAAATGAACTCCTTCCTCGATCCATCCCTCAACGTCACTTCTCCTGGACACCCTAGAGCGTTCACGCCATGTCCAACCTGAAGTACCTCAAAGGCGACCTCTTCACCGCGCCCTCAGGATCCATCCTTGTCCAGGCCTGCAACACGCAAGGATCCTGGGGAGCCGGCATCGCGATCGCTTTCAAGGAGAAGTACCCCGCTGCGTTCCAACAGTACGAAGCCCACTGCAAGACGCATGGTCAGGCTTTGGTTGGCACATGCCTGCTCATACCTGGCGAGACACACGCCATCGCGTGTCTCTTTACGTCCCGCGCATATGGAAGACGTAAGGACGCGCCTGCAGACATCCTCGCGGCTACACAGACAGCCGTGCAAGATCTCATTGATCAGAACGTCGATGGGAAGCCTTTACATGCGTGGTGCGTCGCGGTGTCTTCATCTACTGCTTGATGAATGTTGAGATTCAACACATGATATTCGCCAGCCGCTTCAACTCGGGCAAGTTCGCAGTTCCATGGACGGACACAGAAGCTATTCTAATAGCCTTAAACGCATCTATGACAATTTATGCGCCATGAAGTCGATCCCTCCACATCTCTGAAGATGAACTCTTTGAACCATCCGTTTGCATGCTTTTCATTCGAGGAGCACGTTGTCGTGCTGAACCTTCAAGCAAGGCATATCCATTTCAGTCACATCTTCGGTTGGGCATTCGTGGTTCATCACCACTCCGAGACAAGTTGGGGACATATCGCGTCTTCCATACGGTGTTTAGGGTAGGTCGAGACGCGATCAATGGCACTTGGCCATTATTTCCACCTTGAAAGCAATTCTAGTGGATTTAAGCCTATCTATGAATGGGGATATTTAGCCTACTATACATCGACAATATACCAGTCGCGACCCGGCTCTCGTTTGCATACGTATTTTGCCGTGTACCCGAGGAAGGTGACAATGACATGCGAAAGCTTTTTCGACGCTGCGAAAATACTCGTGATCATGTCAGAGAAATCGATCTCGTGGCAAGGTGTCTGTGAAAGTTGAGGATAGAATCGTATGGTGAGGCAGTCCAACTTGGTCGCATAGGGAAGGTATTCCTCGATCCACTCGGTGAGTTGATCTAGCATCTATCCTCGGCATGTCAGGGGATGAACTACAGCCGAAGGTAGGGGACACTCACATCTTCGTCATCTGGAGCCACTCTATCGGCATCGAGGATAAGATAGAGCAAGGATGGACATGATTGAGAGAGTTGCTCGCCGCCAATACTCTGCAGATAATCGAAGTTTACCATCAGCCGTTGTACTCCATGACTTGACGTAGATTCTGATAAAAAGGATAGCGGTGTTGGGACATCGAGTGCGCCACAGGAAGTTGTCACATCGCGGATGGGTCGTCCCGGAACTAAAGCTGCTACAACGGATAAAGGAGCATGGACAGACACCAAGTTGGGAAGCAACTGCGGCGCTACGCTGCGGAGGAGTTTGGACGTGCGCGACAACGTCACAGAGAGGTGCTTCAAACTGCGTTGGCCGCTCAAGAACGAGGCCAAGTGCTCGTCGTAGGTATACAAACACGAAAAGGAGCAAAGCTGGAAGGGGGGAGGATCCGCTATAGGAAGAACCCACGATCCAGTTGTGGTCAGAAATAGACCAAGGGTGTGAAGGCGAGGGAGTAACGACAATGTATCTTGTATGATCCCAAGGTAAATGTCGACGCCTCTACCGTCCCAGATGATTAAGGACCGCACTCTTGCCGCAAGGCTGGTGTCGTTGCATATCTTCAGACAGAGGGCCATGACGTTTCTTCGGTTTGGGCGAAGATCGCGGTAGAGGGCATTGAAGGCTATTGGGTATACAGCTTTATTGATTCTGCAGCATATGGCAAGGTCAACTGGGGTGAGGCGCTTGAAGATAAGCTCGAGGACGTCGAGGGGAAGGTCGCTCCTCATGGAGTCGTTGGGAGGGTCTTGATGATCCATGGTCTATACAGGAACCACTTCAGCACAGGTAAGGCGACGACTCAAAGAGTTGGGTGGTAGTACTTACTGTTGGTGGATGAGTGAGAAAGATTTGAAGGACGTCATCGGTGCCGACGCTTCAAGTCTGCGCGGCGGAGAACGGGCCATTTTAGGAGAGGATTTGAAGTCGCCGCAGAAACCAAACAACCACCGCTCTCACCTCCTAAACGAGGAGGTAATTGAAAGAGGACCAGGGCATTTGTCGTCTGCGCTAACAATACAAGACGGAGAGGTGAACGGAGAGAGTCTGAAGACGCGAGGAAGGATTCGTGTTTGTTCCGTGTCCGGTAACCAAACAGAGGCCAAGGATGCGTCGCCAAATGCACGCGCTCGAGGCAAGAACCATGGCGTCGCAAGGGCACCCAACCCAGGCAGATGGCCAGTGTCTGCGCTACCCCGATCCCATTCCCCCTCAGCGGGAGATCAACTACGAGACCGCTGTGGGCATGCTGATGCGCGCCGCAGGGACCGCCCAGAACGTGCCGTTCGTCTGGAGTTATGTCGATAAGCCGCAAGGTCGGTCTCCGCCTCCGTGCCTGTTCATTAACCGCCTCCCGAACTGATCTCGCCTCGGGCGAATGACGCAGATGGCACCGTCCTCCTCCTCTACCTCCCGCTCGGAAACCCATTCCCCAACGACGGTATCCGCTACCAGGACTCAGAAATCAAGGCCGTCGTCCCCGCTGGTGGTGGCCGGGTGAGCACCCTTCCGCCCGCCTTCGTTCGAACAGCTTCCCTCAATATCACGTCCGGTTTACGCGTTTAGGAACTCGAAGTGTGCGAAATCAAGTACGGCTTCATCCCAGGCGCTGGCGAACCCAGCTCGTCGCGTCTTCGTCGGCGGTACCGTCTCCAGAAAGGCGGCCACCCTCAGCTCGTCCTCGTGCACTACACGCGAGGACCTATGATACGTAGGTCTCGGCATTCTCACTTGCCATATTTAACCTTTCTGAACTTCGGATGACGCCCCTTTCTTCCTGACGCCATTCATGATATGACTGCAGTCATCCCGCCCGGAATCGCAAACCAGCCCGTCCGAGCGTATCCCCTCCGTGCGCTGAACGAACCCTCGGTGTACGTCGCGGGCGAAAAGCAAGGTCAGAAGATGTACCCTCCTGGTATGGGTCCTGGAGCCATGCACGCTGGAGGTGGGGGGCCTGCGTCTATGGCACCTGGAGCGATGGGCATGCCTATGAACTTCAGCCAGCAGCAGGCAATGCTCGCGCAGCAAAATAGCCAGATGGAGGCATTGGAGAGGAGAAGAGAGCGAGAGAGGGAAAGAGAGAGGGCTGCCCAAAGGGATGGACAAACTGCTGGGGTGAGCCTACCTGCTGTTTCTTTCTTCGTGTTTTATTCAACTTGCCTCAGAGACCTCCACAAGGACGGATACCGGATGACGATGATTCTGGAGGTATGCTGCCCGGTCCAGTTTCTTCCAGCACGTCACTAAAGCCTTAAACAGATGAGGTTGACCAAATTTCAACGCGAACGCTGGCGATGGCTCGATACAAGCGCAACCACGAGTGGATGAACGAAGTTTTCCACAGAGCAGCGTTTGGTATGTTTGCGATCAAACCACCTCCGTTGACTTTTCCGCAATTTTCTCCGTCAGGCGATCGCGCTCCTAAACCCAAGTCCACGCCCTACTCCATCTTCTCAAAATCGGAGCTTGAAGAAAAAACGGTATGCCGTTCACTCTCTTGGGCCGTAGCAATGTGTTCACATTTCTTCGCAGGCAAAACTACAAACCGAGATTGAAGCCTTGCAGGCAAGCTCCGCGAAACGACGAGCAGACAAAATCAGAGAGTCGCAAAGTCAACCATCAGCAGATATTACCATGTCCTCGATAGCAGGAGACTCGGTGGCAGCTTGAATTACATCCACACATCTAGTTCACCCTCGTATTGCTTTCTTGTTTTCTATGGTGCAATGTATACTTCAAAATCCTGGCGTATCTCAACCTTAGGAATTGGACGGAAGATAAATGAGTATTGCAATACTCTACTGTACAGAGTATTGCTACATGACGACGCGTGGGTATGTGCATATCGATTAACTCGTACAGATGAGATAAATGTTTTGGGGATGTGGGTGGCCAGGCAAGGTGATACTGTACATAACAACAAAGGATGTCGATGAGAAAGTAAAAGTAGAAGAGTGGTCAATATGTACTATGGCTACCGGTAATTGCGAGTGTTCGTAAATATGCTGGACGACTATCATGTTGAAGGACGTGACTGGAGTGGAGATGAACGAGGGAAAAATGGGAAAAGGATATCGATGAGACGAAGAACCTGGAAGGAAAATGGCGCCATAAATAACGAATATCGCGATACCTAAAAGTCACCGTTGTGCAGGAAAGATATCCACAGATGAATCACAACCACAACCACCAACCTATGAATCAAGACCTGACAGTTAAGACCTGTGCAGTGTTAAACACCACGCCGCGTATGCTCTGCACTCCTGCTCCTCACAAGCAACGGGTTGACTAAAAACTCCACAGACGGCGGTCTCGATGTCTGCTGTCCACCCTTCGTCTCATGACCATGCACAGGCAAGTTGAAGTGGGCTCGCGTACCAGTCGGCGGCGAACTGCTCGGACGGTGCCTCCATCCCAACCCCAGTCCAACTTTCGCATCCTTGGTCGGCGATACAGGAACGCCCGAAAACCGGACGCGTTCGCCGTGCACATGAATGTCCCCCGATGTCCATTCGTCCTCTTCCTGATCATGTTCATGGCCAGGCACTGCTCGCATCTGCACCTTGTCAGGATTCGCAAGCGTGCGCATCGTCGAGCGGCCTCTGGAGGACTCCGCTACGGCATCAAGGTGCAGTTCGTCTGGCAGCTCGAGCACACCCAAGCTTGTTGATGGGCTAATAACGATAGGCCCATCGAGTGGTGTCGTTGGCACGACGCTAGGACTGGGCGACCGCGACCGTGAGGCCGAGTGGTGTGGCTTGGCGGGCCTCCTGCCTCGTCCAGGAAGGCCTGTAGACAATGCTGACTCGGACACCGAAGAGACGGGCGAGACGACCAACGCAGACTCCTCTGCGTCGAAGCTGAAGTAGCTAGATGTGGAAGAGGGAAACGATACCATCATCGCGTCTGCTGTCAGCTGGTCAGGGTGATCGGAGGGTGAAGCACCTCTCGGATGGCACGACACACCCCGGCTCACACTCCTCGCCGACGAGGACCTGTCAGTGAGCACAGGTGCGCGGGAGAGCGACCTCTTCACACGGGACGAGGAGCGGCGGGATGCAGCATCCATCGACGGCCGCGAGCGTGGCTCTTCGTGTTGCCAGTCGTTGATATCGTTATCCGAGGGAATTCGGATGCTCGCTGGGCGAGAACGAGACCGCGAGCACAAACGTGACTCTGCGGCAGATGCAGGAAGTTGGTACTGTACAGGATCAGGCTCTTCGTGCATCGATGTGGCATCGTCGCCCTCTGCTCCCCAGCCAACTCCCCAAGCAACCTCATCCACCATCGCAATCGTCCATCTGCTCGATACTGCACGGTCCAAACAGCCCTGAAGGATCCTCTCCGCCCCTCGACCGATATCTTGTGGGATATCGTAGGTGCCTGGACTGTTATGTAAGTACTTTAAACTGCAAGATAGAAAGGAGACACCATACCGTTGAGGATCTTCATTTGCAATCTCGGCTCGAAAGAATCAGAAAACGGCAACCGCCCGGTAAGAAGAGCATAAAGCATCACACCGAGTGCCCAAATATCCTGACCAGGATGTGGCCGCATAGCGTCGGATGTCTGAGGAAGAAGTAGTTCCGGAGCCGCGTACGGCAGGGAACCGGGTTGGAAGGAATGGACTGGTTGGGCTGTGGAAGTGGAATTCCTGTGACGGACAGTATTGTGCCGATGCACAGCTTGAAGATGGAGATTGCCCTTCGCTTGCTTCTTGGATGGCGCCGCCAGAGAGACAGCACGGTGAACAGAGCCATGGCCATTTCCTAACGCTGAAATTTCTGTACTGAAGTCGAAAAGTTCGTCCGACTCATCAGAGTCGTCATCCGGTGTCAAATCCATTTTGCGGGTCATACCAAAATCTCCGATCTTGCACATGCCCATATCATCAACCAGCACATTCTCCAACTTCATATCCCTATGGACATATCTCGCCACTTCGTGCAGGTACCGCAGCCCACGGACGACCTGTCTAAACATCATGCCGGCATCATCTTGTAGTAGGGCCGGCGTGCCGTCTCGCTTCAGGATGTCGAACAGCGATCCCGCGGGGCAGTAGAGTGTGAAGAAATAGTCGGCATAAGGAGAGTGTACGGCAGAGAAAAGTGGGAGAATATGTTCGTGACTAAGAGTGGCCCAGACCGTGGCTTCATGCTGAAGCTTCTTACGAGCTTGTGGTGCATTGCCCGCCTTGACGAGGTCTGAACGACGGACAATCTTAACTGCGGCAATGCTGCCGGATTGCGATGAGGCACGTCTAATGATAGAGGATGCGCCATAACCAACGATAGGCCCAAGGGTATATCCTCCTACGACTTGGCCTTCGTCGTCGGGTTTTGGGGCTGCTACGGGGGTGGGGTTCATGAATGCTGAGAGAAACATGGCTGCTGGAGAGGCAGAAAGGCTGGTGGATTGTGATGAAGGAGCTGGGTCGCTGAGTGGCGATCTGGAGGCTAAAAATGCTCTGGAGTTCTCGGCTATAAGAGAAGCTGAAAGACGCTGCTCGACGTCAAGATTGTTCCCAGAGGAAGATGCGGCGGTGAAGTTGAATTGATCTTCGTCTTCTTCGTGCAGGGCCTCCACGACAGGCCCCTCTGCGCTTGGAGGACGCCCATCCCAATGGTTGGTTGGATTGGGTGAGAAAGAGATGTTGTTGAAGGTGGATCGTTCGGTAGAGTGGAGGTTAGTGTACATGAAAGGGCGGTAGGGCTGACTGAGGTGGGAGTGGGCGGGTAGTTATGCGTAGGTGACAGAGTCAGAGGGTCGGCCGGATCCGCTGTGGTGGAAGGAAAAGAAATGGATCCTACCGTCTCGTGACCCACTTTGCCTATTGTGGCCTCCGCATTTCAAATTCCATCACCGCCACATTCAACGGTTAACCGAGCGCTCCTTACGGAAAACCCTGCAAAACCGTTCAGGGATGCACTCAAGCCATGTCATTCCGCCTGTGGCTTGGAATCGACTGCTGGAGTGATTTTTTTTCCTGGTGAATTATAACTTTACACGTTCAACCGCGGGGACCTTGGCTTGGTGAGTCCCAAATGAGTCCCATGTCGATGCACACGCGGGAGCTGCGCGGGAGTGTGCTTCCGAGACAGGCTCTCGGCGACACCCCGATGGGTTTATTCCGTTGAAGCTAAGGTTAGGGCTACACGTCACTCCGATCACACCAACAAATCATTGGGTTGCTGGCACCTATAAACCATATATACCTTGCTCTCCATCAAGACTCTTACAGCTAACACTCCTTCTGTGTGTCTCTCTCTCTTGCGCGCTTGCGTTCGAGACAACTACGATGTCGTTTATCCGGTAAGGGCTCACTTGGCATGCCTCTCCATAATGTTGACCGAGCAAGCTAGACTAATCTTGTGTGTCACTGGAGTCTATTCATGTTTTTTGGTACGGCCCCTCAGAAAAAAAAAACACTGAAGAGGGTACTAATTCCCTCCATTAGCTATGGGCGATTGCACAGGAACGACGTATGTCTCAATCACCCAATGGCTGTCCATAACGCTCATCTTCACCTCTAGTATCCGTACCCTTCAAAACACTAGACGACAAATCTTCCGACAAATTTAAATCGCCTCTTTTCATGGGAACGTGTCAAAGTGCACTAAGTGCATTGTCAGCTCTAATATACATCCTAATCCGAAGCAAGCCTTCCGCTACCCTTTCTCAAAACCTTGGACTCGAACATGTTGAACCTTCGGGCGGTAAGGCCAATGGATCCCCCGTCACCCCTAATGGCAAGGCGCACGTCAACGGCCACGCCCATAAACACGCCGACAAAGCCTCGACCCGGTACTCAACCAAAGCTCTTCTTTTCCGATACCTCCAGTGCGCCGTCTTTATCACCTCCGCAGCACCGTTTGGCTTCGCCGCCCTCTCATACATCTCCTACCCCGCGATGGTCCTCGGGAAATCTTGCAAGCTCGTGCCCGTCATGATCATGAATGTTCTCCTATACCGCCGGAAGTTCGCGCCGCACAAGTACCTCGTCGTCTTCATGGTCACAACGGGGATCACCATCTTCATGGGGCTAGGCGATGAGAAGAGGGGGAAGAAGCACGGTGCCGGAGCTGCCGGAACGAACGGACAGACACCGTATGCTAACCTGATTGGAATCACCTACCTCCTCATTAACCTCGCGCTCGATGGCGCGACCAACTCGACTCAGGACGAGATCTTCACTCGCCATAAAGTTACGGGCCAGCAGATGATGTTTTGGATCAACGTCTTCTGCACACTGCTGACCTCCGTGCTGTCCGTCCTCCCACTTCCATACATTCCGGTCATTCATCCGTCGGATGACGGCAAGTCGGAGCTCATGGGTGCTCTTACGTTCGTTCGCAACCACCCCTCTATCATGACCCCATTGGCACAATTCGCCCTGACCGGTGCCCTTGGCCAACTTTTTATCTTCGAAACCCTGCAACACTTCGGCTCACTGACTCTTGTGTATGTGGCCCTTCCTCCTCTGCCCAGCATTGACTGACGCTGTTTAAATAGCACAATAACATTAACCCGTAAATTATTCACGATGCTCCTGTCCGTGGTCATCTACAACCATAAGCTAACGAAGGGCCAATGGCTCGGAGCTGCTGTTGTCTTCGCTGGAATCTCGGTGGAAGCGTTTGTTAAGCGCAAGGGTGTGTGTATCCTAGTTGTCTTTCTGTCAATCAAGATTCACTAAGACCTTCCACAGATGTTCACGCGAAACGTGTCATTCAAGAGAAGGAAAAGGCAAAAATCAAATCATTGTAACATTAGAGCATATTTAGAGTTTATGGACCGGATCAACACAACTATGCGCAATAGAATGGACTGAAAAATAATACCTCGTTCCAAGGAAAAGAAGAAAGCAAGGACAACATGGACAAGAGAGAAAAGATACACACACATCAAGTCTCCATTGCGTTTGGATCAACCTCTTGCGAATCATTCTGCACTAGCGGCCGTTTGCGATCTTCCTCCCTGGGGTTTTCTATAAATACAAGGCGCCAAAGTGAAAACAAAGCAACTTGCCTCTCATCATCATCGTCATCATCATCGACTTCCCGCTTACGCCGCGGTGCTGCTCGTTGTGTTTGAGGGAAGCTAGCATGTGCAACGTTGGCCTTATAGATGGCCTCGTACTCCTTGTCGATGGTGGCGTGGAGACGTTTTAGAAGATTTGATCTCCATGACAAAAGTTGGGAAAGGACGAACCTTGATCTGAGTCAGGAAACCACCGTTGGGCGATATACAGTAGCGTCGGTTTTGAACAAGATGGAGGGCGTCCTCCCATGAGATCTGGTAGTGCTGCATAACGAACATGACGACGAAGGCGGGCGATAGACTGATTCCGCCTGGTTGCGGCGTCAGAGAAGACATTTTAGCGGCGAACTACCCACAAAGGGATTGGCGTCGAACGCACCGTTGCAGTGAACTAACACACGTCCACCTTGACCGATCGCCGAGTCGATGAATTGTTTGGCACTGGGAACGGGTCCAGGCCGTCTGTCAGAACCAAGACGTGCCACAACGGGATGAGAAGACGCGACGACGTACCCGGGAAAAAGGCGGATGAGGTTTTGCTCTTCGTTGTCCTCCACGTCCAGCGTCAAGTACTTGAAGCGTTCTGGGAAGCGGGGTCGCACAGAGAATGCCTCCTTCGCATCGCGAATGCAGACACTAAGAGCAAAGAAAGACAAAGGAACGCGTGAGCCCCCGCGCGAGCCGGGGTGAGGTGACGGGTAGGCAGACGAACATATGTGAGATCCCGAGGTTTCTGAGTGTATCGAGGGATTTTGAGGCTACAAAAGGGCCGAGGAAGAGGCCTGGAAGGATTTCCTGGCATTCCCTGCGCATCTCGTATCTGCGGCGCGGCGCGGGGGGTAAGCATTCCGCCGTGATTAGGGTCACAGGCGTTGGACGCACCTCCACTCGATATCTATAGGACCCTGGATGACGGCCTTTAGCTGCTCTTCTGTGAGTGCGGACATGGTGGATGTGGAAGAGGAGGATTGGCTGGCTTGTGATGGAGTGGCCAGGGGAAAGCGGGGTTGACAGTCTTAAATTACTTACATACGCGGTCTGGGTACTTATAAGTCACGTGTGGACCGGTTCCGAAGAACGGCCATAGACAAAGACATTGACAAAGAGGCGTATTTGCTTCCTAGTCACCCCCACTCATGTCTTTCAGCGATTCCGAGGAAGAACCTCCGTAGGGAAGAATGTTCGATGACCCAGAAACTCAGTGTTCACCCGTGATCTTGGTCTAGATTGCTTCTGGAGCACGAGGATGTCGCATTGGATGTGGACACGACGAACGACGAGACGGCCCCATCTACACGCGTGCCTTTGACGATAATATGCGGATTCCTAGGCGCCGGGAAGTCGACGTTGCTCAAGTGAGTTCTGTCACGGTTGAGAGCCAACCCGATCTGAAGCTCTTTCTAGACGGATTCTAACAGAGCGTCATGGATATCGGATTGCAGTCATCATGAATGAGTTTGGAGGCACCGCAGTAAGTGGTTTTGTGAACTGCTATCATTTCTCAACTCATGCTGTTGAATAGGATATTGAAGGTCCGTCCGTACAGCCTACCATACGGACACGCTATGACGCCAAATTCCTTGCTAATTGGCAGCCAAGACAATCAACGTCTCTTCCACTGAGGACCCAACGGCAGAAAACACAGAAGAATTCTTAGAGTTGGCGAATGGGTGTTTGTGTTGTAGCATCAAGGATTCTGGGGTGGCAGCCATCGAAAAGTTGATGCAGCGTAAGGGTGCATTCGACTATATCCTACTTGAAACGACAGGACTTGCGGATCCAGGTATATTCACTTCGCTCTGCCCCGCTTTCATCTGTACTCAGATTTTTGACAGGCCCTATTGCTGCCAAGTTCTGGAAGAATGAAGAATACGCGACTGGGCTCGTTGATATCGTTTTAGATGGTGTCATTTGCGTTGTTGACGCAGTTTTTGGGCAGAGTGTGCGTTTCCCTTCGAACGGCATGTTCAGAACCTGATCACTCTCCAGCAAATGCAAGAAGACCACGCAACTGGCGACCTGCATATCGGGGAAAGTCTACGGTAGGTTATTAGTCTATTCACCTACGTCCTTGTTTCGAACCTCTCGGCCTGTTAGACAAATTGGCGGCTCAGACGTGATCTTGCTCAACAAAGTTGACTTGGTCGATTCTCAACAGCTCGAAGAGACAGAAAGCGTGATACGCCAAATTAACCCTGCTGCACCCATCCACAAGACCATCAAGGGTCAGATTGACCTCAAACATATTATTGGTATCGCAGCCTTCAGGAATCCTCCAATAACCAGTGAAAGCACACCGCCAACGCACGTTCATTCAGAGGACTGTGACCATTCCCATGTCCCAAAACTCAATCACTACGAGTTGCGTGGTATCTCAAGCCTTCAGGTCACTTGTGGCCTCCTTAGCCAGGAACGCCTCAACAAGCTAGACGAATGGCTCCGCAACGCACTCTGGGAAGATAGGGTCGTGGGTGTGTCTTCCGAAGTTAAGATCATGCGTTGCAAAGGAGCGTTCACTTCTGAAGAAGGGATCCATCGCGTCTTACAGGGTGTCAGGAACATGTATGAGATTTCGCAGCTGGAGGCCACGGAGAGCATCGGCATCCCAGACACAGGGAAGATCGTGCTCATAGGCAAGGGACTTAATGAAGATGTGCGAAAAAGCTTAGAATCGGTGGTTACATGAGGCAAAGCAAAGTGACCATAAATACAGGTAGAACAGGAAAATTTAAATATAGTGACGAATTATGCTGGAGTAACTGTTGCAGGAGCTGGCGTTGCTGCGTAGTCCATCCTCGTTACTTCAGCTTTTACTCTCGCTTTGGGAGTACCGCTCGATCGTGGGGCAATGGTTAGGGTGCCATATGTGCCCTTCGTCAAGAAGGATGGATTTAATGTAGTCGTAGAATGAACGACCTGGACCAAATTAGGCTCGCCAAAATGGGTAAAATAGCAGAATACCTTGGAAAATTGCTTCAGCCTACTCGGAAGGATCAACACGTCAGGTGCATAGTCCAAGTCTCTATCATCAACCATGCGGACGCCGTCGAAATGGGTCACGTCGAGGTTAACTTCGGAAGACAGATCTTGAGGAACCGGGAAGATAGGATAAAAGCTGCGACAGGATCATTAAATAAGTAACTGAAAGGCCCCCGAGACCAAGCATACCTTCTCTGCAGCAGCAGATGCCGACATAGGTTGGCCATGGAATCCATTGGCAGATCATCTGCCTGTTCGGGAAGAGGCTCAAGCTCCACCCCGCGTTTGAAATATTCTTCCTTTCTGAGGTGGAATAGCGTGTCCAGGCTTGTCGCACCGAACGTAACGTCATTGATTGTAAACCTCGTTGGGTTTGGTAGAAGATGGACGCGCTTGAACCCTATTTGAATTGATTGATTCCTCTAGACAGTTGACCCACTTACGGGATGTGAACCAAATATATCAGAACTGAGCTCTGGTTGAGGGAATGCCGCATGGTCGCTGGTAATATCACGTACGCTGGGCACCAACAGGACAATGCTGCCAGGTGATGCAGTCAAGAAACCTTTCAGAGGGTCGACGAAATGTGCTCGGAAGAGGTTTGAAGGTGCAACATCCAGATCGCCGGACTTGATTTTAGGGTGAGTAATGTCCACGAATGGACCCAGCTGGAGAAGACGAATAAATAAGCAAAGAATAGACCCTCAGATAAGAGCATACCAATAGCACGGCGTCGGGCTTCTGCGTCTTAATTTGTTGTAGGAGGGCACGCCATGGTTTATACCCAATATCAGAATCAGATGTAAAGGGCCCACATGCTACCAATATTGTCACAGAGTTCTGAGACGTTGCAGGATCTAGCTTCGGGCTAGTAATTCCTTGCGCCGCTGGTGAGGATTTCAGAGGCGGTATCTCAAGCCTCCATCAATGGCGAGATCCCCGGTGAGAAAAGGAGCGGCTCACCGAAAGGAACTCCGTCGCCAAAAAGTAACCCCCACCGCCATTCTTGCCTTTCAAGGCGACGATAGCCCCAGGGTAAAGCCCTATACCTCCCACATTCTTTGTGGCGCCCTTGATTTTTATTGCAGGGTCGAGCATGAGGGGAACGCGAGCGCCTGATGAGAGCATTCGGGATGATTCAATTGTGATAGACCCTTCTGCGAGTTTGGCACCCGAGGCAGTCTCAGAGTCGTGCGTAATGCGACCAACGATGTATACTTCTCCCTGTCCTTCTATTAATTACAAAATACAAAGTCCAAACTAGTAGACTCACATCTGTTGACGCAGACGGGTCGCCGAAATCAGACACTTCTTCGTATTGTGCTCGAATCAGTTCCGCGAAGTCGTCGATAAGTTGATCGAGGGCTGCGCAAAGTTAGACTTTCAAATGAGTCCAGGGAAATCCTTTCCTACATTCACTCCTCTCTGAAATCTTCTCATACATATAACGATCTGGGGACGGGGCTTTACCCTCAGTGTCATCATCAACAGCAGGACGGAGGCAACTCACAGGCCCGTTTCTTTCTGACCTCTGGGTCCGTCGATGGGCCTAAAAAGGTCACGTTTGTAGTGACAATATTGTTGCTCCGGACGGCAGAACTTGTTTCCCCGAGGGATTCTTGCTTCACCTGCGGTAGAGATCCGGCGGGGTTATATCTCTGGGCCATTGGCTTTGACAATTTTGACCGATCAACAATAGCTGTGGCAAACGCGCGAGGTTTTGGCTGTGCTTTTCTTGAAATTTCTTTCGTCAGGTCTTGTTGGATTCTTGTTTTCACAGCAGCTAAGGTGTCCATCGTAATTGGGGTGATCTCGGAATGCGTTGTAGAGGCATTGTAGTTTAAGGCTTGGAGCTTCCACAAGAGTGATTCGGGCTCCAGAACATACATGTTACATATCGAAATACCTGCCATCGATAACCGCAAGGAAAGTAAGCCAATTTGAAGTCAACTTCAGGTTCACACACGCACATTCTGCAACCAGCTTGTCGTCCAATACGACACTATTTTCGCTGAAAACGCGTTCGACCTCTTTTCTCAGAGAGCTTTCCATGATATGGCAGGTCCAATGAGGGTCCTGTTGTGATCGGAGCAACAAGGGGGTGTATGTGGTCCAACTTGAACCGTGTCAGACGCGACGCGTCTCGAAGTTGGTCACAGGCACGCGTGATGGCTTGTTACGTTTGGCACCCAAGTATGACGCACAGACCTCTTGACCTATTTCAGGTTTCATAGCAAGGAGAGGAACACAGGTCTAAGCATCTGCGTGTAAAGCATTGAAACCATGGTATTTCATGTTTTCCTATAATTAACAGATCCTCGCCATAGACATACAGAGCGGAGGCTGAAAGGACGAGTCGACGGGATGGTAATACATCACAAATTCCAAGAGATGGTGGAAAGCATAGTAGATATGTAAAAGGGAGCTGCTGTCGTGGAAAATGCGCGTTGAACGGTGCATCATCAAAAGCACTTTGAGCTCCCCGATACAGAAGCGAAAGAGACCACGTTTCGTCCAGAAGTTATGTGTTTGCAGGATATGAGAGAAGTAACCCAACGCAATCCCTGTATAATCTGACGTGAAAAGCTGGCAAAAGGCTTCCGCGCTACACTGCGACTTTTGGATGCGCCGGCTTGGGGGTCTCAACAATGATAGTCTCGGCTGCTGGGGCGGTTTCAACGACGGTTGCCTCACTGGAATAGGTCTCGTCCACGGGAGGCTTAGTGTTGTCGTCGTGTGCAAGACTGCTCTCCTTGTTCACAGGACTTGTAGAGTTTGTGGGCGATATTGAAAGACTTTGATGGGCGGGACCATGACCGTTTCCAGGGCTGGAGGCATGGGGGATACTGTGGAGAAGGGTTAGCAATATGCTCCAGCACGTAGTCAAACGCCGCACTTCTCAGGATTAGGTATCGCAGTCCCGACTGCTGTCTGGGGAGCAACTCCCGCCTTCGAGAGCGCATAATCCCCCGAGTCAAAATACTTCCGCTCCTACTCATAACTTGTCTGTTGAAGGCCGATGTTAAGACACAGCATCACACACCTTCTGCATCTTCATGAGAATATTCTTATGTTGTGGCAGCTTCCCATATTTGTCAAGGAGTTGTCTCTCCTGCGCATCGAGTTTCTGCAGGACGGAGGATACTCAGCATCGATGAAACCGCCTTGAGGATCACAGGATCAAAGGTAGAAGATGCAAGCTTACGCTGATATCGACTTTGTTGCGCTGGTAGGGAAGCATCTCAATCGATGACAAGGACGAGAAGAGAGAACGATGGAGACAGCTGAACGCTGATGACTGGAGTGGGGGCGACCGTGAACGATGGTGGCGGTTCTTCCAATACTGCTGCTGGTGCCGGTCATATATTTCTATGTCTGGTCTCCTTTGGGCTCCGCTGCGACTCCGAGTCTCCGCCCATATTACGAGTCCAGGTCAGCCCAGATGCCGTTCACGCTGCCGTCCGGCCAACTGCCCGAAAATTATTTTACTTCAAGTTATAATTAGGTAACACTTCTGTCATGAAACTCCTTTCCTGCACTTAAATCAGGTCCGGTTTGCCTCCCATGCATCCTCGGGCGTCGTTGTCCAGAAGGTTTGTCCGGCACTACTATTAAAAGTTCTTAGGAAAAGAAAAATCATGACCTATGCCCATAATGGCATCTACTCGACAGGTTTAAGGACCCGCACAAATTTAAATGTTGACCGTGTCCGTCTTCAGCTAGTAGACCTTGGTTCTGATGAGATCTTCACACCTTCATCGCCGAAGTCCATGATCCCATGACCATCTGAGTCTGAATGGATCGAAACTAACCCACTGCCCTCAGAGTCAGATCGAGAATCCAAGAGGTCGTCGTCGATGTCCCGGCAACCAGAGCAGGCTGTATGCAATGCAGGAGGAGCATTGAAACTGGCGAAGAATGGCTGCTCGCAATTCTTCGTCAATGATTGATAAATACTTGTTGCCGGCTCTAGAACATGATCAACTCCTTATTTTAGGAAGACAAACGTCGTGTTACCTATGTGCCTTCCTGTGAACGAACCTGAAATCTCTTGCGAATTATGCGGTGCAGTGCTATCAAGCACCACGCCGAGAGGAGCCGAATTCGTTCTCATGAAGGTCGAGTTATACTCCTCTTGGGAAGAGGATGTGCCGGGCAACCAGTGATCGCTGAAGCCTAGAGTAGTAAGGCCACTGCTGAGAAAACCGTCGCTAACAGCAGCCGTAAATAGCATGTCGTTGAGCAATTCACCCGTAGAACAAGTTTCAGGGAGCACAGTCATGCCGATTTCGTCGTCCTCGCCTACAAGAAGGTTGGCAAATAGATGCTGATTATGGAAGTCTTCGTCAAGAAGGCATCGGCTCTCGTGATCGAGACCCTCGAATTCGTCTTCACTGTCAAGGCAGAGCATGGAGGGCTGGACACTGCTTGCATGGGATGATGGCGTATCCCTATCGCTAGAGGCAAAACTCTTCGCTTCGGAATTAACTTCCTCTCCAGAAGATTCGAGGCCAACTTCGAAATGAGGGTGGTTTTCATGTACGGTCGCGGGACATATGAGCTCCTGTTCAGGATCGGAATCATGACACGCGGAGAATCCCTGAATTATTGCATCGATGGGTGGATAGGATGAATGTGTTAGCTGCAAAAGTTTCGAACCTTGAACTGCGGCCGAGTTGTGCCTAACCTATAGAATCTTTCCATAGTTATTGACACAACATCACCAAGCAAGGCATCGAACTTCAATTCTCCTGCCAGAGAAGGAGCAGGCTGCAGGGAGTCGCTGAAGTTGCCAACGACTTCGTTTATGTAGTCTGCCTGCTGCCTTTCGCAAATCTGGAAGCAGAGCCTACGGTTAGTCAAGGCTTCCACCTTGATTCTAATCGCCACTCACCCTCAGTTGCTTTCGACACTTGGTCTGGAAGGAGGGATTAGGAGATCGCTTCATGATACTCTTAATGGACGCATATATTGATGAGAAGAATCGTCGTTCAAAGTGAAGTTGCTGTCGGAAGAGAAAATGATCACCATGAAGTGTTAAAAATGTAGATGGACGTTGGACTGTACGGTGCACCAGGACCCAAATACTAAAGGATATCGTCTAAACGGCATGATCAATTCATGCAAGGCGGAAGAGCTTCGGAAGGCCCACTTTACAAGCTGGAATTTGACAAATCTGCCAACAACGTCGTCTACTGACGCCAAATGTGGAAGCGAAAGGTTCCGTGAAAACGGGTTGACCATGGTATCGAAGTTCTTTGGTTCTGGAATTGCATGCGTTTCAGAGCTAGTCTGCCAGACGTAAGCCACATCGAGCCCCATAAGCTTCAGATGAAGTGGGTGTTCGTCTGTTGATGTAGGGTAAGGCCGAGAACCTGTGCAAGTAACTGGAATGGACACGTCGTTATTGTTGAGCCTTCGATCGGATATTTTCAGAAGTGAAAACAGTACAGGTCACTAGACCTGTGTCCTCGGCAATACACGGGCATGATACAGCATCAACTCCAAGCTCTTCTGAGTTCTTTGCAAGGACAGTCAGCGTTCCAGAGCGAGCGAGGGTCTGCATTTAGCTACCAGCCGAATGTATTCCACGAGATGAGCAGCAATATGCGACACCTTGATAATGTGTTCCGAGACTTTTTCTCCATTCACAGTTCCCGAGATGGTGATTACCAACGGAGAGACGAGAAGAATATCGAGCCCCTCGGGCAGTGCAGTTCTCGAGCGTAATGGGAACTGGGAGGGTTGACCATATACCAAGAGATGGCGGACGACAAGGTTCAGAGAGAAATTCTCGGACGCAGTTCGTATTCTAGAGGTAAGCGTAATGGAGGGCATATTCGTTGGTGGTCGTCGACTCGTCACAAAGAAAGATGTCCGATTTAGCCGAGGGCTTGCGAAGACATAGCAGGGAAAATAATAGCCAATTTGTTGATCACAGCCCCTTTGGGCAACCAACGAGCCCAGCCACAGTCACATTTGCTCTTTATCTCTTGTCCCTCCATCGTCAACCTTCTGCTCTAGCGGTGCGTCCGCAGGTGCCCATCAGTGATGGTAATGTCCCACATTACGCATAGATCTCATCGGATTGACTCTCATTCTCATTATCTTCTCTTCCAGAGTCAAGAGCTTGACCAGAAGATCCAGGAGACATGGAAACACATTCAGACGGAGCGAAAGATATTGGAGGCGACCCAACTTCTTCGTCAGGCCACTTCAAACCAAGATGTACTCCGGCGTAACGAAGCTAAGATTCGGGAGACCGAACGCTCTCTTGCATATTTTGAAGATACGCTCCGTGAACTCCAAGCCCGCAAGGCCCAGCGCGGAGATCCTTCACGACCATCTGGTCCCCCAGGGCCTCAGGCTGGTAAATTTATCTTGTAGCTCTCCGTTACCCTAATAGTTGCGTTACAGGTTCCGCCCAAAGAATACGACCCATCTGCCAGAGGGAGATATTCAGGCTCTCCAGAAGCCGGTTACTCCGGAGCTCGTCCAGACCAAAGCGGTGCACCGAGGGCAAAGCAATATACCAACCTGGATTTAATCAAGGCGGACACACCATTCACGCCGAAGAAGATCTCCAAAATGCTCCATCAACTCGAATTCAAACATCAAGTCGAGATGCAGTATAAAAAGGGGATCGATAAGATGGCAAAGCTCTACCAAGCTGACGGTGACAAGAAGTCGAAAGCTGATGCAGAGGCGAAAAGGGTGGAAAGTGACAAGAAGATCCAACTTCTCGAATCGGCGCTCAAGCGATACAAGAACTTACACATATTAGACGACGTTGTTGAAGACGATGACGGCGGTACGCTTGATTATCATTCTATTCCCGTTTGGTCGTTATGATATTTTATGCGCAGACAACACGGGGAACGATGGGGAGCGCAAAGACAAACTACGCTCCAAGCCGCTTTCGGGTACATTGTACGTAACGGTCAAAGGCGCCCGAGAGTTGGATCATGCACTGGTCGTATCATCGCGCTCTCGTTCCGCATCCAAGGTGGTCGAAACGCACGTGTCTATCAAGGTGGAGGGTACACAGCTGGCCAAGTCCCATCCATCACGTACGGACCGATGGAATGAAGATTTCGAAATTCCTGTTGACAAAGCCAATGAAATCGAAATTGTCGTCTACGACAAGCAAGTCAGCGAACCGCATGCCATTCCTATTGGCTTGCTCTGGATACGGATCACTGATCTAGTCGATGCCCTCAGGCGCCAGAAGGTTGGGATGGAAGGACAAGGCGGGTGGGTGACAGCTGGGGCCATGCCTGGAGATAGTCCAACAGCGATCCATATGCATTCTCAATCAGGCGACATGAATGTCCCTCTAGGGTACGGAAGTGTCCCAGGCGGTCTTCCAGGCTCCGGTTTCTCTGGCACAGGCTCGGACGGCATCGACGCTTGGTTTGCCGTAGAGCCTGCTGGTGCCATTGCATTGCAGCTGAATTTCGGTGGGTAGGCACATTATACTGTTGTTTTCTGACAGCTGATTTCGCTACAGTTAAGGAGAATGTTCGTAAGCGCCCTCTAGATGGCCCTCTGGGTGGTCTTGGGCGACAAGGAGCTGTTAGGAAACGCAAGGGCGAAGTCCATGTCATGAACGGTCACAAATTTGTTCAGCGGCAGTTCTATCAACTCATGCTATGCGCATTCTGCAATGATTTCCTGCTCAATGCACTCGGATACCAGTGTGAAGATTGTCGATATACGTGCCACAAGAAGTGTTACGAAAAGGTCGTCACCAAATGTATATCAAAGTCGAACGCTGGGGTAGGTGCCTTTCGCCATTCTATTTTGAACCGTACTTAGCCTAACTTTTTTTCAGGAGGGCGATGAAGAAAAAATTAATCACCGGATTCCGCACCGCTTCGAACCTCTTACCAACATTGGCGCCAACTGGTGTTGTCACTGTGGTTACATGTTGCCTCTGGGCCGCAAGAATGCCCGCAAATGTTCCGAGTGCGACATTACCTGCCATGCTAACTGTGCTCACCTCGTGCCTGACTTCTGCGGGATGTCGATGGAGACTGCCAATGAACTTCTGCGAAATTGGCGCGACATCAACAAAGCTAAAAGTGACAGAGCTGCGAGACCAGCGCCGCGACAATATTCAGAAACACATACGACATCACCGTCTCTGGATGCAGGCATGGGGGCTATGAAATTAGGGGGACCAGAGTCAGCTCCTCCTACAGTCGATTCTTATGGACGGCCCTCTTCTGTCCCTCCTCAATCTGATCGATTCCCTCAAGATCCTCGGTACTACCAGCAACAGCAGCAATTGCCTCCAGGCCCGCCATATGGCCCTCAGCAAGGAGGGCGACCTCCAGGAGCGAGAGTTCCTGTTCCTCCTGGTTATCCCCAGGATCCACTGCAAGGCCGAGTCTCAGGTGCATACGATGTCGGCCCACTTGGACCAGCACCCGTAGATGGAGGTTACGTTCCGGTCGCTGGATATCCCGTATGTCGTTCTCTAACGCTGCAAATGGCTCAACGCTCATTGTATACCGACAGTCACCTCGGCCTGCTCAGCAGCAGGCTAGTCCCATGCAACCCAAACCGATGCTTCCAACTCAGCAACGTCCCATGGACCGCCCAGGCTCTGTGCCCATCCCGCCGCCTCACTCGCAACAACGGCCACCGCAACAGCAACCACCTCCAAGACAGGCTACACGGAAGAGAAAGGTTGGGTTGGATGATTTCAATTTCCTTGCTGTCCTTGGAAAGGGAAATTTCGGCAAGGTCATGTTGGCGGAAGAGAAGAAGACCAATGGCCTTTATGCCATTAAAGTATTGAAGAAAGAGTTCATCATCGACAACGACGAAGTGGAGAGGTACGTTGGTGGCATGCTCCTGGCTGACTCATTTTTGTGATTCCTATTTTCTTGTAGTACTCGCTCGGAAAAACGCGTGTTCCTTGCAGCAGCTAGAGAGCGGCACCCGTTCCTCCTCGGGCTACATTCCTGCTTCCAAACAGAGACGCGCGTCTATTTCGTCATGGAGTATGTAAGCGGTGGCGATTTGATGTTGCACATCCAGCGCAAGCAATTCTCTTTGCGACAGGCCAAGTTCTACGCCTCAGAAGTCCTTTTGGCCTTGGAATATTTTCATGCTAACGGCATTATTTACCGGTATATCACAACACCCCCTCAATTGCTCACCAAATTCACCGAGTTTGCAGGGACTTGAAACTCGACAATATCCTCCTCACCCTAGACGGACACGTCAAAGTCGCTGATTACGGCCTATGCAAAGAGGAGATGTGGTACGGTCAAACTACAAGTACTTTCTGCGGTACACCGGAGTTCATGGCCCCGGAGGTCTGTATCTTCAGTTTCATGCGAGGGCACATTGTGACATTCTGAACAGATTCTCCTTGAACAACGTTATGGACGCGCCGTCGACTGGTGGGCTTTCGGCGTGTTGACTTACGAAATGCTACTGGGTCAATCCCCCTTCCGTGGAGACGACGAAGACGAAATTTTCGATGCCATCCTCGAAGACGAACCTCTGTATCCCATCACCATGCCCAGAGATGCCGTTTCTATCCTCCAAAAAGTGTGTTTGCGGTCTTTGTTCCATTTGAAATATACTAATGTGTGCTATCAGCTGCTCACAAGAGATCCTGCTCGTCGCCTGGGGTCAGGGAAGGAGGACGCCGAAGAAATCAAACGACAGCCATTTTTTAAGGATGTGAACTGGGACGATGTCTTGAACAAGCGGATACCTCCTCCATACTTCCCGACTATTGTCAGTTCTTCTTGTGATGCTTCTGTGGTGACGTCTGACCCTTTTCCAGAACGGCAGCGCGGATACGAGTAATTTCGATGAAGAATTTACACGTGAGCAGCCGACTTTGACCCCTGTCCATGGCCAATTGTCCTCTCGCGACCAAGCGGAATTCAACGGATTCTCTTGGGTGAGCACATTCTAAGATTGACTTTTCTTAATGAAAAGCCAAATACTCATCATGTAACGCGTAATAGGTTGCCACTTGGGCGGATATATGAACAATCAGAATACGGACATTCTACTTCTGTATGTAGTACATTAATATTGTTGCCTCATGGTACACTTGGACGTTTTTTTATCGTCCCTCGAGAACGATGTCCCGCGAATGAATACGTGGAATCAATCATCTCTAGCGTTCGTTTGTCTTGTAGTAGATACAATATGGCCGCCGGTACCGGGCAACCCGGCTGGTTCTTCCATGCTTTCATCTGGTTGACTGGCATTGCGCATGAGTTGGTAGAAGCTATGCCATAGAGAGGCAATCGTGTCGTATTCCTTGGTCATGCCCAAGACTTCTTCAAGTTTGCGATTTAGGACGTTTGTGGATGATAGGAGCTCCTCGAAACCCTGCAGGTACATTGTTCAATTCGTTTTCGTTTTGCTTGGGAATGTTCCTCAGCGGGCAACCTTCACTTACTGACGTGATTTCGCGAGATAGTCTGTCGCGCTCGCGATCGAAGAAGGATGGCTCCTCCTCATTATGGGACATCCCAAAGAGTCGGAACTGGGCAGAGGTGGGCAAGGTATGAGGTTGATATTGAGGCCTTGAGAGGCAAATCTGGTTGAAGATGCAATGAAAGGAGCTTGTTGATCTCGATCAATAATGATCGCGTTGATCAATGTTTGCGTGTCCTAGCCATTGGGCGCTCATTTATCTAAGGCCTCACAAGGGATCAATACATTATGGATAGTCAATACGGCAATAGATCTCAGTGATACACGATACGATAATAAATAGCTACTATTCAGCCTAATTCAGACGTCAAATTGAATCATTACAACGATAGGGAAAGTGGGATTCAGCCGTCAAATGTCGCGCCATCCATTCGCACTCCAAAGCTTTGTTTGATATCCATGCCCAACAACTTCATCCTTCCGACCTGATGAGCAAGCCCATGTCAAAGACCGTAGAGCTGGAGCAGCATAGTTGACTATACCTCGTTACGCTCCTGTTGGACCTTGCGTAGTTCCATTAATTGCTCTTTGCTCATGTAACTGTCCTGTTCGACGACTTTCTTCTTGTGTGCACTGGAAACAGCTTTCATGTCTGCTTGAAAGTCGTAAGAGTCGTCTGGTGGAGGTAAGTATTCTCCTTGTCTAAGGGCCGACATGCGTTGTTCGTAAATCTCCATGTTGTAATATTTCTCATGGGGTAGGGTAGCTGGAAACAAGGCTTGTCAGCGAATACTGAAGTAAGAGCTGGGTCATGGCCCTGACCGGTGTTATAATCTTCTACAAAACGTGAAAATTCCTTCTTCTGTTGCTCCTTTGTGATCGTCTCTGGGTTAAGCTTGCGCTCTTCTACAAGCCAGGTGTGAAACTCTTGACTTTTTGTAAAGATGCTACACATGGAATGCCAATGAGTGGACGAAGAACGGGAAACAATCCAGACTGACTCTATATCTGAGATAATGCCGTATTTTCCCCAATGTTGCACGCTTCCCTTGTCTTTCCTTTTCTAAGAACACCCAGATCAATGCACTCGTTCACTGAAGCTGGAACTTAAGAACCGTGCAAACCTTGTCCTTGCGTTCTTTCTTTTCCCGTTCCTTCTCCTTGCGACGCTCCTTGCTCTGGCTCTTTTTTTCATCCTTTCTCCTCCCTTTGCGTTTCCGTCCGTGCGAATCGTCTTCAGAGTCGGGGGAGCATGATCTGTCTCTTCGACGCTTCTCTTTCCTGTCTTCAGAACGAGACCGCGACCTGGAGGGACGGCTTCGCTTTCTATCCCGAGACCTGGATCGAGACGGTGAACGCGAAGGTGCTCCAGGGATGTGTTGTTGGTGCCGCCTGCGCTCCGGGCTTCGACTCCTTCGCTCTTGCGGGGACCTATGCTGCGACCGTGAGCGTGAGCGCGAACGACCCGAGCGAGTGGGTCTGACTTTGTCGCGCTTCGAGCTGTGCTTTCTAGAATCAGTGTCAAGTTCTGAGCGTCGCCTCGGAGACCTTGAGCGCGACCTTTGGTGTCTATCTGTGGGCATGTTGTCGGTAAGTGACAGAATGTGGGGTGTGGGAAATCAAAATGGCTGGTAGATATAGGGGGATTATGTCAGCCTGCCCTGACCCTGACTGTCTGTGAGGTGACTTATACCTGATATCTAGCTAACGTCCTTGTTCTTCCCTTTCATTTCTCCTTGCCGCAATGGCAATGGCTACTTCAGCCATGTACCCCAACACCTCCGTCCGTGGTACTGGTCGCTCTACTACCACGGTCTCCCCTACCACCCCAGAGTTTGCACACACCCCAGTCCAGGCCGTGCAACAGGAGCGCCTGCAGCAAGACCTGCAGATCGCCGACGAACAGTACAACACCTTGTTTTGCCGCGCGCTATACGATTACGAAGCACAGGACGCTTCCGCTCTCTCGTTCCGCCGCGGCGACATTATCGAAATCCTGACACAGCAACCTTCTGGCTGGTGGGATGGCTTACTTGGGGAAGAACGAGGATGGTTCCCGTCGAATTATGTTGCCATTATCTCAGACGAGGAAGCTGAATTGGCTCTGTCGCAACAAGAGTTTGGAACCGCTGATACTCGACCAACCGACCAACAGCCAACAACTTCGGTCAATGTTCCCCATGCCCTGTCAAATGGTGCTCAATCAGAGAATGAGGAATGGCTAGAGAACGAACTATCCTATCGGTCCAGGAGTAAAGAGGGTCAGAAGGATATTACGCAGAATAGGGGACAGTCAAGTGATTTTTGGATGCCCGAAGTTACAGCTGATGGCCAGGTATGAGTTTAGCTACCGAAAGTCTCCATACTTCAGCTCTGACGACTATCAAGATATACTATGTCAATACTCAAACAGGTCAACGTTCACGATACCTGCCTCAAGAAACGGAGGATGAAGTATCTGACGGAGATCTCGCTGGTTTGGCATCACAATCGACATCTCGATCAGGCACGTCCGCTGGGCTTGCGTTTGGCCTTAATGAAGCTTCAGAAGCTTCTTCTGAGTCCGACGTCGATGTTCAGCATATGGATCCTTGGGTCAAGAAATTGGCAGATGATGGTATGTCGTACTACTATCTCAACACCAGAGATGGCAAAGTGCAGTGGACGACTCCTGAAACAACCGGCGCCACTAAAGTCAAGCCCAGTCGTGCAAATACCGCACTGCCATCTGATGTCTCTCACCAACCGGATACCTCCCGTCTGAGCGTCTATTCCGATGACTCTGACATTCAACCCTTTGACCACCTCCTACAATCTCGTCCGCGACAGAACAATGGTTCCTCACAAGCTTTGGCTGGATCTTCAATACGGACCGAACCCAATCCAGCTGCTGTCATGGAATTAACCTCCGCCGAACGAATCGCGAAGTCATTGCAACTTGCGCTGGAACCACTACCTCCTAGCCTTATTACTGACTTGTCCTCCGTCGCGAGAAGTGCCATTCAAGCAGTCGTGGAAAATGTTCAGACCAGTGGTGTCAATCGGCAAGGTGAGGACGACCAGCGAATGGATCAGCTCATCTATAGCGCCGTTCTCGCCGTTCGGAACCTTCTCTACATCTCCGCAGCACCCTCAAGTCAGATGCCGACTAATATTGGTCAAGGAGGTGGCCGTGATGCAAGGATTAACTCGACCTCGACTTCGCCCCTAAAACCTGCCCAGAGGAAGGTGACGGCCACACTCTCCAGGCTGGTCCTAAGTGCCCGGGCCATGCAATACGACTCGGGATCTCAAATGGCGGACACTCTAAACCGCATCGAAACAGATTCAGAGGAATTGGAACGTGCTGTTCTTTCGTTTGTTCTGGAGGTACAGCGAAGCGAACACAACCAAGCGAGGCCGGAAAAGAAGCATCACAAACGCTTGCAAGGTGTTTTCTCAACGGCTAACATAGGGTTGGGCCTCGTTGGAGGAGGAGCAGCTGGTTCTTGGAAGGGATTCGGCTATGTTTCTCTGGATGACCAAGGTGGCATGCCCCAGAAACCTCTCAGTACAGAGGCTGTTGCGGAAGTCGGCACATCGTTAAGTCAACTTCAAGAAGGTATAGGCGCTCTAGGGCAAGCTCTGAGATTGACTACGGATAATTCAGGTGCGGTGCTTCATAAAATATCCTATAAGACAATGAAACTCACTCGTCGTTTAGTTCAACAAGTTCGTTCTCGAGTGCAAGAATTGGTCACCCAAATCTCAACTTTTCTTTCATTGATCGCTGATATCCATGTTGCACGTCATGTGGACATTGACGGCATTCGACAAGCGGGTGATGCAGCAGCCAATGACCACTACTCTCATTCCGTCGAAAATGCGCGGCATCTCGTCCGTACGTTGGAAGCCGTGACTCAAGCAATCTACGACGATAGCTCCGCCCTACTTGTCACGACCCAAACACTACATGACGGAGACGGCGACCCCTTGCGAGGCGAACGGGAAGCAGCGTACGACCTTTTGGACAGCCTCGCGTCGTCATTGGGCATGAACCTTAACCTCGTTAAGCAGACATTCGAAGGACTACTCTCTGTTGGCCACGAGCAAGCAGACATTGCCCAGGGTGACTATAATGGCTCGATCGAATGGCGCATGTCTCGACTCAGCGTCATCAACGATCACATCAACGGGACTCAGCATACATTTAAGGAAGCGTACGGATCTGACAACGAAGATGTTGTCGATATGGGCTTTGCATTAAAACCAGGTCTTAGGACGCAAAAATCGGCTGCTGAGTCCTCGTACGATTCATATCGAACTCTGGCCGCTGTTGACACGACCCCCATCCTCCCACGCGACTCGGAAGACAACACGCTTGTAAACCATTCTCCTGTCGAGTCTCGCAGTGCTTTACCTGAAAACGATGGCACCTTTGATGATGAAGGTATGTTCGCATGATGCGTTATATCTGCCACCTCTTAAGACGTTTTAGCACCAGCAACAAAACCTGCCTCGCGACCATCTGGTCCGGGTAAGTTGGAGCGATTGCTGGGTAAGGAATATGCCGACAGAGTAGCTGCTGATCTGCAACCATGGTATCTCCGGCCGAATTACTCGCCATCGGATATTATCATCGAATCGGATGGTGTGCGCGGTGGTACAGTTCCTGCTCTCGTCGAGCGGCTTACGGCGCACGAACAAGCTGGTAAGGGCTGCACCGTCTTTTCTTTGTCGATCAGGCTTATAATACATGTCCCCCCAGATACCACTTTCACCAGGGCATTCCTCATGACCTACAAATCATTCACAACATTAGATGAGCTGTTTGACTTGCTCGTCGCACGTTTCAGGATACAACCTCCAGACGGTTTGACTCCACCAGAACTCGAGGAATGGGGAAAACTGAAGCAGCACGTCATTCAAATGCGGTATGTCTCGGCCAATGAGGTGACTTCACTTTATTTATCACCGTTTCCAGTGTGATCAACACCTTCAAGTCGATGATAACCGACGATGGAGTTTTGGAGAAAGAGGACATGTATATCCTTGAACGTATGAAGGAATTCATCGCAAGCGAAGAAGTTTCGAGACTTGCCGCAGCTAAACAGCTGCTGATCCTTATCGAAAGAGCTGTAAGCTTTTTCAAACATCTGACTCAAGTCGTATGCTTACCGTTTCGGGAGCAGCGGGGGCAAGGTGATATCAAGACCCTCGTGAATATGAACTTGGGTTCTCCACCTCCCCCAATCATTCCTAAGTCGGGCAAGAAACTGAAACTTCTCGATATTGACCCCCTCGAGCTAGCTCGCCAACTCACGATTATGGAAAGTCAGTTATATCAAAGGATCAAACCCATGGAGTGTCTTCAGCGTGCCAGGGAGCAGAAGACGGACAATGTGGATAACATCACAACGGTTATCCAAACTAGTAATCGAGTGCGTTTCTAGTGTTTTGATGATGCGGGACAGTCTGACGTGTTTCATCTTATAGATTGCTGATTGGGTCGCGGAGTCAATCCTCAGCAAAGAGGATTCGCGAAGACGAGCTCAAATCGTCAAGCACCTCATTGGTGTTGCTGATGTCAGTTTTTGTTATCCTCCCATGAGATAAATCTGACCTGCCTCTCCAGCGATGTCGCACGTTGAATAACTTTTCTACTATGATCGCTATCACCTCAGGTTTGAACACACCACCTATCCGACGATTGAAGCGAACCTGGGAGCAAGTCAACCAGCGTTTCATGGCCCAATTCGGCGCTTGTGAGATGACGATCGACAGCAACAAAAATTTTACTAGATATCGACAACTGATGGCGAATGTGACCCCTCCTTGCGTGCCGTTCATTGGTAAGTGGTTCAAGGTGTCGACCCTCAGCGAAGCCATAAACCCTTTGATTCCAGGTGTCTTCCTCTCAACTTTACAGTTTATCCAAGATGGAAATCCAGATAACCTGCCTGGTGGTCTCGTCAATTTTAGAAAGCGTCAGAAGGCATCTGAGGTCATCAACGATATTAAGCGCTGGCAAGCACAACCATTCAACTTCCAAGCCCTACCAGCCGTTCAAAACTACATCACTGAATCACTAAACCAGTTCAGCACCAGTGATACTAAGGCCTCAAGTGATCACTTTTGGGCACTGTCTCTTGAGCGAGAGCCGAGAGAACGGGAGGACGAGAAGATGGCGAGACTGTTGCAAGAAAGTGGATTTTTGTGACACGGACCCATCACTTCTGATTCTACCTTATCTTGTAGGGCTGACGGGGTTGCAACTTTCGTTGTTCAGCATCTTCCTTCACCTTCGTTGGGCTGAGGACGACCTCCCCATCTGTGATCTGGTATCCGCGTCGTTCAAGGAGACTCATTGACGTTATAAGTACTGGCTATATTTACTTTTCATCATGTATAACTAGGATGTGGATTAACTTACGCTTCTTGCTTCTTCCTGTGCATATGCTCTCTGTCCTTTTCTGGCTAAGTGTTTAGAAGACAGGATGTTTCATTATTATGACTTATTTAAGGGATTCAGAAGGATATGTCTTCAAGGTTAGGGCAAAACGTAAGGTATGTCGCAACTGGTCGATTACCGCTTGAGGGTCCTCTGCTTTTCTGCAAATTCAACTATTTTACGATCGACAAACATGCCTTTCCTGTCTCGCACCGCGTCCACGTACCCTTTTGCAATGTTGGAACGATCTGCCTTTTCCCCTAAATCTTCCAGCTCCTCTTCTGTCTTGGGCACCCAAAACGGATCCAAGTCGAGAAGCTCATACCTGGGAAGGTCAGGCCAAGGCGTGCCAATGACGAATGCAACTTACCCGCTGAAGATGAGCTGCGGGCTTGCGGCCCCAGAGGTCCTTGTCCGGATATCTAGGTGCCTTTTAGAACAGAAGTCAAGGAAGAAGCCCAATTGAATACCATCAGCAAATCCGAAGCTCTCCACGACGGGCAAGAGAGCGGAAACGTTGAAAAATGAGGTCCCTTCCTTCATCTCCTCCGCCACAATCCGACCCCGGCGCTTTGCTACTACTCCATACACTTTTCCAAGAACATCGGCTAGAACAAGATGGTTAGGAAAGTTCACCTAAACTTGGAAGAAAAAAAATTAACTCGAAGCCTGGATCTCGCAGGAGTACATCGCGAGCATCAACCGCGGCGACCAGTCTAGAAGTCCATTCCGGCATGCATCCCTCACACCAGAAATGATAGATCCTGCTATTTGTGACATGCGGTTTTGCTCTGCAAAGGACATATTAGGTTGGAGTCGGTATCATATTGTGATAACACAGACCAATTTCTTTTTCCAGAGCCTCTCTGTCGACATCCACCTGTTCGACGATGAAAGCCATACCTTGTACTGGCTCCCCACATAAAGGCCCTTGGAAGGTCGCAAGCTGAAATCCAGTTTCAATGTGATTATCGAAGTCTCGAACAACTCTGTCTATCCCAGCAATATCTTCTTCAGCTCTGATGTGTTGGAGGCGAGCCCTCAGGCTGCAGAGAAAGGGTTATCAAACAAAACCCGTATATCAATATAAAAAAGTGCCCACGACGCGGTATTTGGCGCCCTCCCATCGACGAGTAAACACCCACCAGCTTTCTGTGGTCCAAAGGCCCAGATCCTATCCACGATATCTTCCCAATCGGGCCCTGCTTCTTTGCATTTCTCTGCCAGGGCGCTCCAGAATTGATCAGGAGTTACAGTAGGTTTTCGAACGACGTCTCCATAATCATCAATACCCTGCTCTGCCTCCTCTGACTCTTGTGCTTGTTGATGTATCCCAGCATGTTGCAGTGCCTTCAGGATGACAATATTCTGAAGAATGAAGTCCAAGAGCGACGAGGGAAGTAGTCGAGCCTGGATGGAGAAGGAGATCACTTGCTGGGAACTAACACCCTTGATCGTCCCTCGAGGTGCATTGGATGTTTTCGTCGGGGCCATATCTGGTGCCTTGACTGCCGTCTCACGGAAAGGGACAATAGGTTTCGATGCTTGTATCTCGACTTTAGCAAACCGTTCTCGCAGATCTTTCAAGCAGCGCTGAAATTTCGGAATTGAAACAGTCTACAGAGATCGTGAAATAGAAAAATACCTCTAGGTGAAGTTCTCCAGCGGTCAGAATGACATGTTCTCCGGTTTGTTGCTGAAAGCTCTCTACGCAGGGGTCTGCTTGACACAAAAGTTTTAGGCCATTGACCAACTTCGGCATATCTGCGGGCAAGACCGGCTCCAGGGCTACACGCACAATTGGAGCTGCCTGGTCCCATACATTAGCCACAGAAGATATCAAGAGGAGTTCTCGACTTACTGCGCGATTTATTGCGCCAAGGTTGACAAGGTAATTCTTCTGAGACTCTAGGACTGCACCATCACCGAGGCCTGATTCTGTGGGACTACAGAGGGTGGCACTTCTGTACACTTTGGATTCTAATCCCTTGATAGCAAAAATGTTTCCCGCATGAACCTGCGGTACTGGCACGAGCTCACGTCCCATCATGATGTACAATGCCTCGACGTTCGCCTCAAGAAGGTATTTCGCATTACTAGGATGCTTGGGGCCCAGTTCCACGCTGTACTTGGGAAGGACTGCGTGGATGCTGGTGCCTACACGGATGGTGCCAGAATAGAGTCGTGCGAAGCCCAACACTACCTCAACGTCCGTGTTCTGAAGTTCTTCAGGTCTTTCTTGGGATTGGGCATCGGGGTTGTACTCGAGGCCATTGGACGCAGGGGGTGGTTCAGGACCCCCCTCAGCCTGTCTGGCAGCGCGAGCCTCGCGGGCCTTGGCTCTTATTTCATCCGCAGTGAGAGCCTTCTTCTTGTTTTCTGGCAAGTATTTCGCTGTTATCGCAAACATCTTGCTGACATAGGCGACGACGCAAGCAGCTGGGCCCGACTTAGAACCGTAAAGATCTTCCTCAAGCTCATTCTTGGGCTCTACCACGGCGTCAAAGATATCTGGATAAAGCATCCGAGGGACTCGAATTGCCTGGGCTGCAGATGGCGTTGGCACTATGTCAATTATAGTTTGGATAATGCTTGTGGAAAGCGAAAGCCATTGAGTGAATATCAATGAGAGTAGATATCTGGTGTCCTTCGACTTCAGGTCCCTCGGAGGAATTTTGAGATCAAGTGTCGAGACGATCTTGACGACTTTATCTGGATTCCTATAAGATGCATCAAATGAACAATTCGAAGATCAAAATAGAGCTCAACGAACGAGTTCATGACAACGGCATCATAGACAGCCCAGATGTTTTCCAACACAAATTGAACGAATAGAGGCTTCAAGGCGCGTCCGCGAAGATGCTTATAACTGATTACTCTCTTGGTTTTCGGATCCAGGAAAAAGTCGCCCCATAGCACCCTGCGGAGGTTGGCTTCCTTGATTTTGAGTTTCTGTGCATATAGTTGAGCGAACTTTCCGACGCGGAATCCCCAACCATCGATCGCTGAGGCAAAAATGACGTTTCCTTTCTCCGGAGCGAAGTAAATGTCGTCATCGTCTTTCTCCTGGAATTCCTCGGCCTCATTAACGGCAGCATCGGTTTCATCTGCATGCGCCTCTTTCTTTGCTGCCAGGCGTCGTTCGCGTTCTTCATGCCATCGCTGATCGTCTTCCATGCGCTCTGAAGCAAAGAAGCTTCCCATAACGGCGTTGACTTGTTCAATGAGGCGAGCGAGATGGTGGTAAGCCTCGACCGGAGCGAGCCTGAGCTCCGTTATTAGGCGATCGAATTTGTTGATAACGAGTATGGGTCGCAGGTGGTCATACCACGCTTGCCGAAGTACCGCAATAGTCTGAGAGAAGGGGTCGAATTAATCAAGCACAAGAAGAGTGAAAAAAGAAATTCACCTGAGTGCATACCCCTTCCACGACGTCTACTAGGACCAAAGCTCCATCACACAATCTTGAAGCAGTCGACACCTCGCTAGAGAAATCAACGTGTCCTGGCGTATCAATCATATTTATAACATAAGTTTTGGGCAATCTGCCTAACTTCACATCCATCTGTTAACCAATGCCTCGTCTAGAAAAAGCGAAAGAATCGCCGCACCTCCGTCAGGAGCCCGCTCAACGACCTGGAACTTCAGCGACACGGCGCTGCTCTCCATCGTAATCCCACGTTCTTGCTCATCCTCCCGACTATCGAGATATCGCATCTTGCCTGCCATTCGAGGAGAGATGATGTTGTTCGCAGCGAGGAGTGCATCCATGAGCGTCGTCTTTCCATGATCGACGTGTCCTAGTGTTGTTATGATGCGTACGTTGGCGGCATCTGGAACTTCCATGTCGAGCGTATAGTCCCTGAGGGTTGCTAGTGATTGCACAATGCAGGTAGGGTTTGAGAGACGCGCTTTTCGGAAGCGATGATATCAGTCAGTAGGATTAAAATCACGTGGACCTACGCGACCGAGGGCCAAGGCCGCGTCTGGAACCGACGTCAGCTCAACCACGATGGGCAAGGACGAGTCGACCAGCGAGCACTCAAGTAAGCACGAAAGGCACAGGGAAAAGGATGTGAAGCACAAGGACAATGACCGCGACCGGAAACACAAGAAGCGCCGAAAACACGACGAGGAGGATGACCATCGGAAACACAAGCACCGGAAGAAGGAGAGGGAGAGGGATAGAGACCATGAAAATAAGATGGAGATTGTCGATGACGATGCAAGAAATGACGGCTGGATAGAGAAAGACATTGCAATGGACGGGGAACGGGTGCGTCATCTTCAACAATGCTTCCAGGATTACTACTGACTGGTTCTGCGGACTATGTAGATCCTTGCAACAGATATACCGACAGCTGAGAGTCTCAAAATCACTTCATCAGCAGAAGACATCAACTCTGCCCGTCTCCCCCCTTCGACGAACACTGAATCAATCTTGAAGCGCGACGAATGGATGCTCCTTGAGCCGTCTACGCCTGTATTGCCGTCAGACTCACGACCTCAGGGTTCCCGAGACATCCCTACAAACGACGAAGACTCCTACATGGATGGCTACGGAGAACCATCAACAGGTTCACGCACCCTTACTGGTGGTGTTGACTTCTTCTCAAGCCTGGGCACGGAACGAAAGAAACCACCTCGGCCAGACAAGCCAGATCCTGACAAGGTATCAACGTTTCCCTTTACGTATAAGTGGTCTGAATTAACCCATAACCAATCTATGCAGCTAAGGATTAGCTCAAGAGAGCTCAACCAGGATCTCAAAGATGGCAAACCCATGAATTTGGACGAACCCGATCCTCCTGCCCCTCCGCCATCGCTCACCCCAGGTGGACCCGGTTCACAGTGGAGGATGATGCGCCTTCGCAGGGTATACGAAACCGCAGAAGAAGAAGGCCTCCCCATAGAGCAAGTCGGCATTGACCGGTTTGGATCCCTCCAAGCCTTCGAGGAGGCTAAAGAAGAGCGACGGATTCTCGACGAGAGGGAAGGCAAGCGCTCTTCTGGCGGCTCTGGTTCAGGCAAGGACGGAGGCAGAGACCGTGGTCGTCCGTCTGACCGGCCGACGCATTTCAGCAAAGACGGTGAAAAGAAGTTTATGTTCAATGACATTGGCGGGAGTGGTGCCTCGAGCCGGAGCTCGTCGTTCCGTCGCCCTGGAGGCATGCCCGAGAGCGGACCGTCGACACCGTCTCCAGTGGAGGCGCGTCTTCTTGCGAACCGCCGCCTCGACTCTCTACGGTTGCCGTCTCAAGTCGGATCACCGCTGGCTCAATCACGGACACCTATCCCTTCAGTCATGACCCCTCCGCCTATGGCTTCAGGCTCGAAAGGAAGAGCGCTATCTCCTTCGTCTCTGAATAAGTTACAGGCGAAGGTCATACGCGCGAAGCTCATGAATGCCCCTGACGCGGAGAAGCTGGAGCAAGAATACGAAGCGGCAGCTCGGATTGCTCATGGCGTTGAGGAAGGTGGTGTACGCAAGAAAGTCGAAGTATTGCCTACGCTGGATGGCAGAGGAAAGCTGTACGATGTCGGATTTGGGAAAGAAGACGATAAGGTTCCGCAAGGAAATAGGAAGAAAAAGGAACATGTGCGTTGTATAATTTTCATTGGCATGCAGCATTGATTTATCTATCTTCTAAAGTACGAAACACACGACCGCAAGACTGGCGAAGTTCTACGAATCAACCCAGACGACGATACAATGACACTGGGGGAGATACTGCGGCAAGAGCGGATGGGTGCCGGCATGGCAGACCAGAAGGACCTAGATGCCCAATACGCCCGCGCGATCATGGGAGATGGCAAATTTGAGGTAACAACACCCTGCATGTTTCTGAGGCTGTCAACTAAATCACACCACAGAATGATCTCGATTATATCGACGACAATGCAGAAAAGCTCGGACGTCAGAAGATGCGCTCAGATGCTATGAAGCGTCAATTTGCGATTAATGGTGAGCCTATATACTTGTGATAGTGGTTTTCTCATCGAAAGTCATCTTCAGACTACAAGCGTACCCAAAAGGCATTGGCATCATGTAGCTTCTGCTATGGAGAGGATGACTCTCTGCCGAAGGCTCCAATTATTGCAATGGGCACACGGGTATATCTCGCATGTACCCTGACGGATGAATTGGTTAAAGGACACTGTCTTATTGTCCCTATTCAACACCATCTGAACATGCTCGAAGGCGATGACGATGTTTGGGATGAAGCACGGGTGGGTCTATGATTTCTACCTCAAAGACGGTCACTGACCTTATCCAGAATTTCATGAAATGTCTTATGCGCATGTTCGCTGAAGAGGACAAGGGTGTCGTTTTCTTTGAAACAGTCATCTCTCTGAAGAAACAGAAGCATACTTGCATTGAGTGCGTACCCGTGCCTTGGGAACAGTTCGACCTCTTGCCTGGCTACTTCAAGGTAAGTCTATTACATCCCAGAGCCTTCGTGTGAATTTACAATTGTGCAGGAGTCGATATTAACCTCAGAAGCTGAATGGTCCCAACATAAGAAGCTCATTGACTTTTCTTCCAGACCTGGGGGTTTTAGAAGAGCAATGGTCCCGAATCTACCTTACTTCATGGTGCAGTTTGACTACAAAGGGGAGAAAGGGTATGGCCATGTCGTTGAAGGGGCGGCAGATGCTCAAGATGAAGACGGGCTGGAAGAGGGGGAGAAAGGCGGCGGAGAGTTCCCTTGGTAAGCCGCTGTTTCACGATGGCAAAGAGTGTCGTTATTGATGGTCTCGTCAGGTATTTTGCGGGAGAGATCATCGGGAATATCCTTGACCTTGAGGCCCGACGGTGGCGGCGACCGAAGCGCATAGACGCTCGAGCCAATGCTGAGCGGGTGAAAGAGTTTAAGACAAAATATGCGCGGTTTGACTGGACGGGGATGTTGTAGTTTAGGTTTTGCCAATAACGCATAATGCATCGACCAATTCATATCTAGTACTTAGCGCCGGTAAGCCCGATATAGAAAGAAGGAGCTTTCATTGACGACTATGGTCTTGTGCTGGACAGTCTCGCTTCAAAACGAAGTAGATCCAGATCGCAAGGTGCCCTCGTGGAATCTGGATGTAGAAAGTCAGCGTTGGTTGAACTCCAATTGAAATCTCGAGATTAGACGTGTCGAGGCGGACTTAAACTAAGCTGAATATGGAAGGAGTAAATTTAGTTTTGAGACGGCAGATGTCTTGGCGCAGAATTGTTGTTTGTTCGCAAGCTGTCATAGCCGGCCTCCTTCCCCTTCGCCGCCATGGCTCCAACACCCCCAACACGGCGGGAGGTTCTTCTCCTCGCCATGCTGCTCCTCGTTATCCTCTTCTTTTCCAACTCAGAGCCGCCACCACCTCCTTCGCCAACCCTCCCTCTCACCCCAAGCGCTCCCGTTCTCGAGGCCCATACACCACAACCGCTGGACACAAGGCTGACGTGGGGTTCATCGCGGCCTCCCGAAACGACAATAGCATCACACGTCCCAGGCACATATCCTTTCATCAATTCAATCTATCCGTTTTCTTATCGACGCTCTCCAGGCTGGACAATACTCGACAAGTTATACATCCTCAAGGGCGTGGTTTACATCGTTTCAGACAGCCCGTCAACAATACCCGACGTTCGATACATCTACTCCAAAGGTTTAGCTATCAAACCGGGACAGGAGGAGGACCAGAAGCGATTACCTACGGACAGGCATATTCGAGTAATTAGCACCAAGGAGGCGAGAAAGCTGTTTGGAACGAGTGCGCAAACTATCGATGGATTCTCAGTGCGTCTCGCGTTTACTCACTGTCCCACCTTCTCTTACCCTTTATTCGTGTCTCACCAACAGTTTCTCGTGAATGACCCTCCGCAGTTGTTCGTTGTCTTCGTCTGCGAGAAGCTTTGATCTGGACTGAAATATCTCCATGTAGCATCACCCATTACTATCACTGGTCCGCCGAGCTCTGGTTCGGGTTTTGGCGGGCATACTCCTCCCTCGACCCATCGATATCGCCGGAAGGAAACACCACCCTAGTGCCTCCACGCCGGATAATGTTCAACCACCTCGACAACGTACACTGGCGCGACTATGCCGACATGAACCAACTCGTCCTGCGATCATCATTTCCTTCCGTGTCGATGGAATTCGTTGACGACTGGCGGGACCGAGCAGAGATGGGGAAGGCATTCGTGTTCGAGCGTGTGCTCGTCGCGGACCGGTCCGCGGCGATGCTCTCGTTCAACTACGCCCGCTACCAGCGCACGGCGGCTGCAGCCTTCGCCCTGCCCGGCAGCATGAGCTGGTGGCAGCCCATCAGAAACAACGTCGTCGAGTTCGCTGGTGTCGACCCTGAAGTGGGGAGTGGGACAACTGGGAAGCCTGTTATCACGTACATCTCGCGGCAGAACTGGGGCAGGCGTATGCTCATCCCTGAACACCACGACCGGCTTGTGCAAGAACTACACAGAATCAGAAACGAATACGGGTATGAAGTGAATGTGGTCGAGGCAGAGCATATGTCGCGCGTTGAGCAAATCCGGTTGGCGGCTCGGACAACGGTATGTGCCCGCCATAATCTTTGTCTGGGGCCCTCCCTTTAGCATACAATCAACTGACCTTTCATTCCGCTGTGCTGTAGATTATGATGGGCGTGCACGGGAATGGTTTGACGTCGCTCGTGTGGATGAAGCCTAACCCCAGGTCGACGGTCATGGAATTCTTCTTTCCTCAAGGCTTTGCGCACGACTACGAATACACGACGCGGGCATTAGGAATGGTGCATTACGGTTTCTGGAACTCGGAGTGCGTCTTAATGTTTCTTTCATTGATATGTCTTCTGATGGAACCATCCATACAGGTATTTCACAAGCCCGGGTCTACCAACTCCTCAATACGTCGAAGGCTTCCAGGGCAAGGAAATCCCAATCGACGGCGAGGCCGTCGCGCGGCTATGTGTCGAGCGACTGTCCCTGAACAGTGAAGTTGATGACTAGGGCCGACTCTACATCCTGGAACTTTACCCGTGAGGCTTGTCATAGCTCAGAAAACGTCGTAATCTTGAGAGAAGTGACGGCGGGGTAGCCAGCTATCCCTTCGTATATATGTATATGGACTTGCACAGCACATCATTCACCTGGTGACCTCCAGCGATCACACCTACTCATTATCGTATTTAACATGCCGTGCTAGCACGATCAGCACATTGCACAGTACGCATCTTCTGTCGCATTTATTAATTTATCTAGACGAGATGCCACCAACTATAAACTAGACCGATTGAGGATAATATGGCATTGACGATTCTACATACATACCGCATTGATTTCGTGCCTATGCGCTCCTGATGTCATGGTGAGTGAGGGCGAAGAGGATGTCAGATTCTTAAGAATTCTCAGTATTGTTGTCAAACTACATGCAGACATGTATATTGCGTACGAACCAGGTGGAACAAGAATGCCAGTCTCGTGTATGCAGAACATGAACTAGTCGTAACCGCCGACGTGTTTTAGCGAATTACCTACAAGACAACGATATGAGGATACATGATATGTATGAATGCTTGCTGCTATGATGGAGCAAATGCTGGCTCAAAAACCTGCAACCCAGGGAAATTTTTCAGCGCAAAGGATATTGATATACAGTAATAACGTGTCCCCAATAAAAATGTTCAAATTGTTCAGATAACACTCTGCTGGGTACTAGGTCCCAGGGTGTTGCTGAAGCCACCCACCGACCTCCCAGTTGCATCCTTTACGGTAGGCATCTCGGTGCCGTTGTTCCGGGTCTGTGACACCTTTGAGGATGTTTAAAAACCTCTTGAAATCGATAGGTTTCAGAATCCAGCCGTCCACGCCATGATGTACAAGTTCTTCTCGCTGATCTTCGAGCAACGACGCGGAAACTGCAAAAATGGGTATTCTCCCATTGAGAGTATGTGAGAGCCGATGAACGGAAGAAGCCGTGTTGCGTTTTATTTCTTTTTCTTCGAAATCCCGAATACGCCGAGTGGCTTCAAATCCATCCAAAATGGGCATCCTGTAAGAGGAAATATAGGATCATCCCTGAGGCGCAATAGCATACATACTGTATATCCATGAGAATCAGGTCGAGAGTTGGATCTGCAACCACTTTATCAAAGCCCTCCTGTCCGTTTGTGGCATTTACGACCGTATATCCATTCAAAGTTAGTCGTTTGGCAAGAATGGTACGGTTGATATCGTTATCCTGCGAATTGATTAGCCTCGTGAAGTGGGAACATATGGCAAAGAATTACCTCGACCACCAGCACCCTCAGTATGCTAGAGTCGCTCTCTTCCTCAGGAAAGGCGCGGCGCGGCGTGGCCGGTAAGAAACTCCGAGGAACATTCGCGATCTCTATTTTAGGGTCCGGGAAAGTTGGCTTTCTGTCCTCGAAGGGAATATCCTGGTCAAAATAGTCAATCTTGACCGGTCGAACAGGTATATGTGAGTCTGCGACTGGAAAGACACCACTCGAGGACAGCTGGCGGGACTTTGCTCGCGTTGCCTCCTTGGGTTTGATGTCTTCAGATCGGGAAGGCGAGGACATATGACTGGACGACAAGGCGGAGACGAGACTATCGACGTCCTTCCCTCCGGACGCGGAGAAGAAGCTAGCTGGCCGAGATCGAATCCGCGGTGAACTCCTAGATGATTGAGAGGAGAGAGATGATCCAGTCAACGGTGAAGCTGCTCCAGCCGACAGAGCCAATGGAATGAGGAAGGAGAATCGACTCCCTTCGCCGAGTTTCGAATCAACGCGGAGCTGACCACCTAGCTGCTCAACAATCCTTGCAACCACGGCAAGTCCGAGGCCTGAGGATGGAAGTCGTCGACAGTCAATGAAAAGCCAATATACTAGAATTTTTAGACCCACCTACGCCTGCAATTGCGTTGGACCTGGTTTCTGAAGACTCTACTTGCTCAAACTCTCGAAATATGCTCTCCAACTTTTCTGGAGCAATTCCACACCCAGAATCAGCGACGATAATTTCAATTGCTACTTGGTTTGTGCTGCGCAGACCCTCTGGTTCTCCGAAGGTCGTGCAACAAACGGTGATAGATCCGGACGTGGTATATTTGACTGCATGGTATAATCAGAAAACGGAAAGGCAAAGACAAAAACCTTAGCGAGAAAAAAACGCACGGGCATTTGCTGTTAGATTCTGTACCACCGTGCGTATCTTCTTGGCGTCACCAACAACAACTTTCGGGCTGTCTTGAAGATCGAGAATGAACTTGATGTTACGTCGTTCAGCCTCTTTACGGTAAAGGCAAGTTGCTTCTTCGATAGCGAAATGAAGATCGAATGGTTCGCTGAAAGATGTCTCGTTTCCGCTTTCCATGCGAGTTAGATCCTAGATACAGGTGAGGCTGTCCGGACTTTCTTCACTCAAAGAGACACATACAAGCAAGTCATTGATGGTGAATAGAAGACTCTGTAAGCTCAACATGAGAGGGACGACTGTCGCATGATGGGCGCAATATACCTTGGAAGCTGCATGAGACTTGCTCAAATTATCGCGCGTTTCAACGTCAAGAGGCCCATTCAGTGCCATTTCAAGATAGCTACAAGGTTGATAGGCGTCTGAATGTGGATGAGGAGGATTGGCGCCGAACTCGAACATACTTGATGATATGATTAAGAGGCGTTCGTACTGACGTATTATTCATCAAGTCAGGGAATGTATCGCGGAAAGCTGAGCAGAGTTTCACCTTCGTGACTTGCATTTGAAAGAAGTAAATTGGTGAGTTTCGTTTTTTGCAAAGCATTCTCCTTCTGTCTCCATACGTCGATAAACTGCAGCCATAATTAATTATTATCATGAATTTCTCAGAGAAAGATTCCTGACCTTCCCGTACACAAGAGCTAGCACACCAGCAGTCTCGAGCTGCTCATCGTTCCATGCCTTACATCGACCTGCAACTATTTCGGACCAGATTTTGAAAGATTTGCGAGGCTCTAGTTTTGCAATTTTCTCTTTCCCCTCCTGATATGGTTTTCCGGCCCAATGCACTTGACGAGGCTGACCCTTGCGTAAAAACGCGATGAAATCCTTGCCGCCAGAGGAAAGGGGGACATATAACAGCCCTGCGATGACCTCAAAGCCTGTCATAAGGAAATGAAGAAAAATATGAAAATTCAGCATGAGGCAAATGACCTGCAGTAAGTTGGAGATCTGGAAAATCATTGATGACAGCCTGGGAGGCTTGAATGGTACTAGATACACAATGACGATTAATATGAGAAAGTTGTAGCAAGATAGTAAGATACGCACTCGTATTGCTTTAAACGCAAGTATTCAGCCATAATCAAAATTTCCTGTCCATGTTCATTGGGTCCTAGGATTTTTGCACCTTCACCTACGACCAAGATACCAAAATCGGCATCAAAGAGACTAAGGAGGTCATCCGCGTCGCTGACTATATAGCCAGTCTGATAAAGTTATCAGATATGAAATTTGGTCAACGGATATAAACCCAAGTAAACTCACAGGGTGGTTTTCCGAGACCATGGTATTAATCTGAAGGGTAGGAAGAAAAAATGAGATGCATCAAGAACAATTTGGTGGTCCGACGGACAAGTTTCCGAGTGTGGAGACGTTGAGCATAGCTTAATCTTTCGATGTTCCTTGAGATCGACTGGCTGAGCAGACGAAGCATCTGACGAACAGGGAAAGAAACACGCATCCCATGGATTCCGTATGAATGGCATGTAATCAAACCCCAGAGTTGTCCAAACGCTAGGATGGACTGCACGAGCTATGAGCTTAAGAACTGGGATATACAAGATTCGACTTGAACATACAACCGACATGGATGCTCGCACGCCCATATTTTCAAGATCTTCATACAGTTAAAATTGACAACATCTAATCAAGGAAAGGACGTACATTGGATGTGTATTGGGCTCATTGCACGCAAATAACAGTACGTCATATTCTGCAATCATTGTATAATTAGACGTTCCGGTGGAAGGACAGCAAAATCACATACCAACGGCGACTCGAGATCATCTTTGTTGCGGACGACAATCCTTGCAGTACATTGGGCGCGATCATAGAGAATTCGGACCTTATCTGGCACGGGGGATGAGCTTCCAGTATCAGAAGATAAACGCGAGTCCATACTGATTTTATACAGCTCACGAGCCTGGGCAGGAATATCCCCTGCAGGAAAATGAAGCCCTCTGTATAAGTCATGCGACTGGCTCCAATCCAATAATTCCGCGACGACCTGACCGTTCCACAGCTCGTCGAACTGATAGACCAAGACACGATGGAACTGTGTCAAATCCTTTATAACACCAACCACGACTTTTAAAAACGAATCCAAGTTCGGCGCCGAGCCCAGTTGTTCGTTGATTTGGGCCATGACCGCGAAGACGTCCATCATACCCACAGCAGCATAACCCCCTTGTCCCCGGCGACGTCTGCGTCGGTCCCTTCCATTGCTATTACCACCCCCTGTCGGCTCGACCTCTGGTGCCCCAGGAGCGCCAGACGGAATGCCACGGGTCATACGACGCAACCGTTCGAGGGCGGGTAACGGCTTCGCTCGGCTCGTTGTGCTGTCGATAATTTCTTCTGCAGTTGGTCGCCAACACTCGTCACGATCAAAACCATACCCGGAAGACTCTATTACAGTCCCTGCATCGTTCGCCAGTGCCATTGCGTTCGGACAATCGCCAGCAAGGCTGAAAGGATCTGAATTTTGATGTTCGTTCGAAGGATTCAATTGGCTTTCCACCAACGTTCGATCGGAGCCTTCAGTCGACGAGCCTTCTTGACTAGTCGCAGGTGATGTAACCCCTGAAACCTGTTGAGGGATAGGCGGGTAAAGCGGATTCAAGGTATCGCGTTCCAGCTCGAATTCCATCACTATCAACCCAAGGGAGCCGGAAGAGGAGTGGGCACGATGAACAGCACACCAACAACTCCATACACGTTTTCCATCTTCAGAATCGCCCTCGTTGGGAAGCACCGACTCAGGAGCGCCGTAACCGCTAAGGAGGAATACGTGTGGAGTGCTCTCTTCCTCTTCCAGCTCCTGAGGCTCAGTGAGGAATTGGATGTGGTCCCAGAGCACACTGGCTTGGGATTCAGGCAGAGTATCCGTAAAGCATTCGAGCTCGAAAAGGTATCGTGGAGGTAGGCCAAGTAGCTCCGTCGAGTTCTATGTCATTGTATTTGGTGTGAGGTCGACCAGTTGGTTAAATTTGAAAGCGACCGAATGTACCTCTGAAACCTGTCGAACAACAAGCGTATCTTCCGTCTCGTCCACAGCTATAAGGACTCCGAATCCTTGAACGGCACCAGGTGTGCGAATTGGCTATAGAACAACGTCAGCTTCTGTTCACGCGAATATTATAGAAGAGCAAATATACCTCATCTTCGCATCGGTGCAACTTTCCCTCTCGACCGATAGCCACATGGTGTCCATTGTCGTCCTCTCGATACTGAAATTTGAAGGAGACGTAATGTTCATCTGAAGCCATGCTACTACTCCTTTCGCTAAATGCATGCCCTGAGAGCGCGTTGTCCGATCCAGTCTGGCGACTTGATATCGACCCTGGACGAGTGTCTGGGAGAGTAACTCGCACCGCCATGTCTTTTATTTCATTTGCTTCAGTTAATGCACTAGATGAGGAAAGTTCATCTTTTCGCAGTCTGTTTCTGTCTGAGGTCGTTATTGATTTCCCACTCCGAGGACCAGACGATGTTGTTGAAGGTGCTCTCGAACTGTTGCTCCCTGTAGGTGGCAACGGTGGGAGATGTACCAGGCCGTACTCCGACAAATTAAATGGTAAATGAGGCTCGATCGATACGTCTTCTTCGTCGAGAGTGTTATATCCGGCAGGCCACATCGCGAGTGGTGCAACCAATGGATCTGGAGCGCTGGGTGTTAGATCGGAGGTGAAAGATTCTGGAAACTCTGCTGGGATGTCACAAGCATGGCTTCGTGCAAGCGGTACGGCAGGACCTGCGTCCGCGACATCGCAGTTTAGTTGTGGAGCTGTTTCGGTTGTTGGAGTCGTGGTAAGGGGTGACTGAGACAAGTCTCTCTGGTTCGTGGGGTGGGAAGGAGGGTGGGGCTAATAGTCGCGAGAGCTTCGGCTGCCACGAGAGGTAAAGGTGATCTCGGAGGGATACTGAGGATATTTTGACCTAGCACACGATCCGCTGGAATAGTAGGAGAGACCGTTTCTATGTGGGCCAAACAAGTTGGGTTCGACGCCGGTATCAAGTTGGATGTCGGGGTGGAAAATGTGGGTTGAGAAGAGGGATCATCACCGGCAGGAAAATGTCGAAAATTGGGTGATATCTTTCGCCCCACTTTTTGGCTTTTGGTCTTGCCTTCTGGTCGTGACTTCGGGGGAAAATCGGGTATGCCAGACGTACTGGACGCCCTTTGACGCGTAACACTACATTTTTCCGATGAAGTGTATTCGGTGGGCGATGCAGGGACTATTGCGATGGATGGGCCAACCTGAGGAGTCTTGCATCGGCGTTTCTCTTCATCGACAGCATTTCGCTGGGAGGACGGAAGCCGTGGTTGCTCGCTATCAAGTAAGTAAGCTTGAGATACCACCCAAGAAGTGAAACAACACAAGCTGACCTTGCTTCAGTTGCCTGCTGAATGCCTTCGAGCAAGGATCTGACGGGATAGACGAAGGTTGGAGGTCGACGCGGTTGGCGAGATGGCTGTGAGGAGGGTGCGCTGTGATCTGGGGTATTCTCCATCGACATATTTAAGAATAGAGCATCTGGGGAGTTTCGGGCACCCCACTGGCCCACTACTTGAGGGAGAGGATTCAGGAAAGCAGGTCCCTTCTGGGTTAACTGATGACGCTAGTCACGTGAGCGAGCCTATCAGACAACCTACAACATCCGCGGCGGCATCAATTTATTACACTAAAATGCCAAACGTCTTGCCAATAATATCAACCAATCCCTCTTGTACGCCGAGATAATCGTGAGCTCCTGCCAATGTCTTGACGAGCACTACCTTCCTGCCCTTGTCGCTGAACGATTGTAAGGTCCCGAACTTCGGCAGCGTCTGCGTTGACACTATCTCTCCACGCTTCGCTTTTCGGGCCGCTTGTTGCTCAGTGATTTTTAACCAGAGAGATTCTGACATCGAGAAAGGTTCCAAGGCGAGATCGACCGGCGGGAGAAGGGGGTCCAAGAACGCCTCAAAGAGCACATCAGAGTGAGAGTGGGGTATGTCCCAGTCATTCTCCGCATGAGCAATGAGGACAGGTGCCGTGATATTCTTGACCATAATCAGTGACATGAACTGGCATACACCTATAGAAACCTACAGGAACTGCCTGCAGCGTGTCGAACCGATGAATAAGAAGCCTCTGTACAAGACCTATATCTGGCATGAGGGCATAATCATCGAGGAGTAGGAGGGGACCTACGAAGGGCCCCTGGAATGACTGATAGGGGTTTAATTAATGGGATAAAGCCAAACATCTGATAGGTCTCTAGCACTTCGCGAATACTTGAGAAAGGCTATTCGCCAAAGGTTACTTAATGCATATATATGGAGGTTATTTCTGAAACTCACCGACAATAGCACAATGCCCTTGGGAGTGATACCATCTCTTGACAACTCAGCACCGAGTTGGCCTGATACACCTGAGCCCAAACTATGTCCAGCGATAAGAATTTCCTCTGGTTTCTTTCCATGTTCAACAAGCCAATTAAAAGCTGCCTTCGCGTCGCGCGTAAGCCCCGCTTCTGACGGTGTTCCTGTGCTGTCCGCGAAGCCTCTATAGTCTATGGCCAGGACGCTGGCACCGAGTCTAGATCCGAATGCTTGATAGTGACGAACACGAGCGCTGAACGCACGGGTTGCAGCATTCCCGTGGAAGAATAGTACAACAGGACCAGCCGCAAGTGCAAATTTGACATGCTTAGAAACGTCGGAGGGGATTGTGGACAGTGAGCGATAGTAAGGGTCCGAAAGGACGAACCAAGCGCCCAGGGTCTCGTTATCGGAGGTTCGAATCTTCAAGTTGAGCGTTCGGTTCGCTACACAACCAATGAGATGAGTTATTCAGGACCATAAACAGCAACAAAGACACACGAGCAAGGCCATATTTCTCCGGCGTCGCATAGTCTGAGAACAAGGGTATCCTCACGGAGTTTAGATACAGAGCACTACGGGTGGTTCAACAAGGATGCGCCCGAAGTCAACTCAAAGTCACGTACTGGCCCTGGAAGAACGGGATGGCCAGAAGGCATACGAGGCCTAAATAGAGAGCACCGAATATTGCAAGGTACTTCTGACCTGTGAAGAGAAAAGTAATTCCCGCCATGGGGGTCTGTATTTGTGATCGCCAAAAGGTCCGAGATTCTGGACCGACTATACTTTTTTGACGTGACCATCCCACCTCCGGGCCGTTTCTCTGCTTACGATAGACGACGCGTTTTCGCTCCAAATTCTCCCTCTTAGCTTCTAAATTCTTATCTTCAAGCTTCAACGACCGAAGCCGAATTCACGACTCGGACTCATGTCAGATCCTCCAACGACGACCGAAGCCCAGGACATAGAATCGGAGAACCGTAAGTCCTGTGAACGACTTCCGGAAACGAAAGAACGATCTTCTGCCACAATTTCTTCCACATTCCAACCACGACCCACTCGATTACCATGGCTTAGACGCCTCGGATCGGGCATCATCCTCGACGTGCGCGCCCGAGCGCCATGGTACCTCAGTGACTGGACAGATGCATGGAACTATCGCGTAGTCCCAGCTACTGCTCTTATATTCTTTGCAAAGTGGGCTTCTTTCGGTCCACTCTTCTCGTTCGTCTGACACGGGGTTTGATAGCGTACTGCCAGGCATTGCTTTCTCGCTAGATCTCATAGAAACAACAGAGCAATATGGTGTGGCAGAGGTCCTCATGTCCTCTTTCATGGCTGCGTTTATATTTTCTGTCTTTGGCGCACAACCTCTCACTATCGCAGGTGTTACTGGTACGTTGACACTCAAACCTTCTCTTGCCCTGAAACTATTCGACCTTTAGGCCCTATCACCGTCTTTAACAAGACCATCTTTGACATTCTTGAACGAGAGCCCAATCCCCCAAACTACCTCCATTTTATCGGCTGGGTCTACCTTTGGGGTGCCATATTGCACTGGATTACTGCAGTCCTGAACTGTACGCCGTCTGGCCCCACATGACGTTCTGTCCTTCTCACGCTGTGCATACTCCACAGGGTGCAATTTCCTAAAGTATGTCACCCTATTCTCCTGCGACACCTTTGGATTCTACGTCTCCTGGGTCTACCTCCAATATGGGATCCAAGTGCTCACCCGTCAATTCGTTCCGGTCGATTCCCCTGGCGCGCAGGGGGTCCTGGTCTCTATCATACTCGCTATCCTCATGCTTGTCACAGCGTTCCTGTTCGAATCGATGGCACAGACACCCTACTTCCATCGACATGTCCGCCGCCTTCTTGCTGACTACGGGATGCCTATTTCTCTGGTCGCCGCTTCCGGGATGGCGTATTGGGGCCGGTTCAATGCTGCCAACCCGTTAACGCTACCTGTTGGGAAGGCGTTCCAGGCCGCTGGAGGGAGGAGTTGGTTAGTGAAATTCTGGGAGTTGGAAGGCAAATGGGTAGGAATCGCTTTGCCGTTCGGTATTGTGCTATGGATACTGTTTTTCTTCGACCACAATGTTTCTGTGAGTACAGTATATATATATTTCTGAACGGAATGCTGATTGTAATCTCAAGGCGTTGATGGCCCAAGGATCTGAGTTTCCTTTGCGCAAACCTCCCGGGTTTCACTACGATTTCTTCTTGCTCGGTGTAACGACCTTCATTGCCGGCCTCCTCGGCCTTCCAGCTCCCAATGGATTGATACCTCAAGCACCGATACACACCACCTCGCTTCTTGTGATGGGACGGGCACCGAAAGACAAGAAAGATGAAGAGGACCGCGACACTTCACGAACCCAGACACATACAAGATCGTCGAATAGCGTCACAAATAATGACACTACAGCAGGTTCCATCTTCCATGATTCCGAACCTCCTCCAGATCCTACGGCGCGGCATCGACATGAAATGCCTGTCGCAGTTGTCGAACAGCGTGTTTCAAACCTTGCCCAAGGCTGCTTGTGCCTTGTTCTGCTGACGGGACCTTTTCTGCACGTCTTGAACCTCATTCCCCGTGGAGTTCTTGCCGGACTTTTGTAAGCAAAGCATTCTCTACCATTCAACGAAAAGTTACTCATGTAAGCTAATCAGCTGGTACATGGGCGCCGATGCGCTTAAAGGTAACGGCATAACCAAGAAGATCCTTCACCTCATCCAGGATAAAGCGCTAACCTCGAGGCATGAACCGCTCCAACAAGTCCGAAAGTCACGAATCATTCTGTTCGTTGGCGTACAGCTCGTCGGTTTCGGAGCGACGTTCGCCATCACGCAAACCATCGGTTCGTTTCGCTTTCAAAGCTAAACGCCTCTCGATTCATCTGTACTAACGCAACTTCCATGAACCCCCTCCTACCATGATCCGCATTCTCCAGCAGCGATCGGGTTTCCCGTCATTATCATGCTACTCCTACCACTTCGGACTTTGGTGATCCCGAGAATGCCGTTTACGAGAGAGGAACTCGCGATCCTCGATGGCCCAACTGCATCGCCTTTCGTAAGTTTTTTCCTCCAGTTCTCCGACTAGGATTTTCGTTTTACGTTCATTTCCATTTCCATTTTCACTTTCCCCCCCGTTGCATCCGGCTTGAAATAGTCGCATTTTTAATGTGCCCTCATCGTTATACACACCTTTTTCTTTGGATTTACCAGTTGGTGTTCCTCACTGATGCGAACCCTTTTTTAGACGATGGAATCTGTAGGTGGCACGCTGTAAAGCTACGGACGAGCCAAGAAACATAGGGGTCGCTCCTGCCTGTGCTTACCCATTATCGGACCATTTGAAGATCCGCTGCTTTCGGGAGTTGGATGGAGGTCACGGTGCCTTAGACTCAGAGGCTTCAGCACGAGACTCTACACCGATGTTTGTACTTTTGCATGCGACATAGATCATAGCCGTAGCTATATACTCTCAAGTATGTTCGTTCCCCTTCATCTTCCACCTGAAGTCCGAGTCTGTACTGGTACTACTGGAAGCCAAGAGCGCGACTGGGTGACGGCGCGTCTTGATAATGGTCACGTGCATTTATCTCGCACTCACACATACCACGCGGTCAAGGTTTGTCTTTCTATCAGTGTCACTCCCGAAGCTCGAAGAACAAGACCACGAGTCATCATACACTTTCGGCCGTTCGAACACAACTGGGGCGGCAAGGCGGAGCAAAGCGACGGTCTACATGCATAAAATCAGAAGCGTCCACATGGATGCTTCGGCTTGAATCCTCTCCTCTCCCAAGTTCCGACTGCAGAGATCTGGGATGGCCGGCGTAGTGCGACCTGATAGCAAAGTTCTTGGTGTCGTTGTGCTCGTTAGACACGGGGATCGGTCAAGTGTGTTTCTTCAGCTGATGATATAGGTGCAACTGACAACGTATCTGAATCTTTAGGCTTTTACCAGAACGCGGCCGACTACACCCCCGCGAACACGATCATCACCCCCCTTGGAAATGTCCGTCAAGATTTTATTTTATACCCCACCGAAGCTCTGAAGATAAACTCTAGGTTCAAGAATATCTACTCGGACAGAACCTGAGGAGCATTTACCTCACCTCCAACTCCTCGTCTTTCATTTCGACGATCAACAGCGACGTCGTGGACCATGACCAGATACTGGTCCGCGCCGACGGAGGGGGTGAAGGTGGTGTAATCTTCAACTCGGCGGTGTCACTTCTCCAGGGATTGTTCCCTCCTACGTTGAATTATGACATGACTCTTGCTAACGGAACGACCATTGTTGGCCCAATGGGAGGATATCAGTCGGTGCCGAGTGAGTATCCGAGATCGCCTAAATGTCTGATTTGTTGAGCTGAATTGGCATGGGCGTGCCTCGCAGTCGAATCCGTTGAGCCCGACAACGACATCTCTCTCGAAGGATGGACGGATTGCAATGTACGTCAGGATCTTTCTAATCCTTGTTGGATCTTAGGAACATGCATCCTAGGCGTTCTCGAAAGCGACCAAGGCATTCTACAATTCCGACGTGTTCAAGGCTAAGGCATCTGAGAATACCGATTTCCTCCAATCGCTCCGTCCTTACCTCGATGACAGGCCGATTACCTTCGAAAACATGGTCAGTGCCAGCAGACACTCATGACGAATGTTCAATCTGCTCAACGGTGGTGCAGTGGAACATTTTCGACTACATGAACGTTCAATCCCTTCATAACAAGACGTTCCTAGATTCCCTACCGCCAACTTACCTTGCACAGGCCAGGCACCTCGCCAATTTCCACCAGTACGGCGTTTTCAGCTCGGTTCAACCAAACGGAATTGGCAATAGTAAGTGTCAACTGTTCGCACGCGGCACAATCACCAACCGTTTCCGAAGTTGCTGGACAAACCACCTTGCCTTCGATCCTCGAAGGTGTCCAAAGGATCGGCAGCTCAAGCGATCCTCTTAATTTCGTGTACCAGGCCGTTTCTTACAAACCTTTTATTTCTCTGTTCAACATAACCCAAGCTGCAGAGATGAATCCTGAGTTGGCCGGTATTGGTTAGTAATGTCGCCATGATCCACGGGAGATTGATGTGATGCTCCTTTACCCTTGCAGTCAACTACGCCGCTGCCATGGTGTTCGAAGTTCGCGAGTCCGACTCCGGTGGAGAGCCTGTCATCAGATTCAATTTCAAGAATGGCACAGAAGACTCATTCCGCACCTACAATTTCATGTCATCGACCGACGATATCCCTCTTTCAACCTTCGTCAATACCCTCGAGGTCTGTACCTTTACTTGCACCACCTCAGATATGGCTCACTTTAGGATAGCCCTTTGGATTCGATGACCTCCCCACCTGGTGCAATGTGTGCGGTAACACCGAAGACCGAGGATGTGCAGAGTTGGTTGCCGCCGCATCCCGAGCATCTCAAGCAGCACGCTTGGAATCCAAGCCTGCTATCAGCGCGGTCGGCGCTGGTTTCATCGGCGCTGGTGTTACTATTGTGGTCCTGTTCGCCATGCTCGGCGTCTTCACCTTCCTTGGGCTCCTTACCGTGGGCTTTGGCAAACGCAAGGCTAAACGTGGAAAATATGGATACGATGTAAGTAGTTCATAATTATATGTCGTTGTCCTATTTGATAAACAATTTCCCTTCACATGTAGACCGATTCCACCGAAAAATCATAAACAGGAAAGGATAGTTTCTAGTAGCATGAAAAAGAAGTCTGCATATGAATAATGACGAATAACGAGAGGAATTACATGATGTGATAAAACGTATTGTAAAAGGATACATTCTTGCGTTGATTGATGTGATGAAATGCATAGCGAACAAGTTTGAGATACACGAACAAGAAGGGTTGGCGCTGAACTAGAGGTCAGAGTCGGAGTCATTTCTGGCTCTGAGGCCCTCGTATTCCGAGTCTTCATGCCACTCATCTGCTTAAATCATCAGCATACATTTCTGCAACGCAATCCAGTCAACACACCACTATCGTCTTCCTCATCCGGATAATCGTTCTTGTAGTATTCTTCAGCTGTAATAGGACATCAGTATGGCTAACTCTAGCTTCGATGTGTGGCCTACCATTAGAATCTTCGTCGGCCTCGTCGACTTCTTCGTCAGAATCGGAGAGGGAATCGTAACCATCGAAGGAAGCAGGAAGACCAGTTCTGGATTTGCCGCATTAAAGAATATCCAAGAAGATTTGGATCCGACAAGAATATTCACAAGGTGCCTACTTTAGCTGCTTCATTCCATTCGCTCAACGTCACTGGCCGATGGTAGAACACATCCCACACATAATCGTCGGTCAGAGGCAGTGTTGCGTTACGTTGAGATGATGGTTTTTTCAATGGTTCCACGCTCGAATCCTTCTCCGTGTCCATTTCATGAACTAGGAGTCATCAGCACTGAAGAAGAGCGTCTGTCCGACAAGCACGCTTACTCTTCAGGTAGTCGTTTAGCATCGGCAGGAACTTGTCAACCTCAGAGAGCTCATCCTGGACAACAGGCACTCCCTGCGTAGGTACAGCATCAAACATCTTGAAATCGCGGCTACACGCAGCTTGTTCCTCGAGCTCTTTAACGGGTATGACCCTTGGGCTGCATATTCAACCGTGAAGGATGAGGACGGTACGAGGCGAGGAACGTTAACGACTCACGGAGCGGTAGGGTATCGCGTAGTTGCGGCCTCTGGTTCGCCACTTTCTACGATCGTGTATCGACGAGTTGTCTGAGTAGCAGGCGACGGTGCGACTTCGCTGACTGGAGCTGCTGGAGCCTTCCATTCGGCTTTGACAGCTGACTCTCGAGCTAGACGAGATATCTTGTCCTGAAGAAATAACTATCAGAACTGATGATGCGTATGATTAGGCGAAGCAGGCACCTGAACGTCTTGCTGCCGCTGTGCGTTGTCCCAAACGTCATCCTCAACTGTCTGCGCATACTGGAATACACCAATTCCGCCTTTCGACTTCTTACGTCGCATAGACTCCACGACTGAAACAGAAGTTAGAAAGAAATCACGCATGACTTGATCGTGTGGACTGACCTAGGGCATCCAGGGGTTCTTCATTGCGTTTTCTCTTAATTCGCAAAATCGTGTACGGCTGGCTTGAAGACGTGGGGTCGGGAGTAATATTCATCGAGTCGACTTGCATTATCGTGCGGTTATAGGGAAGTTGATTCGAGTTGTCGTGGATGTGGCGGTTTGGCAGGAGATTCGTAACTTATAAGCGAAGGCCCACCACTGGTGGCCACTTTGTGTAAAATGACGTCACGTGTAGTCGCAGATAAGATTACAGTGATCCACCATCACTGGCCCGGGCTGGGGAGGCGATGCGAAGCTTCAGGCTACCAAATCATCGTATGGTGGAGAGCGCTGCAGGCGTGGTCACTGTTCGAGATGACGTCGGACGAGAGCAAGACGGTGGTAGAGGGAAAGGGGATGAGAAATGTGGTTTTAATTCACGTGATCCGATGTGGTGCGACGGAGTATTCCCATTCAACTTGGCCCAATGCCCATTGCCATTGACAATATTCTTTTTGATCCCAGCCCTCATGGCGTACTTCATTAATGGAGACATCACGCAAAAGCGATTTGCTCGCCTTCCACGGATCCCCCAGCTAAACCTGCCTTACGTCGAACAGGCGATAGCTTCTGCGCCAGTCTCCAGTGCTACGCCATCCCTCACGGGAACTCGCTTCAATGATTCCCGTGGAGTGGGGTGTCTCGTCAAGGGCGACGTGGACATAACCCAGGAGCTCGCTCACTTCTTGTCGGCCGTCCGAGACGAGAAGGCTTCTGATAAAGCAAAGATTGTCTGTCCTCCTCTCTCCGTCTCTGTTGCACTTCACTTATGGCAAATAGATTACCTTTCTGGTGTCCGACCTCCGAATCATTCCGACTGAGAGCATGGGGGACTTCAGCTTAGAACATATGTCGAATACGGCGTGGCGTGACTGTTATTTGCCATCTTGCTAGGCCACCTGCTAATTGGACCAGTTTTGATCTTCCTCCACCGTCATCACGACTTATACGCGACTATTTTCATCGCACCATGCCTTTCTGACCTCGTTGGCCTCATTGGAGCATATTCCACTGACAATTGCCGCCGACAAGGCTTGTGTTCTATGCCATCCACTTCTCTGCTTCCACATAATAATCCAGTTCCCAAAACAGTTTCAATTGACGAAGGAGGTCAAGACCCAGGTCGGAAGAGGGCTGAAACAATCTTTGTATGTTATTTTGCCCCTCCCCCCTTTGCAACATCCACTAACATCAGAATAGGCTGAGGCAGACCTCAAGCACAAATACGAGCTCATCATCTTACATCCTTTCATTTTCGAATGAGCCTCTTAGTGTCATTAATGATACTGGGCAAACTGGATCGGGTCTTCACACAGAAGACACCATTGTTTTTACACCCTCAATTGGCCACAAGTCAGCTTCCTTTAACAAGCTGAGCTTCTCGCAAGGACATGGTGGTGAGGGGCTGTCGTTGGCAGATCCAGACATTTTTGATGCTGTCTTTGGTGGTCATGGTTAGTTTGAATACTTGATCATCTAGCACATACTCATCTCCGCAGACTTCCTTGATCTGCCAGAAATCTACCAGGGTGGTGAAGACGAAGACTCCCCTCCACGACCTGCTATACCGGACATGCCTTTAGATGAGAAGATTGGGCTTTGGATGGGTGGGCAGTCTGAGAAGGGATCAGCCGTTTGAGGTACTTGGCTCATGATTATTTTCTATACAAGGTATCAAGTGTTGTGTACATTACCTTGGTCTCTGTGTCTGAAGTCATACTTAGATGTATATTATTATCATTATATTAGATTGTCGTGGTACTTGTCAGGTGTTCTCTTGTTGGGCAAATCTCCTGGAATGCATTTGTGAGCTCTGCATGAATTCCTAACCTTTTTAAATTTCGACAGTTAAAAGCTGCCACTAGACACCCAAAGTCAATAGGAGGGTGGGAAGCAAAGGCTTTTTTGTCTTCTCTGAATTCCAGATTGATGGTCCCATTGAATATTTCCATAGGTACATGCATCGGTTATCATCACGTACTTTCTAGCACATTGCTAAGCCTCGTCTCCCACTGGTCTGACAGTGCCTGGGTTCCCTGCAGCCCTCCAAGCAGCCAATATAAGGCCAACTACATTGTCAATTCCTTTCTGGTCTTTGACACTAGCGAAGATTGTCGGGCCATCACCTCTCATCAGCTTCGAGTCTCTGTCCATTACTTCCAATGACGCGCCGACATAAGGAGCAAGATCGATCTGGGAAAAGTCGTCAGCGATAATAGTGTGATATTTTCAATGCATTTAACCTTGTTGACAACCAATAAATCAGACTGAGAAATTCCGGGTCCTCCTTTTCTTGGAATTTTATCACCACCCTGTGTGCCGAAGTTCGTAAATAGAAGACACTTGTCTGTTGACCAGGACATACCGAAACATCGATCACATAAATAATGTAATCGGCCAGCTCCCGAGAGTAATTTGCCGCAAGGTTATCGCCTCCGCTCTCGACAAAGAGGAGTTGGCAACCGTACTTAGCCTGCAGGGTTTCCAAAGCGCCCATGTTAGCACTGATATCCTCTCTTATGGCCGCATGTGGACAGCCTCCAGTTTCGATAGCAAGGATACGAGAGGCAGGAAGAGCCTTATTCTTAATTAAGAACTCTTGATCCTCTCGGGTGAAAATGTCGTTCGTGACAGTGGCTTAATGAAATGTGAGTCCGTCCGCCAATCACAGAAGCAGCCCAAACGTACCGATATTATATTCTTTTCTCAACCTTCTGCATAGCTCAAGAGTAAGAGCGGTTTTCCCAGAGCCTACAGGGCTGGGGCAGAATTAGATAAGGCTAGACCTAGTGGCTTGTCTGGACGTACCCTCCGATCCCGACTGTGAATCCGCGTTCCTCAAAGTTACGAGACGAATAATCCGGAAGATCACGCTCTGAATACTTTCCTATGCTAAATTCGTCAAGCGATTTCACTCGAAATATGGCATAGCATACCTGCGTGCTCTAGGTGTTCATGGGTGTGTCCATGCTCTCCAGGTCTGCTATGGTCGTGGGTATGACTGTGGCCAGATCCATGGTCATGAGAATGGCTATGGCCTGGGTTGGATTCAGATGAGGAGAGAGTGTTGAAGAACTGGACGTTCATTTGTGCAGTTTCTAGAGCGTTTTGGCACCACTTAGACGGTAGTCCTTATCTAAGAGTGGCGCGGCAACAATGAGATCCCATTCTAGGGTTAGGGGTTCCTCATTCTGCCAAACTACTGTCACAACATTCTTCGCCAAACGGAACGGTAGATGAAAAGGGCATCCTCAAGCATCGTGAACTACTCAAGTTCAGATGGCGACAATGAAGGCGATCAAGCTCCTGTAAAACCTCCGAACAAAAAGAAGTCAGCCATCTCCATTCACTCGCGATTCCGTCTTCACGTCGAGCCTAGGAGACTACCACCACTGTCGTTGACAATAGTTCAACCAGCCCCAACAGACGACCCATCTCTGCACCAGGGACGCGTCCGGACTACGCCGCATGTCGAAGGGCAGTTTGCGGCCCATGTGTACGTGTCGTTGGCTCTCCATCGCCATTCCTTGCTATACAAGATCGTTCAAGATATCATTTATGATTCCAAGAAGGTTGTTCCTAATCTTCAGGATGTTTGGCCGAATCCAGACAGCACCCAACGCCTAGAGCTGCATATTTCCCTCTCACGGCCAATTTTCCTCCGAGCACACCAGCGCGAGGACCTGAAGAGGGCTGTAAAAAGAATCTCACAAGCGAACAAGGCGTGGGTGCTCACCATTGCTGCATTGTTGTCCCTATTCAGTTCCGCTCAAAATTTCCTCTAGGTTTACTCTGTCTTTCGCGGTATTGTCGGAGCTCGTCAACGATGAGAAAACGAGAACTTTCCTGACCATGGAAGTGGGGGCTGGTCATCACGAGGTGAGCAGTTTGATTGTATCTGCTCCAACATCTTCTAAGCAAATCCGTTCTAGCTGCGTTCCTTAGCAGATTCTCTGACCCCCGCTTTACGGGCCATTCGTCAGCAGGAATATTACGTGAACCCGAGGTTCCATGCATCGATTGCATGGGCTCTTCTTCATCGTTCACAAGGAACGCCTTTCCCGCCGTCTGGGTCCTCTGACAGTATCTGTACTCGTGCCATCTTAGAAGATCCTCCCGCTCCATCGATTGCTCCGGGTTCTGGAGCCACAACTCCTGAGGGCTTTCCAGCAATCGAATGCCTGCCTGCAGACATGATAAAGATGCTCAACGAACGATATGGAGCTCAAATAGCGTCCCCAAAAGTCGGATCGTTCGAGGTGCATGCCATAACCGTCAAAATCGGGAAAGAGGTGACCTCTTGGCAGTTGAATTGAACTTGTTTTGGGAGGTGGTCATGATTTCACTGCAGGACACTTCTCAATAAAGCTGCTGCCGCTTGATACGCTCGGCGAAGGACTTCGCGCTGTGCACAATCTATGCATTATCTTCTTTGCCCTAACAAGGTATGATACGCTATTTAAACAGTGTTCTTCGTTCTGGACATTTACCTGAATTCGAAACCCATTTGCGCTCGCCGTTCAAATTTCATGCCTCATAAACCCCGACAGAGGTATTTCCTTCGAAGCACAAGTAGCCCCATGCTCCATGACTTGGGCTTAGGGGATGTGTTGATTGTGCGTATCATCTGACTGAACTCGAACACCACGGTCGGGCATTATGCTGTAAAACCACTTGCTTTGACTTTATCTTGACCCACGGTCTTGTAACAAACCGGTCAATCTACCAGTTTTAGTTAAACCTTCGCATATCAAGGCGAAGAATAGACCTAACGGCAGGCAAACGGCTTTTTTTATGCAATTATCCTGCTAAGGTATGTTATTTTAAGTCATTCATACGGACCGTCAGAGCTAAACTTTGATCATCAGAGATTTACGTGAATCTTGCATGTGCATGCGTACTCATGGCTCTTAATGAAAGGACTCCTCTCTCGGCGATGACAGCAGCTTCCGAGGTCCCTTCTTCAGATTTGGGAACGTCCCAATGGTAGGACATGATATATGCAATATTCCCGCTGGGCTAACTCGAGAAAACCGTTCCGCGAGTCATTATGAACTGGCTAGCTTCGACGTGACGGTTACTGTTGGTTATTCACCCCGCAAGCGCAAGTACTCTATATGCACTAATATATTCTTACCAGTTGTCCGGCAGTATAGGACTCCCCAAAGTCAGATTGCGTGGTCAGTCGAATCGCCGCGGTTGATCCCCTGAGACATATATTGATCGGTTTCTCATAGATAGACATAGCCCCGTCCCTCTGTGGCAGCTTTTCCTCGAGGCGGACTCCAGAACCTTCGCTGAGTTCAATGATGTACCTTGCTTGGCGTTGCAGAAGATCTCTCACGCGGGCCGCTCGCCTGCCATCCTGGACGTTCATTGACCCCCTGAAGCAAGAGATATCCTGGCCGAGCCAAAGCCCGAGTCTCGCTGGCTTTGCGTCGACTGCAGGATTTGGGACTTTGTCCATTACGCGCGCCATCAACTTCTCTTCTTCTCCTACCCCGTGTGCTGTGCCCCCCTCTGACCAGTTGCCTTATTAGATAGGCTTCACTGTCAGTGAACCGGTTTACGCGCATAGTCGTGCGTTCTGCCCCCGCTCACTCTCAGACTAACACTGGTGAGCTTCAGTTAGGCATCTTGTGCCTGACATCGCCTTTCACCCAGTGTCATTCTGCCAATCCCCACCTAATCCAAAACATTCTGTCAACCTTGATTGGCCCAGATCTTCTTGCCCAAGGAGATCTCTGGCTGGCTGTCCTGCTTCCCCAGCCTTCGAAGCATCGGATCCAGTCGTGGATCCCTTCTCTTATTCCATCCCGCCTTTTCATTATAGCCCGAAACAAAGTCTCGACTGGGTCCGTCTCTCTTCCACCTCTGCGAGGTTGCAGGAGATTTGATGAACCCCCAACGCACCTCTTACTGAACCGGTAATGATCTCACCAAGGTTATTCAACCTCCTCGTATCTTTCTTCATCTTTCCCATACGGGCTGTGTCCTCTCAAGGTTCTCCCATCTTGATGGGACAATTGATGTAATGGATAGGGACCTTCGCCAGAGCACGCCGCATTCCCTCAACCTCGGGTTTTCATTGTGGATAAAGTTCTTCCAGCAAACGAAATCACGCCTTACACCGACGCAGAGTTTAATAGAGTACATGCGTTTACGCCCCCAGTACAGTGAATACCGCAAGGCACTCCCCTATCTCATTTTACAATGATGATGCACAAGCCGCCTTTGAGTCTTCGATTACCGTGCTCCGGTGAGAACGACTGCGCTGCCCTCCCACACCTTTCGATCTGGATCAAGATGCCGCTGGCAACCAAGGCAAGGTAGAGCGAAGTGTATTATCACGGGCCCAGCCGTCGACCGAAGGCGTATTGGATCTAGGAAAGCCAATTGCCTCCATAGCCTACGACCCATTTTTTGCATCATGGTTCGCGGCAGTGAGTCTGTCTGAATGATTTGCTTGATATTAATCATTGCGCCAACTTATAGGTCTTCGGGCGACGGGCATACCACTTCTAGAGCTTATTCATGTCCTTGCCAGCCCCATTCTCCTCGAACGTTGCGATAAACCATTTAGTGGGACTGAGTCCCAATACTTACTAGGACGCCATTATAGGCACTACCCTATCAAACTAAATCTCTACATTGAATTAGCGCCGGAATTTATGCGGCGAGAAAATAAATTGTCTACTTAGTTCCAGAGAGTGCTCCTCCTCCAGTATGATGGCGCTGGTGTGTGGCGTAACATTATCAATAGCGGCTCGGCCGATTGTTATCCAGTGTACAAAGTTTCAAGCCCAAGGCTCTCGTAACCCTTCCGATGTCGTTTCCCTTGCGCATGTGTGAACGTAGGTCAGCTGAGATGTGCTTTGAGCCTTTCCGGGGTAAATTCTCCTCCAGCAGTCATAATTCAGGATAGCCATATTTTCGGGAGAGAGACTTACCCACACAATGGGAATTTCCGCCCGTTTCTCCGCCATATATCTGCAACACATGGCTTATCTCTGGTTCGCCAGCCCGAGGAGGAGTTGAAGCGGATTCGATTATCGGTGGACTCGGAAGAGCCAAGACCCAGCACTCGCTCTCGCCTAACGCGTCGTAATTCTCCGTAAGCCTCGAAGAAGCCCATCCGGTCCGGGATCAGCTGGCTGAGGAAAACGGGGCGGCCCACAGGTGTGCACAAGTAATTTGCTCTCAGATGGATGATGTATGTAAGTAGCTAATAGGTACCACTCAGGACTTCAACTCGAACGTAGTCTTTCATCCAGTCGCAGCCATGAAACTTGTTTGGCGCTCTCAACAACTAAATGAATAGCTTAGCGCCAACTTGGCTCATACGAAATTTCTGTAGAGGTAGCATATGACACGTGCCACGTCCAAGACTCTCCCAGATTTTGCACCTCCAGATTTTTCGACCTTGTCCACAACCTATCCTTCCCCAATTCACGATACTTCTCCATCGACGTACGATGCCATTGAGACTCAGGGGACCGTCCCAACGATCCCTCTTCCGCCCTCGCGCCCTTTCCACACACTCTGGCGAGATCACCTGTCGGCTTTCAGAGCCCCAGGACTATACGACACTGTCATCGATACGTTTGTCGCTCTAGTACAAGGCTTACCAACTTGGAGAACAACGGACGACGTAGAGACCATCGTCAACAAGCGGCGTGAAGTCCGCGAGCTCCTCCGTCAGCACCCTCCCAACGTGGTTCTGGTCAGCGGTATGGAAGGCGTCTATGGGTATCATCCCAGGCGAGCGTCACTCTGGCCTTTTATCTGTATTTCGGATGAGTATGTTGATTTGTGGATGAAGGCGAAACTTGAAGCGAGTGAGGCGGATGAGTTGCCGTTGACTGCTGTGCTGAGGGCTACTTTTGATCATGAGATTGCACGTTGGGGCGTGACACTTGTAGGCATCGCTTATGCTGTGAAAAAGAATTTACTGAGGGTAGAGTAATAGAAAGTCGGCTATGAGACGTGCGCCAACGATCGGCAGACCTTCCCGAGTCACCCCAAAATGACGACCCAGACAACATGGAACCCCGACGAAGGAAATGCAGGGAACTTCGTTGAAGTTCGCAGCCGTGGAGGGATCATGGGATACTCTAGAAAGATGCGGAAGGGTGCGTCTTTTCTCCTTTTCTGTCCTGCAAGCGAATTCCATTTGCGATTTGTTCTGCTGCATTCCTACTTACGAACCGGAAAAGAAAGAACGGACATCCACATCCTACCCGTATCTTACCTCTCGGTATACCTTAGAGAATGTCCGGTCTCCTCGTTGCACTTCACGCCATCTTCTGTGAAGAACATGTATCAAGTAAACGTTGGCCCAGAGAGCCTGCCTCCAAAGTGATGGCGCCGTTGTAAATCCAGCTGGGACATGCTTTGATATCTTTACGGCCTTTCCGTGGCAAGGCAATGAACCCTCTAACTCTCCCGGATGCAAGAACTTAGTAGAAGCACCCACATTTGAAGACAGCGGTGGCTCCCATGTTTTCGGGAGAGTACGTATACGCACTGGCAGTTTCCGCTCGTTCCTCCTTTTTCGTCATAGATGGGACACATGGCTTATCTCTAACTCGACCGTAGCCGAGGAGGAGTTGCAGCTTTATGGGGAACCCAGCAGTCGTGCAACGCGTCGTCATTCTCCGTTCTCCGTTTGCATTGCTTCCAGACCCCTCGAAGAAGCTAGCTGGCGGCAGAAAAGAGGACGGCCATAGGCTGACGGTGTGTATAAGTAATTTACTCTGTCAAGTGGATGATGTAGCTGATAGGCACCACTCAGGACTTCAACTCTATCGTTATTTGGAAGCTTTATGCCACTAGGCCACTTGGACGATTGCTCGCTGGAGCTGCAGTTAAAGTTTCGCCTCTCCTTCTCCGACAATGTGGATGTACTTTCTGATTATCTTTGCGGGGCCAATACCCGCGAGCTCGAGGTTACACCGTATGTATGTTTGCGACTGCATTCGCAAGTGAGGTCGAACAGCTTGGCGCAAACGCGGGGTTTCTTTCCTGATCCTTGAATCCAGTGCGTTGAATTACCGAGTCTCTTCGTGATCTTCCCACAGCCACTGCTTGCTCGCTATCTACTTATCATCTTCACACAAAACGATATACGCTTGCACGACTGTTCGTTTGCTTTTCTATTCTTTCTCGTAGGTGGATCAACCAACGGGCAAAAGTTTTGATAGATGAGACCTCCTGGATCATGATCACTGTGCTCAGTCGTTCATCTCTGTTAAAGCGGCCGTGCTTATGTCCGCCTTCTTGCGCTCGAACACGTCAACATGTCTCTGAATGTTAGTCGTGCAGAGATGCCAGAGATCGCCAAATTCAAGGATCACCTCGTGTATGATCAATTTAGAAGTAAAGTAAAAGGTCCTTTAGGAGCGGGTGGATAGGTGACCCGGCATACGCCTTGGAGTCTGAACTGACGCTCGGAGGCCGACAGAGCACCTCGGTAAAATCTACGAAGAGAATGACCGGCTCGCCTTATACCCGCGCATTTTCTGCACACGAGCATTGAATCGTACACTGATCGTTCCTTCCATAAAAAGCCTCCATGCCTCAACTTTCTTTATTGAATAACTTGGCACTAGAGCACCATACTGCGCACCGAACTGAGCGCCGAACTGAACCTGTAAATGATCATTCCTCTTTTCAGACCTAATCACACCGTCCAAATCTACAAGTGCCATTCCGCCTTCGAGTCCTCCCCCATAGAGCCTTGCTGCGAGCCGCGTGTCGAAGCTCTAAGAATATGCTCGCGTTCGCACGACGAAGAACAAGGTGTTACATGACCACCGGGTCTCGGAATGGCTAGCGTGGGCAGGTATCATTTGGGCTCCGGTTGACTTCTGCAAGCATTTCACGAAGCACTTTGAGGGCGGGCATGGAAGGTTGCTTCATGAAGAACGTCGAAGTCGCTCTGGTCGAAGGACAGGGGCCGGCAGTAACGGACCGAGCCGGACCGTCAATCCAGCATTAGGCGCTCTGCTCCCTCCTTCTAGGACAACTGAAAGCGGCACTTTTCTGCGCGCTAATCTCTCAAACAAGGTCTCAGTATGAGCTCAAAAATAAAGAGAAGTAGTGTAAATCTATGTTTGCTGTGTTCCTGCAAGGTGTCGGTCAAAAAAGGACAGTGCGCCACTCGCAAGGCACGCCGCCGATCGCAATTTCCAATTTATGGCAAAAAAGGCAATTCCGCCAACATTCCTGTGTAAATTCTTGGTACAATTACTCCCCAACTCCAGCAGGGGCTCGATTCGACTCGCACTCTGAACTGCGTCCAAGCGTCTGTTCCCAGCTAAACCCGAGTCGAACTTTTGGCGAATCGCGAGCGGAGGGGGTCCTCCGATCGCCCACCCACCCACGCACTGCACGGAACAAGAACGAGATCCAGCCCTCCGGGTTGTTTCTTCTCTTTCTCTGTTCCTTCTCTATCTCCAATCATTCCACGAACGCGAGATTTCATGAAGCGTCGAGGCACCGCTCAGCCCCTTCGAATCCTTCCCACTCCCGAGAGATAATTATGTCCGTGCTTTAAGTTTGACACTTCATCCGAACCTGAGCTCTATCCCCTGCTGCCGGTAGCCGAAGACTCAAGGCTCCCCGCTGCCCCGTACAGAGAGGGAGAGAAGCCGTCCGTGATCCAGTAATTCCGGTAATGTAAGTGAGGTGAGAGTGATATATTCGATGATATAGTACCCGTCCTGCACACTAAACACACACATCCCCGGCTTGCTGACGATCCCTCCGAGTCTTGATCGGAATGAGGAAACGCGGATGACGGCTCGGGCTCGAAAGACGGAGTCTATGCGCAAATGCAAACACAAAAAGCTTCACGCTTCACATTTTAGGCCTTCGGGCTCAAGGCTCTGCACGCGAAAAGCCTCCACTCCAGGGCCCCCTTGCCTCCGTCCGAACAGGTCGATGGACAGATGTGATCAATACCTGGAGAAGAAGCTCGAGGGTGACACGACACGACAGGCTATGGCAGGGGGTTCAGATCGTTCCTTGCGGCTTGCTCAGGCGCTGAGCTCGAGCAAGATAAGTTACACCCTTGGGTCTACGGGTCGATCGCTACTACCGTTACCCCCAGTTCGAGGTGAACGGTCGGGGTACGGGTACAAATGCACATCATCTTACGTCCCAGCGGGAGCAGTACAATTGACTACGTTCGGATTTAAGAGGAACAAATACCCAGAATGGACGTGGATGTCGGCAGTCGGTAGACCCATTCTACTAGTCCCTAGGATAAGGAGGAGGGGTACTATATAGTCTAGTAGGAGTAACTGCCCCGCAAGCTGCAAGCCGCGAGCCGCACAAGCATCGATATCGGAAGGGTGATTGGCTGATGCTGTTAACGTATAACTTGCAGAATCACTCTTGTCTTGTCTTGTCTGAGTGTCTGTGTACCTTTTGGCTCTTTGGCTTCAAGTTCTCAGGGATCAAGTCCAAAAGTCTTTGTTTTAGCACTCACTATAGAGGCACTCTTCCTCCGAGTCCGAGTCCGAACTTTGTAAGTACACACAATTGTTCGATTACATAAATCCGAACCAGGCACACTGGGAAAAAGGTCGTTCGCATTCCGGACGTTCAGCGAAACATTTCCTGTTTCAACTTGAGCTCGTGAGTCGCGACTCCAACGCTAAGCGCTAAGCACCCGCTGTCAGCGTGGTGTCAATCCATCCCTCACAGTCAAGTCAGGAACGGCTCGATGGTCCGGACGTTGGCTAAACCCCGGAGACCTGTGCCGACGCCAGTGCCAGTGTCCCAGTGCCAGTGATTTCGTTTCGTTTCGTCGCGAGGGGCGAGAGGCGTGGGACACAAACTTCAATGCGCTAGAGTGGAGGTGGATCGACAGGAGGATCGATGAAAAAGGTGGGATGTCGTTTCAAATGTCAAAAATATGAAAGAAATTCTTCCTCCGTGTCGTGTGACAGGATTGGCGAAGGCAAAGGAGAAGGGGGGTTCATGGATTTTCGCTAGATTCGAAACGTTGTCGAAGAACGTCGGGAGTCGCGAATCGTACAGGATGACCTCCAAGTTGAATATGAGGTAAAGGGTTGATTCAAACCCATGTCCAAGTTGAAGGAGGCAAGTAGACTGGTGCTTGAGGTCGAAGGCATCCGCTCTTGGCGTTTTTAGCGGGAAGTAAGTAGAGTCCGATCGTGGTTTCAAGCTCAAGTTTCGGGGAATCGCTGGAGCGCAGCGCCATGGCCGTCTCGATGTCTTCGTGGTACCGTAGAGCCGTAAACCAGCTGTTGATGATTGAATAATGAAGGTACCGTTGCACGCCCTTTGTATTCAGCCTTCAAGTGAGCAACACGTAAAAAACCAACTTGACCCCGCACTAGAATCGCTCGAAAGGAATCAGCAACTCGTAAAGTCGAGGTAGTGAAGCCGCAAGCAAGTATCATACGGACCTGTAAGAATCAAATTATCAATAGCGAGGGGTTGTAGAACAGTCCTTTGACCTCTCTAGCTAGGTGCGTCCTGTTTTTGTCTCAGCCCGACGTCCCAGAAAAATCGGGCAACCCCCGCGACGACCATAGTGACGTTCCGCCCACTGCCCGTGGCCTGGTCGAACGGGTTCACAAGCTCGACTCGGACGCGTGGTCTGTCCTTTGTTTCTGCCTCTCCTCTTTCCACCGCTTCTCCTCCATCCCCCTCCGTGTCCGGGTCCAACTCATGCTCCTCTCCAACCCACCTAACCCGATCCCGCAAAATCACACTCTCCACGAGGACATGCGGGGCTCGAGCTCGGGGGTGCCAGTCCCCTTCCTCCTCCTTGTCTTCCTCTTCCTCTCCATCCTTTTGCTGTTCTTTTCCCTCGGTCTCGCCTTCGACCTCCTTCCGTCCTTTCTCGACACCTTCCGAATCTGATTCGAGACCAACAGGAATCCCGAACACCCCTTCCGCAAACCGCACACCAGTCTCTGCTCAGCGGCGTAAAGGAAGGCGGCCCAGAATGCGTACGCCGAGGTGGGGAGATTGCCGAGGCGCACGAGGGTGTGTAGCCTGTGCCTAGGGTGGGATCAGGCTGGAGTTCAAGGTCTGGTTGTGTTGAGGTGCTGGAGGAGGGGTTGGAGGGGGTGAAGTTGGAGGAAGGATTGGAGGAAGTGTTGGAGGAGGTAGGGTTGGAGGAAAGTTCAGGAGAAGTGCGGTATCGGGGAATGACACAGAAGGCCAGTTTTCTGGCAACGGGCTGGGACTGTTGCCGTTGTAGCCGGGAGCCCTTAGAGTAGATTAGATTAGATATTTATGTGGCTGTGCACGTCCAGAATGGACTCCGAGTCAACGTGTCTACACAATACATAACACCTGGCCTGCTCGACGCGTTTCCGAGCCAGCGCATCCGAGAGCGGTCATCTGGCCTGCTCCACCGTCTTCTTTGTGGTGGATGGTGTGGTGGGGAAGGACGAGGTTCTGGAATGGCCATTTTCAACACCTGTCCGGACATGCTTTGAGCTCTTTTCGGCCTTTCCAACGGGGAAAGACGGTGCACCCTCCTCCGGATTCTCCAGCAGCGCTCGCAATTCAAGACACTGCGCCGTACCCATATTTTCGGGAGATCTCTCTCACCTTTGCGATGGCAATTCACCTGTTTCACCTTTTTCCGTCATATATGTGACACATACCTTATCTCTAGCCAGCCGAGGAGTTGAAGCGGACTCGGAGGAGCTTTATCGGGGGACTCGGAGGGGCCAAGACCCAGCACTCGCCTTACGCGTCGTGATTCTCCGTTCCCCATTTGCATTGCTTCCAGACCCCTCGAAGAAGCCCATTTGAGAGCCGGAGGCGGAAAATAGGACGGCCACAGGCTGGCGGTGTGTACAAGTAATTTACACTGTCAAGTGGATGATGTAGATGATAGGCACCAGGACTTCAACTCGATCGTGCGTTTGGAAGCTTTATGCCACTAGGCCACTTGGGTGACCGCTCGCTGGAGCTGCAGTTAAAGTTTCGCCTCTCCTTCTCCGACACTGTGGAGGCGCCTTTCTGATTAGCTTGCGGTGCTAATACCAGGTTACACCGTATGTTTGCGACTGCATTCGCAAGTGTGGTCGAACAGCTTGGCGCATACGCGGGGGTTTCTCTTAGGCTGATCCTTGAATCTGTGTTGTCCTTTCGTGATCTTCCGACTGCCAGTGTTTGCTCACCATCAATTTATCATCTTCACACAAAAAGATATACACTTGTACGACTGTTCGTTGGTTTTTCTATTCTTTCTCGCAGGTTGATCAACCAACTGGCAAGAAAATGATAGATGAGACCTCCTGGATCACTGTGCTACGCCGTGAGTCATCTCTGATAAAGCAATCGTGCTTATGTCCGCCTTCCTGCGCTCGAACAGTCTCCCAATGTTGGTCTTGCAGAGATGCCACAGATCTCCAAATTCGATCGCCTCGTGTATGACAGATTTAGAGGTAAAAATAAAAGATCCTTTACGAGCGGGTGGATAGGTGAGCCGGCATACACTTTAGAGTCTGAACTAAGGCTAGGAGGCCGAAAGAGCACCTTGGAAAAATCTACCAAAGAGAATGACCGGCTCGCCTTGTACCAGCGCATTTACTGCACACGACCATCGGACGGTACACTGATCGTTCCTCCAAGCCAAAGCTCCCATACTTCAACTTTCTTTACTGAACAGCACCACCTTGAACAAATTGAACATGTTTGAAACAATCAGTCCTCTTTTTCATAACGGTGTTTATCCACACCGTCCAAATCCCCGAGTGCCATTCCGCCTCCGAGCCCTCCTCTGAAAATCCTTGGTGTGAGCCGCGTGTCGAAGTTCTAAGAATGTGCTCGCGTTCGCACCACGAACAAGGCGCTACAAGACCACCGGGTCCTGGAATGGCTAGTCTGGGTAGGTTGTATTTGGACTCCGGTTGTTTTCCTCACCCATTCCACGAAGCAATCTGAGGCCGGGCATGGAAGGTTGCTTCATACAGAACGTCGGAGCCGCCTATTCGGAGGATGGTGACAGGGGTCGGTATTCACGGTCCGGTCCGGTCCGCCACCCCCCCTTAGGCGCTCTCCTTCCTGTTGACAGTACGATTAAAATCAATACTTCTGCGCGCTAATCTTAAGCACAGGCGCTCATGATAAGCTTTGAAATAGATAGGAGGCGCCACGAACCTATCTCCAGAGTGTTCCCACTTTCCCTGCAAGTTGTTGGTCAAAAAAGGTCAGTGCGCCACTGGCAAGGCACGCCGGCGACCCAATTTCCAATTTCTGCCAAAACGCGCAAAAGCGGCAATTCCGTCAACATTCAGGCGCCCATCCGTATGCTGAAATTATTAAACAAGTGCACTCGGTCGAATCTCGAATCACCCCGAACTGCGTCCAAGCGTCCAGTCCCACTATAAAGCTGAAACCGAGTCGAACTTTTCGCGGATCGCGAGCGTGGGGGAGGGGGTCCTCGATCACCCATCCACGTACTGCACAAGACTAGAACCAGCACTCCGGTCTGTTTAATCTCCTTCTGTTCTCTATCGCTAATCATTCTACGAGCGCGAGATTTCATTAAGCGTCGAGGCACTGCTCATCCCCTTCGAATCCTTCCCACTCCCGAGTTAATTATGTCCATTCTTCAAGTTCGAAGTCTGAATTCGCGGCCCCCGTTCCCCATACAGAGACGGCGAGAAGCCTCTCGCAAATTACTTACGCACTATACACTCTACTCAGCAAGTGCTGCATCTAGCAAATCCGACAGAGTGAGGTGAGAATGATATATTTGATGATACAGTACCAGTAACACTAATACTTAACATAATCACATCCCCGGCGTGCTGACGATCCCTCCGAGTGCTGATCGGAATGAGTGTCGGGTCGGGCTCGGAAGACGGAGCCAATGCGCAAACACAAAAAGCTTCAGATTTCAGGCTTCCAAAATCTTCCGCGCCAGAGAGTAGCCGCTGTAGAGCCCCCTTGTCTCCGTCCGGACAGGTCGATGGACAGATGTAATCAATACCTGGAGAAGAAGAAGTTCGAGGACGACATGGCAGGGCTAGGCAGGGGCATTGGCAGCTCAGATCGTTCCTTGCGGCTCAGGCGGCCTCGAGTATGTTACACCCTTGGGGTTTGCTTATCAGGCCCTGTTGGCGATCGCTACCCCCAGTGCACATCTTACGTCCTGCGGGAGCATATTCAGCATCGACTCGGAGCAGTGAACATCCAGTTGACTGCGTTCGGGGTTTAAGAGGTTAACGAGGCAAAATCACCTACGACGGACGAACATGCAGACGCAATGTAGGCGTCACGATGACATCAGCAGTCGGTACACCCATTCTACTAGTCCTTAGGAGGAAGGGTAAATATAGAGTAACTTCCCCCCGAGCCGCATAAGCGTCGAAAGCAAAAGGCTCATTGGCTGGTACTGTTAACTCTCTGACTTGCGCAATTACCGTTGTGTGGCTGTCTGCATACCTTTTGGCTCTTAAGCATTCTAGAACCCAACCTCCGGTAGTGTTTCTATAGACGCGCTCTTCCTCCATGGCCCAACCCGAATGCTAGTCCGAGCTTTGTAAGTCCATAAGTACGTTCGTTTGAACCCGAATCAGGCATACTGGGAAAAGAGTTGTTCGCATTCCGGACGTTCAGAAAATCATTTCTTGTTTCAACTTGAGCTCGAACTCCAAGGCCAACGCAAAGCACCCGCTGTCAGCGTGGTGTCAATCATGAAAAAGTTATGGTCGGTCGCGGCCCGGATGTTGCCTAAACCCCAGCGACTTGTTTCGTGGCGAGGGGCACGGCATGGAGGTGGATCGACAGGAGGGACGGAAAACGTGAGATGTCGTCTCGGAACACGGTTCAGAATTCATGAATCGCAAATCGTAAGTAGAGGATGTCGATGATGTCTCGGAAGGCTCTTTGTTGATGATTGTTCGGCACCTCAGTTCGAAAGCATCCACCGTGAATAGAGAACTGCACGGGCAATTATTCCATAACGGATCAAAGACAAATAATAGATACCTGGATGCCAATCATCGCAAAGTCAGGACTCAGAAGAATTTATCCACCAGTTGCTAACATTCGAACGACCAGCACCTTTGCTGCGGTCTAAGGTGTTTGCCAGAGCAGACAGAGGGACCAGTGATGCCAGCACTTCAGGCCGTATGTGAACACCTTTCGGAGTCGCAAATGGCAAACATATTTCAGTTGTGATTTTCAGCTTGAGACCTGAGTCGCACATGGAAAGAATGTTATTTGGACATCGAACATGTCCGGGGCTGCCTGCGGTTCACGCGTAAACGCGTAAACGGAGATCTCTGCGGGCTAGCGAAGGACAAGCAATGAACAGGCACGTAAAAAGCCCTCCGCTCCTAGCTCCTAGTAAGTGACACGTAAAAAAAGGCCCATCCACACCACTGCAAATGCCACTAGAAGGGCGCGAAAGGAGTCAGCAATTCGTAAAATCATCGAGTACGTGAAGTTTAAAGAGCGTACACACCAGTAAGGCCTTGAGGATCGAGCACCAGGACCCGCCGCCGTAAGTAGAGCCCACAGCCGTTTCCACTTTTGCTGCGTCTGCCTCGGTCTCTTGGAGCTCGCAGTCCTGCGCCCTGCCTCTCCACCCCACCTCAGGATTCATATTCAGGGCCCAAATTCGGGCAACACCCCCGCGACGACGATAGCGACGTTCCGCCCGCTGCCCGTGGCCTGGTCGAACAGGTTCACGAGCTCGACTTGGACGCGCGGGTTGTTCTTCCCGTTTCCTTGTCCTCCTTGCCCTTGTCCTCCTTCTCCTTTTCCTCCATCCCCCTCCGTGTCCCCGTCCACGGCCGCGTTCGTGTCCAAATCCAACCCAAGCTCCTCCCTCACCCACCTAACCCGATCCCTGAGTATCACATTCTCCACGAGCGGGCCCAGGAGGCAGCGGAGGACGTGCAGGGCGGCGAGGTGGCGCTCGAGCGCGGGGTCGTGCCAGTCATCGTCCTCTTGCTCTTTAACCCCTTCTTTCTCCTTTTCCTGTTCCTCTTTCTTTCCGTCTCCCTTTCCACTCTCCTCTTCGCGCAAGTCCGAATCAGAGTCGAGACCAACAGGCATCCCAAATACCCCTTCCGGAAACCGCACACCCAACCTCTGCTCAGCGGCGCACAGGAAGGCGGCCCAGGACGCGTATGCGGACGTGGGCAGCTTGCCGAGGCGCACGAGGGTGTGTAGCCTGTGCCTAGGGTGGGATCAGGCTGGAGTTCAAGGTCTGGTTGTGTTGAGGTGTTGGAGGAGGTGTTGGAGGAGGTGTTGGAGGAGGTGTTGGAGGAAGATTCAAGAGAGGTGGTGTTGGAGGTGTTGGAGGAGAATAAGGGCCAGTTCTCTGGTCTGCGTGGCCAATGGGCGGGGACTGTCGCTGTTTTCTTGGTTGTGATGGAGGGAGAATTGGCTGAGGTATCGTGTGGGGAAGAGGAATCGATTGGACTGGCGGTCTTCAACACCCGTCCGAGCAGCGCTCGCCAGGTGACTTTGCGCACAGCTAGCTCTACAGACGGAAGAGGCTTTCGCGGTGCATCTGGCGCGTCCTTCGACGGAGGCAGGAGCCATTCTGACGGAATTTGCGCGGCGAGGTGGAACGCCGACGGTGGGAGGCTGAGCAAAGGCTTGTATGCACGGTAGGCGCGAGATAGGGGGAAGTCTTGAGGCCAAGGTAATGAGGATGCATGCAAGAACAGCAGAATAGAAAACTCACCTCCGGGAGTCATCAGATTATAACAGCATCCTACCGCAACCACACCGACGGGGGTCCAGGCGGGGCTGGAGTCGGGGTTATGTACGGAGGCGAGGTACGCACGGAGGACGTCGGGGGTGAGCGAGCCGCATGCGTGGAGGGCGACGAGCAGCACGGGGACCGGCGCATCGAGTTGGGCTGGTTCGTTTTCCTCCCCCACCCATTGATCGATGACACGAACGAGGTTCCGGGGGGTGATGAGCACGGTCTTGTGTGCGATCGGCAGCGCCGCGTTCGGGAGGAGGCGCTGTTCCCACTTCTGCGCACCTCTCGTCTGCTCCTCATCCGCATCGAGGGCGAGGATGTGTGCATTGGGAAGGTGGGATTTCAGGGCACGAGTGAGGTAACCCTGACGTCAAAAGGGTGCGATAAGATAAACATCTGAAGGTGTGGGATTCGGAGGGACGGACCTGGCCTGCACCAACGTCGACGATGCGGACATCGGGGGGAAGGGCGTTGGCTCGGAGGAGGCGGACGATGTAGGTGGCCATGCGGGTGACTTCGTGGATCTTCTTCGGGGACATGCCCTGCTCGGAGGGGAGGCGGAGGGGCGAACGGATGGGAATGGGGGTGCGGGGGTGCTGGAGGGAGCGTGTGCTGGCGATCACGGGCAGCTCACGCGTGCAGTGACTAGCTGCAGTGGGGGGCAGGGCATGCGAGGGCGGCGTCATCGTCGTTGGGATGGGTGACGAGGAGGCGCAGGACGTCGTCGGTAGCGAGAAAGGCGGCGTCGGGGAGGTCGGGGAAGGAAGACATGCTGACAGGACAGGTGGTGCGGGTCCAATTCTGTTGCTCGGCGTCCTCGGTCCACTTCTCCTTTGTCGAATTCAAACCGACCTGCCTGCCCGCGTTCCTTTGCTCCTCCTCCCATGGCACTCCTCCTCGCCGCCACCCTCGCCGCCGTCCTGGCCACCGTCCTCTTCTTCCAGCACTTTCTCTACTTGCTCTTCCGCCAACGCACCTCCCCCCTGCGCAACCTCCCCGGCCCGCCCCCGCCGTCCTTCCTCATCGGGAACCTCGAGGAGATGCACGACCAAGAGAACACAAACCTCATCGCCCGCTGGGAGGCGCAGTACGGGTCCACCTTTGTCTACCGAGGTTTCGTCGGTGCGTGTCGTCTCATGACGACAGACCCCGTCGCCATTGCCCACATCCTCGGCAACGCCTATGATTACCCGAAGCCGGACTTCGTTAGAGACTCTCTCGCCGCCATGGCCGCTGGGCACGAGGGCATACTCACCGTCGAGGGCGACGATCACAAGCGCCAGGTGAGTTCTTGCTTCCGCCCCGCCACTCGACCATCAATTGACGCAGACCACCTTCCACAGCGAAAGATCTTGGTGTGTCCACGTTTATCTTATCAGCCATTTAGCCGCCCTTACGCCGACGCTCTCCCTCCTAGACGCCCGCCTTCTCAGCGAGCCATATAAAGTCGCTCACTCCCATTTTCTGGGACAAAGCGACGCAGGTATGTTGCCTTTCCCCCGACGTCCCCTTGACCCGCTGGCTGCCCTATTTTTAGCTGCGCGATATTCTGCTGTCGCATGCTGACGCCCACGCCAACGGCGCTGATGCAACCACCACTCCAACGACTCCTAACAACTCAAACACGCGTCAAGGAAACCCACCGCGAATAGACGTCCTCGTCTGGCTGGCCCGGGCAACGCTCGACGTAATTGGCCTCGCGGGTACGTGCTTCTTGCGCAGCCGGCGCGTCTTCGAACGCGTTCTCCACGACGCGTGGTGCTGACCATCGCGACGCGCATACAGGCTTCGGGTACTCCTTCAACGCGCTCACAGACGACACGGACGAGCTCGCGCACGCGTTCGGCGTCATCTTCTCCAGCGCGCGCAAGTTTCGCATCGTCCCCATCATCCAGGCGTGGTTTCCCTTCCTCCGGCGATTCGTGAGTCTCTTTCTCTTTCAAAATTTCTCTGCGCTTCGTCCTGTTTTTGGTTTCGGTTCCGTTGCTCTCTCTTCTTCTTTTGTCACCTCTTCCGTCCGTTTGTTTTCTTTCTTCTTCTTTCGTCATCCCGTTTCTTCTGCTTTCCGGTATCCACTGGGCATATGCGTGCCCATCGTGGGCCCGTCCCGTTCATGGACCGTGGACCGTGGCGCAACCCAAGCCTCTTTCCGTCCAGCGCCCAACCTCCACCGTGCCAATCGCAACTCTAACCTGCGCCTCTCGTCGTATCTCCGTACACGACGCGGTGCGAGCCTCCTGCCTGCCTGCCTGTCTCGTTGCACCACACCCCGATTCGAGTGCGAGCCAGCCCGGACTCGCGACCCCCCACCTCGTGCCCACGTCAGAGTCACCGGCCACCATGGCAATGGCAATGGGGCACGCCCCCCTCTGCCCGTCCGTGGTCTGACGTCCGACATCGCGTTGACAACTCACAAGCGACGTCCGTTGACAGCATCGTCCCGCCGGCCTGAGCCTCAGGCTGTCGAGTTTTAAGATTCTTAATTAACGCGTCAGGCCTACCCTGGCTTGGTGCTGAGGGTGGATGATGCTGATCGACGTCGAGAGCACTTGGACTTGGACTTGGACTCTGGAGGGTCGCGGAGTCTGGAA